AGAAAACATTTTAAAGAATTTTTTTAGTTAGAGTTTAGTGTTTTTTTTTAATTACTATTATTATTATGGTGACATTTTAATACTCAAATTATATTGAGAAATTAAATTATCTTCAAAATCGCTCAATCATTTATCTCAGGAAAAGCCAATCACATTATTCAGAGGACAGTGAAAGCTGTCCTCCAGGTAGTAAGAGATCAAGGGAAAAAGAACCAGGAGATGATGTTTAACCAGCCAGTTTTTGAAGTACTACGTATCTGGACATCAGGTCCCTAGTTAAATGTTTGTAAGATGTTCAGTTTTTGAAGACTTAATTCCTAAATGATCATAAATCTCTTGAAATCAAGAGTTCTACTGGAGTAGACATATTCAAAATACAAATTCAGGGCAGTTGTTTCCTTGGTACTTTGCAAGCTTTATTGTTTACAACTACAAAGATAATCTAATGACTTTTCCAAAATTTAAACCTAGAGTAAGCTTCACAATTATGCAGATTTTATTTCGGATGATCGATCATATTTTGTGACAATGAAAAATAAATGAATGGATGAAGGGTTGGGCAGATGCAGCATTCTGATGTAATTCAGCAATACCTGACTTCTAATTCTAGCTCTGCTAGCGTTTTTCCACTTGTCTCCATGAACAATTTAAGTTTCATTTCCCAAAGCCTGAAGACTGTATCAACACTATGGGTGGAAGAGGGAAGGGTTAACTGTAAGGGCTGGGGTTAACTATACTCTGTAATTTGAAGCATTAAGGTAACTGATTGTTTTTCTGAAAGAAGAGCTCAAGAGACAATGGCAGTCCAGCCAAAGTACCGAGTGGAAAGCTTTTCCACACGTAGGATGCCAAAAACCCTGCACATACGTAAAACTAACTGAAGTGGTACCGAACTATAAAAAAATCAGACATTTGTAATTTATACTTAGCCTGAGTTTATGCAGTAACTCTGGGATCCTGGGATATGAGAAAATAAACATTTTTAAAAGCCAAAGTCTTGAAAATCCTCATTTTTAGCAATTCAACGAGGAAAAAGATACTGCTTTTCTTGCTGCTTTTGATCTTGATATATCTACGTGTAAAACCACACAGCAATGGCGTGTCTGATAACTGGGAGCACACGGTGCCCTTAACTTTTGGCTCTCTTTACTTCTAACACCAACGGGGAGCTCATCCCAGTGACTGAACCAGTGGTCTGGTCTCTTCCACGCTGCCAGCACCAGCTCGCACTGTGCTCCTGCGAACACACCAGTGCTCCCAACACGTGTTGGTGCAGCTTTGCAAACAACAGAACCCGTTCCCCGGGGTATTTTAGCATATAGAAACTTGTGCTGGTACAGCCTGGAAGAAAGCAGTCACTACGTAAATGAACGCTGCCACCAAGCTATCCACCAAGCTCTATCGGTAGGTTACCAGCTGGAAGAGACCTGCAAAAAGAAAATTTTCCCTCACAAATTTAAGAAATGCTAAAAATACTTACCTGGACTTGAAGACTCAACTGAAGGCTAAAAAAAAAAAAGGAAAAAAAAAAAAAAAAAAAGAAAAGACAAGAGATTATTTTTTCTCTATTGAATGTGCACAGACTTAATTCAATAATTCATCTGACATAAGAGGTTACAAACGAGCAAGTCATTGCAAAGATATTGATGAGTAGGGCACCACAAACACGCCGAAGCAATTCCAGGGAAGCAGCACTCATTTCCTGCTTTATATACCTATGCTGCTCTATTTTAGTGAGAATAATTGAAGATCCACCCGTTTTGTGACACAATAACCACGTTCCTGAAAGTATCAAATAAAGCAGCACAATTCAGTTTGAAAATACCATTACAGCTCCACAACCAACTTAGCAGGGCTTCAGCTGGTGCTCCTGCCAGGAGGAGGGATGGAGAGGAAGCAGCACGGCCCCAGCTGCTCCTTTCCACCCCCTTCTGTGTGCCAACACAAAACAGGGAGCTGACAGTAGTGACAGGCGAGTTCTTAACAGATCCATCCCCGTTCCGGCCCTGCACACCAATCCCCCTGCCCACAGCCCAGGTTATGCCAGGTTACACCGACGCTGGAAGCACAATTTAATTTAAAACCAAGTATTCTTCAGATTTGAAGAGGTATAAAATAAATTATTCTCCATATTTGAAGCTGCACGTTACACAACACAGAAATCCCGTTCGGATTTGAAGGCAGGCCCACTTTTAGCAGACAATCAGGCGCAGGGCGCAGTAGCGACTCTTCCCAGAACAAAGGGAAAAGCAATTTAATCTCTGACACAGCTGTGAGAAAACAGAACAGAAATTGTTCTGCGAGCCACTTTCTTCCCAAGTATAACACAAACTGACAAGAATCACGGACTGCCAAACAAGAATATTTTCTGCAACACGGAAAAAACATCAGGCTTTGACAACAAGCTTCATGTAGCAGACACCCCCGTTGGGTAACCCCATGTTTCTCCAGCACAAAACCACCCAATTCTGCTCTCCTTTGCTTAGAGCATGGCCAATCCACACCGGCCCGGGCCCAAATTTGCATGGCAGAGGTGCAAACCTCATTTGTTTGGAAAATTCAAGCAAATGGTTCCCTTGCTTTTGGGAACAGAGTGGTTTTGTCAAAGTCAGAAGGTGCCTTCTCCATCAGAGAGCTGCTCCTGGGATGCAGGAGGCCACTGGCACCCTGTGCTGTGTTCAAAGAGGTCCTGGCAAGCTGGGAGGGCTGATCCTGCCCCTCTCCTTGGCCCTATAAGCCCCCACCTGGAGCAGGATGCTCACAAAGCAGCTGGGGTTGCTGCAGGGCCGAGCAGAGGGGCAGGATCGCCCCCTCAGCCCGCTGGCACTGCTCTGGGCACATCCCTCTGGATCTGAGCTCCCCCACACACACAGCAATGGAGCCTGCCCCCACTTTCTGATCAGAGGGGACACAGCAGGTTCTGGTGAGCAATGCCCTGCCGATCGCCTCCTGCCTTCTATTTGCAGCTAGGTGGGGTTTCACTTTACAGCTCGGCTGTTTAGCAGCCAGCTGCTGCCCAAAGTAGCAGCCTGACCCCCTCCACTGCCCCGCGTGCCTCTGCCACTTGTGGCAGGCCCAGCAACGGGGAAGCCGTGGCACGGGCTGCTTCAGAAACAAGCTCAAAGAGCACTGACCTTGGTTCTCTGTCCTACCAGCGAGCCAAACTCTCGTTTGGGGCCTTGAATCCCCAGCCCAAGCTGGACGCCAGACTCCTGGAGGAGAGGCAGGAGATGAGGAGCAAACAGAAGGTGAAAGAGCATCCTGTGACTGAGGAGCTGCTGCAGTCACTGCAATTCTTGCCTACTCAGTCCTTATTTCCTCGTCTCCGAGCAATCGTGACCGTGGCCAGGGCAGAACAGATGGCTTTGAGGGCATTTGCTTATGAAAATTTCCTGGCAGTAGTTAAAGATCATATGGCTACGCCAGGATCGTAGTATCCCAAGTCCTAAGCCATGGTATGTCAATGGAACTGCAATTCCTGTGAAAAAGGAGACCTCGGGACTTCCGAGGCTCTTCCTTCTCTGCTGCAGCGATTGATGGAGAAGTGCAAAGCACTTCTTGCCTCAAGGGCATTCACGGGGACAAAGAGTTGGTACCTCTAAAAGATAACAGCATCCAAATGTTTGTTGTGGGTTCGAAGGAATGAAGAAGGAGAATCAGGAAAAATGACCAAGGGTCGCTGCTGAACGGACACAGCACGGCACAGCACGTTTGGTCACGCTGCAGCCGAGCAACGTGAAGGAAATCCTAATTCTGAGATATGAACAGTACCGCAAGGGAAAAAGAGATTGAACAACGCATCAGGCCTGGGTGGCACCTGAAGTATTGGCCATCGTTTTTATTCCGTGTGTATTTTCAGGAATCCGAGCAGAGACGTGTGGGCTGGGTGTTTGGGAGGTGAGCGGCACTCGCAGCACCAACTGAGCCAAAACAATGTTAGGTCAAGAACATTCTGCAGTGTATGGCTATAACAAGTGGAAGTTGGCCAGGCTTGCAGACGTCTTTGGACTGGCAAGTGAGGAGCCTACCAGACATATAACAGGTACAGAAAAATCCCTGCTAAATACACAGTGTTACTCTGGTGACGGGAACACCCTTGGCTTTGGGAGGTCTGGATCACTACAATTTGTGATGAAGTGATAGAAGTGAAACCGAACGGATGTCACGGGAGGTTTATTGCTGGTCTCCAGCAGGCTGCTGGCATTACTCGTTTTGCAGGGCTCGTTTCTTAGCCCACTGCTCCAGAATCACAGAATCACAGAATCACAGAATCTCTAGGTTGGAAGAGACCTCAAGATCATCGAGTCCAACCTCTGACCTAACACTAACAGTCCCCACTAAACCATATCCCTAAGTTCTACATCTAAACGTCTTTTGAAGACTTCCAGGGATGGTGACTCAACCACCTCCCTGGGCAGCCTGTTCCAATGTCTAACAACCCTTTCAGTAAAGAAATTCTTCCTAACATCTAACCTAAAACTCCCCTGTGCTGCAGCACAGCTCGGCGCCCAGCGAGGCTCACTCCGCATGCTGGCAGGGGATCTTTGTGTCTTATTGCATCGCTGCTCCGTCTGGATGGGGCACTCCCGAAGCGGTAGCACCTCGCTGAGCTTTCTGCATCCCTCCCACAACCTACAAACAAGCACCTGAACAGCACTGACGCTGCAGTTTCACTTCTACCTCCAAAACCACTGCTGTGATTACCACCTTTCGTGCCGCTTCGCCATCGGTTTGTAGAGAACATCTTACAACACACCAGCTACAGTCTCTACCAGACAATGGCAAATATATATTCTGCTCAAATTTACTCAGTTACGTTTAGCAGCTCTTTAAAACAAACATTAACACACTAAAATTAAATTTATATTGATGGGAACAAGCCTGATAAACCACCAAGTAGATGCTCGAGTCCTCTCAACTCTTCTGCAGGAAAAAACAGCGTGCCTTGGTTTCATCTCAGAAAGAAACAATATATTGAAGAGAAATGGAGAACCCAAGAGCTGTCGTCCCTCATTTAATGTGTTCACATGTATGTGAACACGTCTACAGCCGAAACTATGACATTCAAGCCCTTCTGCACATGAAACAGAAGCCTTTATCAACACGATGAATTTATTTTTTAATTTGGTTGCTTCATGCCAGAATTCCTGTTTGCAGAACAGGCGATGAATGTTTCAGATGTGTCCATCTGGGCCTCCACACCAGCACCGCTTGGCCCTTCCCTTCCCCGTCCTGATTCCATTTCGGTTTCTAGTGACGACTTCTCACACCAGACCAGCTGGACAATGGATATAGTTTTTCTGTTCATTAGTATTTGATTTAAAAAAAAAAACAAAAAAACAACAAGCTGAGTCTAAATTTTGCCCTGCAGGCACTGCCTGATCAGTTTCACGGCACCCAACTGGCAAGAGCCATGGGTTGCCTTTAATGCACCTTACTTTCACCCTGTATAACCTAAATCTCTCCACCAGAAGGCTGGGAAGGGGCAGCAGGTGGTGCCCAGGGTTTCACTGGGATCATCAACCCGGGCCTTTCAGGCACCTGGTTTGTCTCCCCAGATCTGCAGCGGCATGCTTGAGGGGAAGCCAACTGCAGCCTTGCTGAAGTAGCCTTTGCCTGGAGACACCTTCAATCCCGTAGATAGTAGCAAAAACTCTTCAACAAAAATATTTCAACGGCACCTCTAACAGAAGCAGGGGCTGCACCAGGAGGATTTCCTTCTCGAGGCGTAGCACGGAGCACGGTCCCAACAGCTGCTCAGAACCCAGCTGCCTTACCCAAAGCACACAACTCCAGCGAGGTGTCTTCATTTGTTCTTCACACCCATTACAAGGTGCAGCCTCAACTTGTTGCACGACCCCAAAATTTCTTACTCGGACCAACGGGGAGCCTACAGAGCGATGGCACCCCGCTGCAGCTGAAAGCAGACCCGGCCACGCGCCGAGCACCACAAGCAACCATTCCCGTGCACCGTTTGGGACCTGACTGGATTAGCAGAGAAACATTAATACAGAGTTGATATCGTTTTCTCTTCAATGGCTTGTAGGAGAAGCGGAGGGAAGGCAGCAGCGAGCACACCAAGTGCTGGGGAGCTGAAACACTTCCTGAGGACGGCTCCGTGGCCACTCCCGAGAGGCGTGCTGCAAAAACGGCCCCAAAGTGAAACAAAAAGTCAGGCAGAGGTAACGAGAGGGGGAAAAAAAAAAAGTGCTGCTCAGCAGCAGGGAGGGCTGTGAATCACCAGTTTTAATCAGGCAGCGGGAAACCTCAGTTTAACCTGCGCGGGCCTCGCTCCCAAGCTGCCGAAGCGTTTTGGGCTGGAAGCACAGCAGGGAGCAGGCTGACTTCTGCCTGCTTCCTACCCGGGGGGCCACCACCCGTTTGTGTGGGTTATTTTAAAGCAAGAGTATAGCGGAATAAAAATAGAAAGATCAAGAATGCGAAAAATGTTCTTAGATGGCATTTCTGAAACGTGACGTCCCGAACTGGTCTCGGGATGCAAACAAAAAGCTCTCAGGGAGGTCCACGAAGCCCAACACACCTCAACGCCACGGCGAGGAGCGTTTGGGTAGCAGAAATGTTTCCAGACATTACGCTCCCCCCCAGCACAGCACGCTGCTGCTTCTCCCCGGCTTGGGCTGACCCCTCAGGAAGCCGACTCCAGTTGTTAGCCCCACGAATTCAGGCTGCAGAGGGAAGCTGAAGTTGTTTGTTGTGGGTCTGCAGGCTGAACCACCTCCCTGAGGGGCAAGAAATGCTCGGAGTTTGTTGGAGGAACCAACAAACGCTGGTGTGAGGAACAGCAGCTGCCTGCCCAGGAGCAGTAACAACCAGGGCTGTGCTTTTGAGCACCCGCGAGCGGTCAGAAGTGCCCGAGATGAGGGTGCTGACCAAGGAGAAGCTGTGTCAACCCCACGGCTTGGTGTTTTTCCTCCCCTCCAGCAGCAAGAAGCCCACCTCGAACCCTCTGATGCCTGGGAATCCCAGCAAGCCGTGCCGACCCATTGTGGGGGTGCCACAGCCCTTGCTCACCCACCCCAACCAAAGCTTGGCACCCTCTCTGCCATTACTCTGCAGGGAGTTACTGAAAAACAACAAAACCAAACAAAAATCCCCAACACCCACCCCCAGTTTTGCCAGTTTGGCATCCTGGCAAGTGCCTGACTGGTGCATGCAGCCACGGAGCAAAGCAACAGGGCAGCAGCTCTGCTGGGAGGGGCAGCAGGCCCCAGCCTGCCCCCGCCCCTCCAAGCGTCCTGAATCAGAAATCTCACTCTCACATTCATCCAAACATCAAAAGGCTGAAAAAATAAAAAACCAAGTTCTTTCAACTACTAATTGAGCTTTTCAGTCAAATTTTTCTCTTCCAAACAGACATTAAAATACTGGTATTTGGAAAAAATGCACGCATCAGCCAGCGCTCCCTGCACAAGGGCTCAATAAGCTGCTCAACGCGCGGTTCTGTAATATTCACAGTGCCTGAGCTGATCTTACACGAGAGATGGGTTCTTTCTGACCATGACTTGAACAATCTTCAGTATTTCAGAGTATCAGCGCTCAGACCCATCCCATCAGCATGCTTTGGACTGGAATTAAGCCCTACCGCAGGTTATTCATCCCAAATCCAAGCCCAGTTTAACGTCTGCTCATTCAGAACCTTTTTTTTTTTTTTTTCCTCCTTTTCAGTGAGTTTCTACAAAAGTGAAAGAGCATTTTTGGGTAGTTCAGTTTCACTTTCTGGACTCAGCGACTTGCTAACCAGGCTCCGAGCTCCTGTCTGGAGAACTTCCCTGTCACATCACCAAGTTCCACGCTTCCATCATTCATCTTGTAAGATCTACAGCTCGAGCATCCAACCTGGTTGGATCTCTAGAACACATCTGAGGGCTTTGCCTGACTTCACCATGAATCCTGGCACATTTCTTTGTAAGAGCCAACACGGGGTTTTCTACTGGGGCAGAAGGCAGGAGAGCAGCCTCCTTCCCACCTACACTTTCAGTCCCAGCCATGTCCCAGGCCCCTGGTGTGGCCGAGGCTGCCAGCCAGCCACCTCCCCTCGCTCCCAGTTCAGCCTGTGCTGCTCCCAGTACACCCAGCAGCAGCACCTCCAGGCTGAGGACTGCTGCTGGAGGAGCCTTCCCTTCCCACCCCAGCCCCTACAGGCTTCAGACACCAAACCAGAGCCATACTCAGCACATTATTACTAGTTTAAATCACTATTTTTAAAAATTCGGATTGGTTTCCAGCTCCAGAATGCAGTGCAGCCATACAACTGCTATCTGCAGCTCAGTGGATGTGAATGAACATCAGCTGAGCCACTAAACTTACCCACAGGTGGCTCAGAGCTTCCACAGCCGCTTTATGTTTCTCCTGCCCCTGAACCCAAGTGAAAAAAAGCCAAAACAGGCTAAAAAATTAGCTTATCTTAGCTTATTTTAAAAAAAAAAAGTGATGGTGAAAAAAACAACACCCTCTTCCTTTCTTAGTAAAATATCAAGAGCAACAAGTGATAAAAACCTCACGCACTGGAACATCCATGAGGTAAAAAGCCAGCCTGAGTTCCACACCCCACTGCCCTGCCTGCTCTGTGCGGCTCGGAACCCCTACAGGGCTCGGTGCTGCACGACATGACAGCACAGAATAGGAAGCGATTCGGCGCCCTGCCTGTGGCTCTCCAGCAACACGGCGAGCCTCGGCTCGGCCCAGAGCAGAGCCAGTGCGAGTGTTTCACAACAACGCTGTGTTTAATTAACAAAACTTCCAAGCAGTTGGAGAAACTCGAGGCAAACCCCCCAACGCGGCGATGCCTCGGTCGGCACAAGCCCCAGCCCTCGCCAACTTCCCAGCTGACAGCAGTTTAAAAGCCACAGTTTTTCAGCCAACAAATTATTCAGGGCCAGGACCTGCGATCCTCTGCCCCTCGAGAGGGGGGGAAGAACCACAGATGGATCCTCAACTTTTAAGAGCAGATCAGTACATTTAGTACCAATTACGGGAAGAACACCACATCACGCTTTTCACTCGGGAGATAAAAATAAAATAAATCCAGGGAGAAATTCGCATAGAGTCGGGAATTTCGAGGGAAGAGAGGCAAGAAACCTCCTCTGGAAGATGCTGCCACACCAAACCTTCCTTCCTCCCCCAAGCCTGGCTGAAAGGAAGGTCCACCTAGAAGTGAGGTTTTTTTATGGGATACCCCTCACGCGAGCATTTCCAGTCCTTGTGATGCCGCCCAAGCCCCAAACCACCTTATGATTTTAATTTTTGGATGATTTGAAGGAAACTTGACGGGATACCCGTGCAGCCCCCCCACCCTGCCAATGAGGAACCTGAGGGGCTGCCCTCACAGCTCCCAGCAGGGCGGACAAACCCCAACCCCCACCCCCACCCCAACACCTCCCCCTGCCCCCCCTGAAGCACTGAGCCCATAGAGCCCCCCCCACACCCCATAACCCCCCCACACCCCCATAACCCCCCTCCACTCCCCCCAGACCCCCCATAACCCCCTCAGGAGCCCCCCTCCCCCCCACCCTTTCCCCTTTCCCCCCCACAACCCCAAACGCGCCCCCCCTCCCTCAGACCCCCCCTCAACCCCCCCCCCTCCCCGTTGAGGCCGGAGCCCGCGGGGCTGTGGCGCCGGGGCGCGGCCCGGCCGGGAACTTGTTGCTTCCCTCAGCCCCCGGGAACTTCCTGCCTCCCTCCCTTCCCTTCCCTTCCTTCCCTCGGGAGCTCCGCTCTCACCTCCGCCATGGCGGGCCCGGAGCCGGTGCCGTGAGGGGAGGCGCTGAGGAAGGGAGGGGGGGGGGGGGCGGGGCGGGCCCTGCCTCACATCGCGGGAGCGGCGCCGCGGGGCGCGGGCAGCGCGGCGGGGCCGGGGGAGGGGGCGGGGCCGGCGGCACGCACGGCGCCGACGTCATCACGTAAGGGCGGGGCGTGCGCCTCAGGCCCCGCACGTCAATCACAGCGCGAGGCCACGCCCCCTCAGCGCTAAGCCCCGCCCCCTCCCTGTCAGCCGCGCCCGCCCCGCCCCGCCCGGCCCGGTGCCGGTGCCGGTACCCACCTGGCGCCGCCGCCGCCGTCCTGAGGAGCCCCTCGGCTCCTCCGCGGCTCCTCCGCGGCCTCAGCGCTCGGCCGGGCCCGCGGCACAACGCAGCCACCCCGCCGTGCTCCGTGCCCTGAGCCCTCCCGGTACCCCCGGTGCCCCGCTCCGGTACCGCGGGGCCGCCCGCACCTCACGGAGCGGCGGCGGCCGCCTCCCCGCTGCTCCCGGGGCTGTGGTGGGAGGCGGGAGGAGGCGGCGCGCTGCCGCCCGGCCTGACGGGGAGCTCCGCGCTCCGCTGACAGAGAAAGGCGGGCGGGCAGCGCAGCCCGGCGGGGCGCAGAGGCCCGGCAGGGACCGGGGCCGGGGCCGGGGCAGGGCCAGGCCGCAGCCGCCGCTCCCGCTCCCGCCGCAGCCGCCGCCGGGCGCCAGCAGAGCGCGGCCCGCGCGCGCCGCGCCCGAGCCAATCGGCGGCGCCCTTCTTGGCAGCCAATCGGCGCGCCGCGTCTTGCCGCCGCGTTGCCGTGGTAACCGCGGGACGCGCTGCCCCCCCCCCCCCCCCCCAGGCCGCCGCCATGCAGGGCCCCGCCGCGGCCCCGCGGCTCTCCGGGTGCGTGGGCACCGGGAACGGGGCCGCACCGCTCCCCCTGCACCCCCCCGCGGATCCGGGGAAAGCCGCGGAGCCCCTGTGTCCTCCCGGGCCCTCCTAGTGCGGCCCAGCACTCTCAGACCCCGTTAAAACGCTTCAGGCTGCGGCCTTCCCCCCCCCCCCCCCCATCTCCTCCTTACCTGTGAGGAAAGCCCCTCCAGACCCAAATCAGGGATTTCAGGGATTTTTCCCCAAAAAGCCACCTTATTCGTTCATTATCCATCATCCCAAGCGGTTTTAAAAAGCCACCGTATTCGTTTTATTTGTCATTCATCACCCCAACTGGTTTAAAAGAAGAAGAGCCACGCTACTCCTTTTATTTCTTATTCCTCCTCCCAAACGGTTTAAATGCAAGTTAAGGAATGGGTGGGCTCGTAGATCACATCGGGTGGGTTGTGTTCTGTTTTGTTGTGTGTTGTCACTGCTTCTAATCCCGTTCGCAGTGTCCGACAAGGATTGGGAACAAGCCTGGGCATCCAAAGAGGCAGCATCGCAAGCGGCGTGTACCCGGGCAGGGCAGCGAGACGCGGGAGCCAATTCTCCATTTCCTATGGCAAAGCTGCGGGCAAAGGGTCTCCCGTGGAGGAGTACGCTGTGCGGGTGAGAAACCACTGAAGCACTGGAAAGGTTTAGGTGTCAGTCACTGGGGATTTTAAAAGTTGTCAGAAATGAAGTGGGAGTGGGAAGAGGAAAGAAAAGGCTTGGCTGAAGTTGCAAAGCTGTGGAAAAAATGATCCGAGAGCTTTTCATACATTCGGAAACGGTGACCATCAGTGCCCAAAAGCAATCTGCAAGAATAAAAGCAAAGCAGTTAAGTATCCTTGTTTCTCCACGGTATAAAACCCCAAAGAGTAACATGGTTTGCTTTGTTTTTGCTATTTTTTTTAAACTTTCTATTAGTTGTGTTGTGTTTTTTTCTGGTGCTTTGGGGCAAGGGGCTGCATCTGACTTGAGAGACTCCCAGCAGTCCGCTGTGTAAGCCAATCATACATTCTACATAAATTAACAAAAACAGCATTTTAAAGTAAGTACAGTTACTTTAAAAAAAAGCATTTAAACACAGTATGATGTTATTTTTCACATATTTGTCTGCACTGATTTGAAGGTAAGAAACTTAAAGTAACACTTCTGCTTTAAGAACTGCTGCTTTCAAACCTCCAACAGATACATTAACTGTGGCATCCGTATGCATTTGCCTAAAAAATGGGAGATACTCATAGCATAATTTGAGAGTCCTGTTCAAAGACCTTGCTGAATACCTTACAGCAGAGTGATCTTTTGAGCAGTATAATAATAAAATAATAATAATAATAATAATAATAATAACAACAATAATAATAATAACAATAACAATAATAGTAATAAAAGATGCGTTGTTTCTCTAGTTGCTTTTGCTGTACCATTAATTTGATATTAGCATGTTAGGCATCATTTGCATGCCAGGGTTACCTGTCTGCTCTGTCAGAGGGTGAACGCCTCCCTGTCCTGCATTGTTTCAGATAAGACAAAATGTTGTGTGTGTCATCACTGTCACTTTTGGGATGGCAATGAAACTACTCTCATTATTTAAACATCTCTTCAGGTTTTTGATGATGAAGGAAAGGACGTGACACCCCACCCGCTCTTCCATTCAGATCCCGATGCTGCTGTACCCAGGCAAGCCAAGCTCCTAGCATCAAGTGATTGCTCTGGGGCCACAGGGTCAGGTTTTTCTCTTTTCCCACGCATCAGACAGGAGGGGATGGTAGTTTTGTAGACCCCTTCTCAAGGTAAGCTGTTGCCTCCTAGCTCCTGTCTCACAGAGTACCGATCCTGCAATGGTCACACATCTGCTCTTCAGAGGGGAGGAGAGCTGGAATAATTGTGCAGGGCTATCAGTTACACTGTATTACCAAAATACATACATTTACTTGTCATAGTCATGATTTAAAATTTGAGGAAAAGTAAGGAATAGAATAAGTGCAACTGATCAGTACCAGTGACTAAGGCTGGTTCTGTGTAAGAACTTGCTGAACACTGATAACTATAGTTGAAAAGCAGACTGCAGCATACACTGCTGTGTTACTTCAAATTTTATTCAAATTCTCCTTCCTAAAGCATGTTCTTCTATGTCACATTCTAATATGGACCATTTTTAGAGATGGAACGTGCATCACAGTTCAAAAATGCAGACCTCCATCCAACAGGTTTTGTACCGGTTAGGTCTGCATGCAAAGCTATGTCAGAACCTCTGCACAAACACGTGATGGAGCATTATCCCAACGGTAAGGGAAGCTGTGTTCCAGCTGTCGGAGCAAGACTGCACAGCTAAAAAGGGGCCCTTGCAGCTTTTCCATATGCTGCCCCAGCTCTACCTTCCTCACACTTCTGTCTTCGCAAACTGGAATACGTCAAGACTTAATTAAAAACCTCTTTTGTGTTTAAAATGAGAAATAATGAGCCACAGCACTTTGTCAGATGGTGTGTACACAGTCAGAATGCATGGAGAGGAGATTCTATTTATTTAGTCCTGGGGACTAAAAGACAAAGTCAGCAATGGAAGAAAAAACAACACTACAAGTTAAATAAAAAAGAAGTGTTATTTACTGTTTTCTTTGGCAAAGTTAATGCAATTGTGATTTCTGAGAAAGAGAGATTGCTCTTTGAGAACAATCTTTTTTGTCATTTCCTACGGTGGCTGATCATAAGGGGTAATCCTAGAGGTAGGGATATTGAGCAGGAGCAAATATACACAAAAAACGGCTTAAAAATACACAGTATCTCCTGAAAAATAAATACGTCCCTTTTGGAGACTAGAGCTCCTAATTTAAAAGATGAAATGATTTTACTTTAGTTTTAAATACAAATCTTAAAAATGTCTTTTCAAATGCCTCTTGTATGCTTACAGTTGCTCACACTTAGCTTTTGAGGAAGAGAAATCTGCTAAAAAAACTCTCAACTGTACATCAGTTTTGAGTTTTACTTCTAGTTATTATCACAGCTATCCCCTCTATGAACATTATCTACTTTTTTAACAAGCTAAATCCCTTCAAATGAGTTTCTTGTGTATTTCAAAGACCTTTTGGCACATGCAAAGCCCCAGAGGATCTTAATTCCAGTTGAGAACTGTGCTATCTGTAGATAGGTGTTATCACACAGCAGGTAACCAACACTTGGCGTTACTGCATGCTAAGAATGAATCTGAAGCTCACCAGCTTCTTTTCCATCAGCTATTTAATGCCTTGGGATATGCTGTCAGAGGAATTCTTCCTTTTTAAGTCTTTTTCAATCCATTTCATTGTTTTCTTTGTAAAGCCTTCTATGACTCCTTTCACAAGGCAGGCATTCCTGTGTGTGCTATTACAGTCTTCTGTGGTTTATCCTGATAACAACGCTGCTATTTTTGTAGCGCTTTGCTAACTGACATCTGGACTCTCACGTACCATTTCTGCTTATTTCTTTGTTACAGAAGGACGTGTGGAAACAGCAGTATTTCTAAACCAAACGCATCACCAATGGAGTCCATGCTAGATGAAACTGTAGAACCTGGCTCTCAAGGAGACCCAGCTGTTAGCTTATCTGGTAAAGAACATACACTGCATAATTACAGATTTAAACTGTTCTTTGCAGCACCGAGATTTGTGAGAGACTGCAGTCACAGTGCATGCAAAATGCCCAGCACTACAAAGGAACCCAGTGCCTCACAAGTTTTGGCTCCTGATTGCTGCCACGCTTTTAGAATTAATTTGCCTTCTTTTAAAGGTAGAGCAGAAAAAGTCTCGCTTGCTAACCTCACATAATTTGTCAGATGCGCAGGTGAGGCCAGAGGAGATAAAAGAACAGCTGACAGAAGAAGACTTAGATAGGAGAGTGGATATTTATCTCACGGAGACGGAAACTATCTGGATGTTGGATATGCCATCTGTTGTGGCGTCTGTAGAATCAGAAGATGCGGGAAGAATTCTGTACGTATATTTGTAGTTGTTGTAGTTGTAGTGTACATGCGTGTAGCATGCTCAGCACACCCCATTTCTCCTGATCACAAAGTCCTGAACAGGCTGCTCACACGTAGGTTCGGTGTTTTGACTACTACAGCTTGCCATTTCATCTATGTCTGAAGCCATATTGGGCTGAATTCTCTCTTTTGACAAGACTGTCTACATTTTCTAACACCTCCATTTTGCTGATCAAGTTCACGTCCTCTTTCACTGGTAAATGAATGCAGATTAGCAAAAGCAGGGGATGCTGACAAGACAACACACAGGGAATGGGGGAAAGAGAAGATGGAGAAGTGGGGTATACATGAATTTAATAATTTAACAATAAGAAAATTGCAAACCTCTGGACTGATTATTATGTTTAGCTTTACAGCCAATAATTTCTTAATAACAAAGATATAAACAAACTAGGCAGCTCTTGGCTTCTTCTGAAGCTCTTTTCAGTGCTTCTAGCTAGAAGAAACCTCACCCACCACAGCTGATCCTGCCTTTTAAAATGTTATGCCTCCCCTCAATAATACCTAGTTTGTTTCCACTTTGGAGTCTCCTCCCTGAACTGGCATGAACTTTGGTAGGGAGTTAACCCAGAAGGCACAGGTTTTTTGGCTTTTACCCAGGAGCTGACTGTGACAGAGTGCAGCAAGTTGTCTGTGATGGATGTCAGACTGCTAGACTTGTCACACAGCTTTTGTAGACGTAAACCCCAAAAGCTGGGATGCAGCTTACCGCAGCTGGCAAGTTAAACAGCTTAAATAAATGAGTTTTTTTCTGCTAAAATACTGTTTGTGGTAGGACTCCAACCCCCACTGTCTGTGAATCACACTGGAGTAATTTTTTGGGGAAGAAGGAAGAGGAAGAACATTCATTCTATGAATCAGACATAGCTGGCGTACACAGCACACAGTGCCAACTCTATAGGAACAGGCAGTGACTGTTCCTGAATGCAGCAACCTGTTGGTGGATTAAGGCCAGGTATAATCCACGTCTGCTGTTAGAGTACTGAAACCAAGACAGTAGAAAATGCTTCACTGTTCCCACTGACCATTTCTGCAGACCTGAGGGCTGTAAGAAATAGAAATGTACTAATTCATTTTTGTCTCTTGGAAGCACTGCCTTTCACTCCCAGGTGACAAGAGCTGTGTATTTCTGAACTCATCTGGATTCTCCCCAAGCTCAAAAGTAGTTGGAGTGGAGATTTTTGCTAAGGCCCATCTCTACAGGCTATTTCTGTTTCAGAACAGCATCTCAAAGTCAGAAATAGCTGCTGAAAGGTGGTATGTGGAGTGAAACAAGATCCATAACACCCCCTACCACCCCACCCCACCCCCCCCAAAAAAAAAGAGCAATAAACTTAATGACATGGACTATACTCTTCTGTTCAACTTGTGCTAAATGACATTGAGAAGCTGAATGCAAATGTTTTTCAGAAAGCAAATATACACTTTTTTTTTTTTTTTTTTTCCAAGGGAGCGTAATAAGATTTATGTTGACATTTGCAAAAATAGACCTGGCAATGATCGCTTTGCAGAAAAAATGATGCAAACCATTAACGGAGCTGCAAAGAACAAGGAAGTACAATGTGACAAAATCGTCATGAAAGATAAAGGTAAACACTCTGAGTACCGTATAGGAAAGGCTATTTAATAAGACCAGGCTCCCATTTACTACAAGTTCCCTTGCCATTTGTATCCTTGGCAGTTGGGTCTATTATTACATTTTGTTTCCTCATTAAATATTAATGTGGGAAAACACTAGCATATAGCTAGGTTGTGGGACCTCAGAAGACTCCCCCTACACAGGTAGGACAGTGAGGAAACCTTTCTTTTCTTTCTGTCATCTCTAAGCAGGAAAAGATGTTTCACCAACTTTCACTTCCAGAGCTTTAAGTTCAGACAGCCTAGTGTGATGGTGGTGCCCTTCTCTGCCTCTCCTAATACGTGAAAATCTGTATTGGTACACTGTATCTGTTGCAATAAAATAGTCATTATGCTACCTAAGAGCTGCTGTGTCCCGCCTGCCTCTGCACTTTACAAACAGAGTGCTTCTTAGGAGGCAGAATTTCACCTAATATTCATCTACGCCCTTGAAATATGAAAATAAACAGTTCCCATTTCTCCTCTTAACTTTGTAGTAACACTAGTTTGCATTTCTATTTGTCACAATGCGAAGAAGAAAACCTCTAAGATTTAAAATTGTGGGGAAAACAGAAAAGCTTGGCAGTCTCACAAGAAAATGCAATTTTACAAAATGTTCAACTTCAGTGCTGTAAAAAATTTAGAAGAAATATCAAGTTTTTGTGTGTGTGCGCGCTGAGATTTGCTCACTATGGATCTTTTGTTTGTGTGGGAGGCCAAAGAAAACTATGGGGAATGCTATTCCAAACATTTTTGTTTTGTGTTCTTTACTGTATGTAAAACGAGTGAAAAAATATCAAAAGGAGAAGAAAAATAGATATTAATCTGGTTTGAAAACAAATCTTTCCCTTTTTGTGTGCCTTCAGCATCAGCAGGGCTCATTCCAACCCATGTTTGAAGAGCTGAGCACACAGAGGCAAGGTTACAGAGCAGTTTTGTGGGGAGATGGCCCCACTGAAGGGAACCCACACACCCAGAAGACAGTGATGCAGCCAGTGCAATCACACAGCAGCTCTTGCTGTCTGACCCTCAGTTTTGAAGCCCCCCTGCCAAACAGTTGGGTGTACTGTATAAAAAGTAAATCTTGCTCAGCTGTAATTCTTTATAACGATGTACAGAAATGAAGAGCTTTTATAATACCGTATAATTAATTTCTAGGGGTGGTGGTCACTTCCTGGGACTTGTATGATTCCTTTAATGTGTCAGAAATAGAACCTGCATCAAAAGGAGAAGCCACAAATGGGAAGAGTAGCATGTCTCATACGACTAAAAAGCATGACCAGACTGCATCGGTGACTTCTGCCAGAGGTAACATTTTTCTAGGAGGTTTACATTTCTGCAGTGTTTTCATCCTTCTAGACTGTGCATCGCTCTGTTGCATGGTACAAACTACATGAAGAAAATACTTGGTCTGCCTGTCTGGCACTTGAAGGAGAGTTGGTAAAGATCCTCAGACAGATCTACTCCAAGACCTTTTCTATACAATCCCTTTATAAACCATCTTAAATAAAGATAAACAATCGGTGACAAAGTTTGATGGTACAAAGTTACTTGTAAAGTAGAAGGTAGAAGCAAAACACAAATGGTGAAAATTTCTAGAAGTATCTCATCATATTGAATATTTGAGCAGTAAGAGAAAACAAAACTAAAGCAAGAAAAAAATAATAGTGGAAGGATGTTTTGATGACAGGTTCTTCTACGCTTTTCGTAGAGGAGGAAGAGGAGCCTGCTTATCTCTGACTTTTATGTGCAAAATGTTATCACATTAAAACTGCATTTTCCAATATTATCTGTTTTCAGGCAACATAACTTCTGTGACTACTTTGGAAAGTGCTGCTCTTGCCAGAACCCATAAAAAGGAGGAAAACCGTTTAGAAGCTATATTGACATCAGAAAAATTTCAGCAGGATTTATTTTTCATGGAGAGGGTTCTAATGGAAAATATTTTTCAACCCAAACTCGCAGCTTATCGACAATTTCCTGTCCTTATAGGTTAGTTTCTTACTGGCTACCCCATTTTCAGCACAAGGCTTTGCATACTATTGAATGTCAAGGTGTCCCTCACTGATGGTCTTCACAGATGACAGGTCATTTAAGAAACAGACAAAAGAGTTTATGAAATGTCAACACCAATTTTGCAGCTTTACACTCACTTCAACAGACATTCCTACAGTACTTGGTGGAAGAACGGAATAAATGTGTTTAGAGCTTGAATTACTCGAGATATTGGTCAGACTTGTTTCCTGACAGCTAAGATACAATAATTCTGCTATTTCTCCAAGTTTTTTTTTTTATTATTTTTTTATTTTTTTATAAATTGGTCTAGACTGATGGTAAACAGAAGTGTTAGCTTAATAGACGTTCAGTTTCTAACAAAGTGCATTCATTGCAGAGGTGTTACCTGGACCCAAGCACTAAGTAATATTGTACCTTATACAGGAGTTCCAAGTTAACACGGGAATAATTTTTTATTCCTGTGTTATTAAAAAAAATATTCTGAAAAAGCAGATTCAAACTGATTTACAGTATTGTACCTTTTCATATTATAGAGAGTTTCAGATTCACAGGCAACAAACCTGTTATATTCTGTCACTAACTGGCTACTGGCTAGTTGGAGCATGATAATGACTAGGACTTTTGTTCTGTCACTAGGACAGTTATTGTGTTGTAATTTTGTTAACAGTGATCTGGGGTCATTTTATGATTTGCATATTACATAAAGTAAACAAAAAAAGCACTTAACAGTCTAAAAATATTCTCTACACTTAGTTTTGCCAAATAACGAGCAACTTTCATTACAGTACATGTAACTTAGCTAAGGTGTTACAACATCAATGTTTAAGTATGTCCCTTAAAAAATTGGAATCTGACTTGATAAAGACCCTGTTTAAACTAGTTTTTTTTAATACAAGATATTAGAAACATTCCTGGTGGGGTGGACATAAATTCATAACTGCTAGTTGCTAGGTAGCTAAATCCACTCTTTAAGCTCCTTGAACATAACTGGCACACCACAGCCTGATCCAGACATCTTTTATGGTCCTGTCACCATCTTAACCATGGTTTTAGTAGTTAGGGTGTCTTAATGCCTCATATCTTCCCTTTTTCATTTTTGCTGTAAAATATTTGCTGAAATGACAATTTTTTCCTGGGAGGTGAATGACTGGAATTAAATAGGTGAAGTGTAATTATTCAGATTCTCCTGTATTTGTGCATTTTAGATCCTTCTGTTACATCAGACAATGCCGGTACAGTAGTTGCTGTGAAAGAAGCTAAACAGGAAGAGCATGACAAGGGAAAGAAGGATAAGGAAGAGCAGAAGGAAGCACTTATTGACCCATCAATTCCGTCAGATCTAAATAAACCCGTGGAAGAAACTGTACCTCCCAGTTTGGAACAACTATGGTCATACACGTGTGATTTAACTCAGGGTCTCAATGTGAGCAGCATGGCTTGGAACAAAGTAAACCCAGTGAGTTAACAAATTGCTTCTTCTAAGCTGTTTACGTAGAGGTGTACGTGATTGTCAGGGTGTATCAACTCCTGATTTTTATATACTTCACTGGGAGGGATCTCAAATTGCTGGATGCATCCCTCCAGTCACGTGGGTTGTGTTTGCATCCCAACATCTGTATTCTGTCCTTTCTTATAGCAGTATCACTACATTATTCTACAGGTTGGACAGCTGCCTTAGGCTTTCCTTACACCTGTATCACAACAGCTTTAATTGGTCAAGAATACATCAGTTTACCATGGGTAGTCACCCAACCAACAACGTTAAGATAATAAACTGGGTCTATTACAGAATTGGAAGTCAAAGTATAAACCCCTACCACTGAACTATTGCCCTTGATGGAGTTTATCCATGACAGTTTAGAGACCGCATCTTTGTTTCTAATAGCAATCTCCCAAGAAAGCTGCATTCATCAAGATTTAAGTAGAAAATGTGTAATAACAGGTGCAGATTTTTGAGCAGCTGGCCTGAGTTTATTTAATTTGATTTCGGTGGAGGTGAGAATGACTTGGACATCTCCACTTTCAGAGTAACGTAAGGCTTAGGTTTTCAACAGAGCTCTCTTAGAGCTGCAACAAAAATAATGCGTAGAAGGAAGGTAAAAAGCAGGTGAAGATGAGAAACATAAAACCATTCAGATTTCCCCATGGGGAAAAAAAGAGAAAATGGAGAACATTGCATAATGTAAACACACCAGATGTAATGAAGTATGACACACTTAACAGACTTCAGTCTTAGCATTCTAAGGCAAATACCCACCTACTTTCAGAATATTAGCTTCACAAACGGGTTGGTTTGTGTAGCAAAAATACAACTAATGGAGTTGAAGACTAAAGTCTTGATGCTGTTTCTTATTTTTCCTTACGGAAAAGAGTGAATGGAATTCATCAGACCCCACCATCAACAGCTGAGAGCTAAGTTTGAGATGATCGTTGAAACTCCTTCTATAGCTAACACTGATACAGAAGAGTAAAATTAGTATTAGATATTCTATTAAACACTGCATATTAAAATGCACTTGTAGAATACTGTATATCCATTTGGATATCCACTTATTTTTTTAATGGCCTTGGGGAGAAAGGGTTGCAAACACAACCGAAAGAGACTATAATTGCACTTTTAGTTGAACCAGTTTCTACTATTCTAGAAATTCTGTTTGTGTGTGTTATGCTGCTGGCATACAATGTAAACATGTTTCCGAGCTTTGCACTCAGAGTCACTGTTAGTAGAAAGTTGCCTTTTAAAAATGTACAACTGAACGTCAAGTTAAACTGAGGTACATCTGTTAATCTGTGCTTTTAGGATCTTTTGGCTGTTGGTTATGGAGCGTTTGATTTTAAAGAACAGAAGAAAGGCTTGGCGTGCTGTTGGTCATTGAAGAACCCCATGGTAACAGCAGTATCAAGTTTGTTTTCTTTCTTCAGTGCATTTTCCTGCTGTACTATTTCTGCTACATTTAATTCCTTCTTCCAAAAACAAACAAACAACCAAACCAACCGACCAACCATCCAACCAAAACATAGGATCTAGCCAGTAAGGTTTGATTTGCTAGCCCAAACCACACATTTCTGGAAAACTGATTTTGACTGCACTACCTAGCGATGTGCTTAAGTCTTGAAACAAAAAAAAAGTGCCTATAGGATGCAGTTTAGTTTCTGCACCTGTCCATCCTCTCAATTCACAGTGCCAACAGAGGTGCCAACTGTTCTGGTGGTTTTGTAATGTGGATATCTGTTTGCAGGAACTGCACTCATTGTATGTAGGCCACCAAACAACTAACAGATGGTTACAGCTCTCAGGTAATACCAGTCTATTTTAAGCAACTTGACAACGCAGACCTCTATATCCCATTTCCAATTCCTAGAGCAGCCTACCCAAGACTATAAATCAGTTTTGTTGTTATTATGGGTAAACCCAGGTGTGCAAATCTTTCTGGAAAAAAAAAAATTTTTTTAGACTGTAAGAGTCTTGAGCACAGAAAATGTGAAAATCAATCCATTTACCTTTTGTTTTTCAAACCCTTGTTCAATACTTGCAAACTCTGATTATAATACATCCATATTTTAAATTTAAAGATTATCCTTTCCAATCCATTTTCTGTTATACAATGAAATTCTACGTTAGCCTGAAGGAAAAATATACAAAATTAAATATGTAACTTTTCAAAACAGTGGCAAAAAGACAGTAGATTTCATTGATGTAATATTAACATTTTTATATATACATTTAAGAAGTGATCCTTGCAGATTTTCTTTTAAATCTAGACTTTTTTAAAAAAAGAATCTTGGAAATTTCCAGTACAAAATGACACAGTAAAAATTATCTGATCGCCAGTTGGATTTATTCTACAAACTTCCCTTGGCTAAAAATGTGCATTAGACTAGTTTAAATCATGCAGACTCAAACCTCCTCTAACTTTTGATGCATCATTATCACATTGACAACAATTAAACATGTTTCCCTAGCATCATGATAGTCCTCAAGTGCCTAACGTTAAGAAATTAGACCTTGCATGCATGCTGAAATATAGTCCTTTGCAAACTGATACTTTGCTGTTTCACATTTCAAGAGATCAGTGCAGTGACTTTAAGGGTTTAACCTTATAACAGAGCTGAATTAGTTCTTTGGTTATGAGGAAAAATAATACAAAAATACTGGTTTTACAGATTACCCGAGGTACGTTAGATTATATTGCATCTTCAGCTAAGGTTCTGCAATTAGAAAGTCACTTGCTTTCTAACTGCAAAATAGAAAACAACGGGAAGAACTTTCCAAAATGTTATTTGTTTTAAATAGAAAACAAACAACAACAAAAACCCCACACTACACTAGGCTGAATCTTCGGGAACTTGATTTTTAGGTAATTGGTTGGAATCTATTTCACAGTGTCGTATTTCTGCACAGTCTTTATTTTTCCCTATTTTTATCAGCACACCAAGAAGTAATAAATGGAACCATTCAGAATATAATCCCTAATTTTTGTCTGTTAGTAATCATTATGGTCATCGGTACTTTAATTTCCCAGCATGGCCTGGCAATTTATTATCCAGTGTTGAGAAGACCAAGGTAAATTAAGAAACTAACTCAAAACATCCTTGTATTTTTCTACTGGTCAGTGGCCAGAGCGTATTTTCCAGTGTGAGCATGGTGTTACTGCATTGGATTTTTCTATGGCAAGCCCGAACCTTTTAGCAGTTGGGACGTACAGTGGTACCATCACCATCCATAATGTGCAGAGTAGTACCACCACTGCAATTCTGAATAGCAGGTAAGGCTACGATTTGCTGTCTTATCCCACCGTGGTCAGGTCTTAGCTTCTCAGCTATGGATATTCCTGTATTTGTTATTTGCTGCATGAATAGCAACGCTTGCTACGTAAAGCTTGCTTGTGAATACTCAGGGATTTTGTGTATTTTTTCATTTCCAACTTCTCATCACTACCTTCCAGTTCTGACTGGAAATGCCTTTTTTAACACGTGGTATTCTCAAATAGTAGAGGTTTTGGGAGCAAAACTGAGGGCACAAAAGATCTGTAATAGTACATCATTGCCCAGAAAGGGACAGAGTGGGGAAACCAGACTTTTTTCCATCCACCTATTTACACTGATACAGCCAAATCCTCAGACACTGCCCTTCTCCATCTGCACTGCCATCACTCTCTCATGTTTTTTTCTGCCACTAAATGGTTACATTAACACCAATGCAAAACGAGTTCTCTGCATTGGAAGGGAAAAACCAGTACTGTGTTCTAGCTTTTTATGAAAGTGCAGCAAGTTACCACATCTTATGATTTGATGTAGTGGCCATGTACTAAGTAGGACAGTCCTGCTCCAATAAATACTTACTGGAGACTAGCAGTGGCTTTTGTGTTTTCTCATTGATTCCACTTGCCAAAAAAAGGAGCGAGACAGACATCAAAAATAAGAGACATTTGCCCTGAGGGCATCTCACCAGGTCTAGGGAATTCTCCTACAGGACACGGGTTGACTTAATGATTCAGGCATCAATGAAAGGTGTGTCTACACATTAAAAAGGGTGCTGAAACTGAATATAAAACATGTCTGATAAACAACAAACAAACAAACAAAAAAAAACCAACTGGTGTAAACAGCTGGTACTGGGAGATACATATTTGTAAGAAAATCTAAATTGCATTTCTGTCATAATACTTGACATTCATTAGAAAGTGGGAAGTTATTTCCACTTAATTTCCCAATTATTTTTCAGAAATGTTGTCTTTGTTGATACATGGTTTATCTTCTCTGTTTTTTGTCCCAGAGATTCTTCAGAAAGTCATACAGGTCCTGTATGGCAACTGAAGTGGTTGGAACAGGACGGCAACACAGCAGAGGATGACAAGAGAGAGAGATTAATCTCTGTCTCAGCAGATGGCCGACTAACCAAGTGGCTTGTACAGAAGGAACTAGATTGCACTGGTAAGCATTTTCCCCTGCAGCTTTTCTGCACAGGGCTAATACCTGGAATAGCATTTGCCCGATTTTATTTCAGGTGACACTCTTTATACACGGTTATTATAAGCAGAACATTTAAGAGCTGTTGAGAATTCCAGAGAAGCATATGACAGTGCTATGAATAACTCCTATCTGCTTGACAAAAACTCTTGCTATTTGCACAGACCTGATGAAAATAAAGCGAGCAGGAAGTGAGAAGAAAAATTTACCACGTGAGAAGGAAAGGAAAAGTGTAGTTCTAATATCTCGGCAGGCAGCTGGAATGTGCTTCGACTTCCATCCAAAGGTAGGCTCAGCAAGTCCATTGGGGCTAAAGTACTGTACACGAAAACTGTGCAGCAGAGGTCCAATTCTCAGCTCAAGCTACTGTAATATGCACTAGCCTGGGATTCAGCACTGGCATTTAAAGCATATTTCATTTTGAAACAAATACTTCTTAGCTCGTAACAGTTTTACCCCAACTGGATGATAGGGTAAACCACGTGAGTGACCTCTGAATGTGAGCAGCTGAGTTGTTTCAGCAATGTCACTCACATTTGCTTTGGGCTAGATCCTGTGGTAGCTTTCCTCCATGTGTTGGTCAGACCTGTGAGAATTTGGCTGTTCAGCATATCCCGAGTCTTGGACTCTGATGTTTCTGCTTCTCCAAAAATGCTTACCAGCACAATCCAACTTATTTTATTTTATTTTAATTTTTGTGTGTGTGTGTGTGTGCATGTGTATGTGCACAGAGCATTTGAAGAATCCATGCATTCATCCACATGAATCACAGAAAATCCAAGATTTTCAGGAGTCAAAGATCAGGCATATATGCTGCATAGCACACATGCAGGCAGCCCAAACCACAACATCCTAGCAGCTCCACCTTAGTTCTTCAGAGGACTGTCACTGCCCAGACTCACCCAGTTCTGTACATATTTTTGGATAAGTGATAAGTAGGTTAATCCAACTTAGGTTATTTTTACTTTCATTTCAGGACACTAATTTTTATCTTGCTGGAACAGAAGAGGGTCTTATTCACAAGTGTTCCTGTTCATACGATCAGCAGTTCCTGGAGACATACAAAGGACATAAGGTGAGTGATGGATAGAAAAAAGTAATGAGAGCAGAAATGGCACTCAGTAAGGTTTACCAATTTAATGGTTTCGTTGCTTTTAGTTCCTAAACAAAACACCTGCAATGAAAGAAAACTAAACTTCTTTTCTTACACAAGGAATGAGTTCCTGTAGCATGAAGTATCACAGTCTTACAGGATTACTTTCTACACTAGAAGCGTTTTTTAAAGTAATTTATTAAAGCTTGTACTATAAACTGTTTTAAAGCTTTAGTTCTGGCATTGTTTAAATAGAACAGTCAGTGATTCGATTGTCCTGGAAACCACAGTTAAATAGCTTACATCTGAAAGAAAAATGCCAGAACTTTAACAGCACCTCCTATTTTTTACAAGTCTCTGCTTCATCCAAGAAGCTGCCCTTTCAGCATCAGCTTCTCCTAACAACAAGTGAAGGGACAGAATCAGCTGAATGCTTTTGTTCCCAAGACCTCTCTTCTCTTATCACATTGGCTGAATCCTAATTTCCTATGGGTACACATTAAATGATGCTGGTTTTGCTACTAAGGTCAGAGGACAGTTTGGGAGTTCTGTGAAAGGTCTGTTGGAAGAGAGCACTATTAAAAGCCATCCTATGAGGCTGTAGCTCTGGAGTAACACAAAGTTGTTTTTTGTTTCTTCCCAAACACCAAGGGTCCTGTGTACAAAGTCGCCTGGAATCCGTTCAGCACTGACATGTTCCTGAGCTGCTCTGCGGACTGGAGCATTAAGTTATGGCACCAGAACTCACAGACACCCATTTTAACTTTCAGTTCCACCACCACTGTTGTGCATGACATTATGTGGTCGCCAAAATCAGTCTTTATATTTGCAGCAGTGAATGAAAGCAGAGTGGAAATTTGGGATCTCAGTGTCAGCATGTGAGTAACTACTTCTCTCAGAGAAGATTCTGAAACAATCTTCTTTTCTCAAAGAAGATTCTGAAACAATTTAAAGCACAGAGGCTGAACATTATTGCTTAATCAGTATTGTTATCAGATCAGTACAAGTCCATGACATTTGTTTTGCTTGCTTAGCTACTGATAGAAGTATTGCATTTTGTAAAAACAAATGCTAGTTATCGGAGAATTGTAATTATAAGAGAAGAAGCTGGATGCCTCCAAAATGATAGAGGGTAAAGTTGCTTTTCTGCTGCAGAAATTATAGATTCTAGCACATCTACAGCCAAAAGAAAAATAACAAAACCAAACTACTTCAGACCTTTTGTAATGATGAGAGATTGTCAGAGCTTCGGATACGTCTTGTGTTTTACCACTATTGCAAAGTAGTTGAGAATCACTCATATTTTATGTAAGTTTAGTTAATCTTAGTCAATCTGTGGCATTGTACTACTGCTAGTGTGAATTATTTAGTAATAATGACAGCATTAAGAAAGCAGTGGAGGGGGAGCCCACTGAATCTTGTGTTAGCAGAAAGCAAATTATTCATATTGTAAGAATATTAACACACACATAGTCCGCCCAAGTATTAGGCAACAGGACAGATTTTAGGCAACCAGGATATCTTAGTTAATAACAGCTGGAATTTTTGTTCTTGGTAGAGAACAAACAAAACATTGCCTCACTTCTTTACCAGAACAAAAATCCCAGCTTCACTTCTTACTTTTGGAGTTAAGCTAGAAAATAAAAAGCAAAACATGTGGCATTTATCAGGCCTGCACTACCACTAGACTTTGTGTGATAGTACACTCCAGGCAAATGTGATTTTACCTGTATCATCATCAATATCTGCCTTTCCTGTGTTGCAGCCTGGACCCTATGATCACTCACTCTGGCAACCCAGAAGTGAAATTCACATCTGTCCTCTTTGCTAAGAACACTGACTGCCTGCTAGTAGGAGACAGTCGTGGAGAAGTCAGCGTGTTTGAGCTGCAGAACCTGGCTGCTTCCAGCAGTACTAAGGTAGGACTTCCTAGGAAGAGGCGGTGGTCCTCAGTGGTCTGTGTGTCTGGTACTTTGTTCTTCAGAAAGGGATTTCTGCTAAAGAATCTGGTTGATGATCTAGCTAGTAGATACTGAAATAGGTGGAATCGGATACGATCAGATGACCAGATTAAAAATTGAGGTGGTTCCTGCTCTTCTGCATGCCACACAGACAGAAACTTCTCAAACCAGAAGGAACAGGTAAGTCAACTTCAGACTTCAGGTTGCACTTGGTTGCAAATTCAGAGGTTCCCCACATTTGGGTTCGGGAGGACACGCGGGGCAGAGCCGGAGGCCCGAGCTCCCCCCGAAGGCAGGTAAGTGGCAGGGTGCCACCCCTGCCTCTGAGGCAGGAGCGACGTGCCCTCTCCTGGCTGCCTGTAAGACAATCTCACCTCATCTCCCTGCACAGGGCCTGGAGCCCAGAACTGTACTGCTTGATGAACTCAGCTCTCCCTTCATCCTTTCAGCTTTGAGCAAGGAGCGCTGCCTTGCTGGGCTTTCATTCCCACTTTGTAAAATAGCACTGGCACTTTTTAAAAGCACTTCAGAGTTATACAATGTAAAACACTAAACCATTTTTTGGGAGGATGAAAATGCTGGTGTTAATCTAACTTTCATTCTTAGGGAATTATTTCATTCTTAGGGAATTAAGAATTAGTAATTTGTGATTACTAGCAGTGCATTTAGAAGTTCTGGTAATTACTAGCAGCCTCATTTGCTAAGTACTGTAAACCACAGAGCAAGAAAGTACTTCCCTTGAAAACTGGAAGTGAGGCCATTGTTAACGTAAGATAAATGTTTGTTTGTTTTCTCCCCTACAAGTTACCATGAAGCAGTCCAAGTCTTCTGAACAGAAGTTTTTCTGCCAATAAGAGTATAGGAATCATTTTCTGGGTATATCTGTGCTTAATTTCAGGCCTGGGAGATGTGGCACAACTGGCGACTGAGTCACAGAGCCTCATTAGACAGGGTTCTAATGAGCATGGACCCTCTCATTAGTACAACTAGTACTAAAGAAAGATTATTATGGCAGGGGCAATCACTTCTTTTGTTTCCCCTCTCACTTTTTATTTTACAGGTTGATGCCTTATATGATGTAATCAGTCCCGCTCTAACTACTTAACAGTAGCTAAATGACACCACTTCCCAGTCAGCAAACAGTAGAAGAGACTTCTGGTAGTATTATCATAAAGTGTTTATTGCTTTTAAATTCATTAAAATCTATATTTGGAACCATATGGGTTGGAAATCTTGAATGGTGTAAATTTTCCCCAGGAATCCCCCCCTCATGTGATCAGGCTGTTGCATTAATACACAGAGGGCTTCCCCTGTAATACAGATAAGGCTTCCATTAAAGTGTTTTCTCCTTGGGTTACTCAAAAAGCACAAATGCCCCAAATCCCCTCCCTGTGCTGGCCACTCATCAGGAAACAGAATACCCCCTAAATCCAGACTGAAGTCCTAGAACACAGCCATTTGCAGTCCTCATCTTCCGTCGTGGTCTCAGATCCGCCTTGTCTGCCACCCCATAACCCACAGCTGAGGCTGAAAGCCACGCTTTGAAAGGCATCAAGTGCTCCTGCCACCCGCAGATCGCCCCACACCAGGCGTGGAGCAGTCCAGGCTGTCTTCTTGGGGCAGAACAGAAGAATCTGAAACACAGCACACATTGGTGCACACACACACAAAGTGCCCAGTGGGCCACCAGCTGCACCCTGGTGCCTTAGAGGATTTTTGCACAAAATCTGGCACATTTTTAAAGACGAGTCACTAGGAATATGAGTGAGGTTACAGCCACAGAAGAGATCAGCACAGCAGAGATCCCCTGTCACAAGAGCTCGGTGCAGTAAAGCGCTCTGCCTGTCAACTGGCAAAGGCAATAGCTGCCTGTTTCTGAGAGCATTATGTGGGGAGACGTATATTTTATAGATACAGGACAGTCGGGCTCTCATTAGGCTCACAGTAAATGCCCAACATTTAAACACATCACTGAAGTTAAAGATCATTTGTGATGCATTAACATCCACTTCCTTCTGCAGCCTGCACATTACACAACCCGCATGCAGGCTGATCCTTGACGTGAGATGAATTTTCGTGCATTGCAAAGACATCCAGCCATTAAGGTGAATCATGTGTTAATCAGTAGTTAATCATTATTACAAATTAGATCAAAATGCACCATATATTTTTCATCAGGGCTCGTGACTGTTTGCTTACCGATGCTTTCTGTCGAGGCTGTAACATTTCGTAATTCACCCTGCGCACTGTTTGTCACAGAACTGTAACGTTACGGTGCTGGAAAACACTCGTGGTGCTAGGAAGTGCTACAAATCCCCAAAGTTCCTCATGTATTTTGTTCTCAAACATGGAATTTCTGACCTGTTTTTTTCTTTAAGACATTTTATTGAAAGAATTTTTAATCGAAGCTCACAGCAACCGCAGCCAACAACATGCAGAACAACACCAAGCTCTGGATACCAGCTGATGTGCCAGCCCCTGGTCCCAGAGCTGCTCCCTGCTGCTTTAGTGCACCCATTTCTGCCTTTCAGAGAACTTGCCAGAGAACTTGGCCAGAGAACCAGGCAGGGGAGATGGATCGGTGCACAACTGAGGATGTCCCTGGGAGAAGTCACCTCCCTTGTCATTTGGGATCACAGAAAAAGGCCCGGAGTCACTCAAGCTGTGCTAACACCTGGGCAACAGGCTGTGGTGGCAGAGCTGTGCGGGAGACGGGCAGAGAGGAAACCCATTACCTACAAACCAGGCAATAAACGTTTTGGCAGAACACACACATTAACGGTATTGACCTAAGCCCGTTCCCTATAAAGGTGCCACACTCCGTGTTCCTATTTTAAAGCACTTAGGTCGTCTGAAGATGTCTTTAACACCAAACCCCAGCGGCGTAGCCCAAAGCCCATAAAGCGCCACCAGAAACAAGCGATTAGCTCCTTTTGGGCAAACATCACCACCCTGGGAACGAGCCATTACCCAGCGGGGCGCGCGGAGCAGCCGTATAAATGCAGGGATTTCAGCAGCTCTCCCCAAATCAGCCTCACACATCTCCTCCTCCTGGCCCTCACCACCTCACCGCCTTGCAAAATGAGGAGCACGCTGCTGGCCCTCGCCGCGCTCGCCCTGCTGGCTGCGGCACGCCAAGCTCAGGGCGAGGGCAGCGCCGTGAAGCTCTGCGGCAGAGACTTCGTCAGAGCCATCGTCTTCACCTGCGGCGGCTCGCGGTGGAGAAGGGACTTGGCCGATTATCAGTACCTGTTTGGTGAGTACTAATTAGTGCATCATCACAGCATCAACAGCGTGGACCTGGCTTTGAGATCCCCCAGTGACGTGGTGCAGCTTCACATTTCTTGTGTCCTCGCAGCTCGTTTTGCTTAGCTGTTTTATTTGCTATTCTGCTAAATTAAAAAGATTTGGATCAAGATTTTGAACCTGAGGAACCGTGAGTTAAGTGCAAGGTTACCACTGAACGTTTCTATGCTATAACATTTTATACTAAATTTTATTTTAAATGTTATGCTGTAACACTTTACATGTCAGGGAGAAGCCTTGCTGCAGTCAATACAAGTTTCACCATTATCTTGGGTACCACATTACCTCTTTCCCCATCAAAACCCAGAAACTTTATAAACAGCTTGAAGATATTAAAAGTAGGAATACAGAATGCCAAATACATGCTCTGTGATTGAAGTATCTTCATGTGCTGCTGTGTATTTATTATATATTTATTAGTGCATTCTTAAGTAGAGTCAGAAAATTCAGCCACTACATGCACTGCTAGAATTTGTACTCAGGTTAAAATAACTAGAAAAAAAAGAAAATAAATGAGGCAGATGACAGGAACAGAGGCTTCCTATGTCTTCCATGCAATAATAACTGCCTTTTCTCAAAATTTTACGGTAGCAGCAGCTTTAAAAAGTGATCCCATCTGCAGCACCCTATCAGAAAGCATGGTAAAGGAGAAAACACCGCTGCTGAATTAAGCAAGGTATCCTCTATAGCTTTATAAACTCCACGTGCAGTGCCTGGTTGTACGGTGGTGTTTGAAATGCACATGAATTACAAGCATGATTTAAGTGGGAACATCCAGGAACTCTGCGTGTCTGATGTGTTAACACAGAAGCTGCATCTCAGGAAACCCACAAGAAGTCCTCGGTTAACATGCTCAGCAAGTGCCACTCACATCAAATCACTTTTATCCTCTGAAGCAAACGTATCAGTGTAAGGCTGATTAGGCAACCGCAATGCAAAGAACACTCTTTAGTACAAATCCATGAATTCCTGTTATTTTAACATGTTAATCACAGAACGTGCACCTCACATAGCTCTTTTAACACCGTGCTGGTGAGGAGACAGTGATCCCATACATCCCAGCTGTTATATCAGAAACGTGGCTAATACTCTCAGCTCTCCAGCTGTAGCTCGGTCTGACTTTCCTTCTGATAAACACCTATAATTGACTCACGATTCCATGACTTGTAATGCTTAGCTTCTAATTTTTATGCGACAGAGAGTGAAAACCCCCTGCCCTCCTCCGAGGGGAACGGTTACGCAGATCCCTTGACATACACGGACCGGAGGCTGGGGACTGACAGCGAGGAAATCCTTAACGCCAAGCCCGAGACGAAGCGAGACGTGCAGCGCCCCAGGAAGATGTCGATGCTGAGAAAGCGCGAAGTGGCCAAGTTGCTCACCACATCCTGCTGCAGCGTCGGCTGCAGCGAGAGAGACATAAGCTCGCTGTGCTAAAAGGCAGCAGATGCTGATGAGGCTCGCTGCCATAGCTTCCATGGATTAAAATCATCATGACATAAACACGGTTATTTCAGTTGTATTCTTTAATTGTAGCTTCATTCTTTGGAGCACACTAAGGAGTAAAGGCTGAATGGTGAATGTTCTAGTGCAAACCAGCTAACAGCTGCAAGGGCAGCTCAGGTTGGTTTGTCTACATCCTACAAAGTTCAGTGTTTTAATTTTTACATGTTAAAATCATTACATTTTTAGACATGAGGACAATTTCTTTCCATCCAGCGACTAGTCTAGTTTCAGCTTTGCACATAAAATGTAGTAACATTAGCCATTTACCGTAGGTGCTTCCTCTTACTTATGAAAATCCAACAGCCGATTTTGGACCTGGTATCAACTGTGAAATACGGGTAGCAAAAAGCCCATCTTCAGTAGCAACAGACTTAAACCAAGGCTGTGCAAATAACTCTGTGCAGAGCATCACACCATGAGGCCTCCAAGTCAGAGCCCTGCCACAGCATGGGAATTGCTATAGCAGAAGAGACTTTGATCAATTCAGCACTGATTCCCCTTAAAAGGGGCAGGTGCCATGATTTGTCTCCTATTGCAGCTGTTTCCAAGAAAGTCTGCCCAAGGTCCTGCCTAGCAGGCAGTTAATTTGCACCCAGACAGCCTGGAAATCTGTTTCTGAGCTCAGAGAGGTGTTTGCCCCCTGCTATCCATAGGCAGGAATCAGCTGAGAAACCCAAATCAATTTTTTTTGCTAGATTCAAGCACCTTAAATAAAAGGGGCCAGACATGTTGGATGTATGTACTCTAAACATGATATAATTTAAAGGCATTTATCATTTGATTTCAAACGCTGTGGGACAGTTAGTCTTAAGCACGTGCTTAACCGCCTGAAAATGCCATTTAATGCAGACTATTTCAAAATGCTTTTGTTTTACTTTCAAAAAATCCCCCTGTGATTTCTACTTGGGGATCATGTAGTCAGTATATTCAAGGAGAAAGAGTATTACAGGGATACACTGTTCTGAAAGCGGTTAGGATCAGGTGCAAAACGGCATTTTACAGAGAATCACTTCCCAGAGAAAGCCTTGGGAAATACAATTATTACATCCACCACCAAAAACCTTACGGTAACCACATTACAAAACATTTCAGAGTTGCCTTGGTCCTTCACAACTGTTCTCAGAAACAGAAACAGGAAGAGTTAGAGAGAATGATAATTTTTCCCACTGCTAAAACTCAGCTACCTCATTATTCAAAATAGATTGCGTAGACATTTGCAAGAGCAAACAGCGAAGTGTTTTTGAACACATATGAGGAAAACGTATCAGTTGCTGGATCCCACAGGCACCTGCTTCCGATCTGCATGCTCTGCTCATTCAGCTGCCCAATGTGCGTCACCACAACGATCTTGTACCTCGGCACCAGGAGGGCTTTTACCCGAGCTTTGATAACCTGCAAGAGAGAAGCGTGGTTAGACTCCAAGGGCGAGCTCTCCTCGCAGGGGATGCTCAGTGACTGGGTTTTCTGGGACGCAGCAGTGTGAGCACTGCACTACTGAGCCCTTGCAATATTCCTGACGGTAATCTTTGAAATGCTGCAATTTGAAACATCTACAGCACGCCACCCCAGCCCCACGAGCAGGTGGATGCGTGCCACTGATGTCATTTGACAAAAAAAAACAACTTCCATCTGCTAAAGCAGGCACATCTTTCTGCCTGACTACAGGAATGTGAGCACGGATGTGAAGTGAGGAGTTCGGGTACGTGAGTGCCATCCTCCCACTGCACAGATCCCCTTCCCACACACACTCACACTCACCTGCTGAGCACAGGGGGAAAAGGTACCCGAGGCAGCACTGCTTTTTCTATGCCGACAAGCCCTCCTGGGCCAAATCAGCTGAAAAACTAAAAGCTCAGGACAGTCTTTTCTTGGATTTAGCCAACAAGGAGTTCGCACATGTCACTGAGCAGAATTAAGCCACTATAAACACAGGCACCACCAAGGGCTTAGTTTGGAAAGGTCTGAAATACACTTCAATTAGTAGCGTTTCTGGACAGGACAAGAATTTTTGTCCAAACCGTGTGTTTGGCCAGAGCCACTGCTGCTCAAACAACCCCCACCATCAAGCTATAGCTCTGCTCCTGCTCCAGACCAACCCCTGGTGCATTCTGAGGCCCCCTCCAGCGTTTGCTTTATGCCTATATTGACCCTGGATGGTGCCCACCACCCTTGCTCTGCCTGTGGTTACAAGTGAGAGGTGTGCTGCTGGAAAAAAAACCCTAAAACCTCAAGTTTTGCGTTAACTGCTACCAGAAATGGCACGGGGAAGGGGATGGATGCCTCATGACCTACCAAGGAAGAAGAATACGATTGAGACCGCACTGTGGGACCCCCTCCCAAGCCTCCCTGAAGCAGCAGGAGGACACCACGGCCCCCAGAGCGAATGAACCATGGGGGTACCTCAGCGATGGTCTTCGCCATCTCCCTGCATGTGCCGGGCTCGTAGGGCTGCTCCCGCAGGTACCCCCGCAGCACGTCCCTCAGGATGGCCTCCACCGCGCCCACCGGGAAGCGCTCGGCAGGACCTGTGGCAGAGCGGGGACACACGCACTGAATCCCCCCAAAAACCCCCAAATTCCCCAAAGAAATTGGGGGTTTCCCCAGGAAATCCCACCGCCTTGAAGCCAGGGCGGGCTCCCCGCTGACACCCCGTACCCACAGCCCCGGCCCCTACCCGTGAGGGGGCAGCCGCCACCCCGCTCCCCGCCGCCCCGTTCCCCCTCGCCCGGCCCTGAGGCGGTGCTGGGCCGCCGGGGAGAGCCCGGGGGGCACCGGGGCTCCGTGCCCGAACCGCCGGGGCCTCGCCGCATCCCCCCCCCCACTGAGGCCGCTGAGGGGCCGGGAGGGCCTCGGCCAGCGCCGCCCCGCGGCCGGCGGCCCCTCAGCGTCCCCCTGTGCCCGCGGTCTCCTCATGATGTCGCCACAGCCGCCTTGTTGCTCTTCGTGTCACCCCAGCCCCTCATGGGACACCCCCCCGGGTCTCTGCTGTGCTGGCACAGCGTCCCTACAGCCGCCACACGTCCCTCTGAGCCCCTCAGGTCCTTCCAAGCACCCCTTCCCCGTGTCCCCATGCGCCCCGCCATGTGTCCCCAAAGCCCTCCAGTAGGGTTCAGCAGCCTCCATGGGTCTTGTGGTCCTATATAACGGGTTCCTACAGCCTCCCCCATGCCCCTATGGGTCCCCAGGGGTCCCTGTGGTCTTTACAGAGCCACACGTGTGCCTGTAGCCCCCTTGTGTCCCCATGACATCCACAGGTGGTCCCCACAGGTCCCTAAGGCTCTGATGTGTCCCCGTGGCCTCCATGGCTCTTCACATCCCTCAAGTGCCCCCAAAAGCATGGTCCCTACATGTCCCCACAGCCCCCATGTGTCCCCACAAGCCCTAAATGTCCCCACAGGCCCTAAATGTCCCCATGGGTCCCCACATGCCAACCCCAACCACAGCCCCATGCCCCAGCTGCACATGGAAGCAAAACACACTCAAAGTAGTGTTTTCTGGTTTTTATTTTCAAGGAAAAAAAAAAAAATCACATTTAAATCGCAACTTAAGTGGGCGTTTGATGTGGTTCTCATGTATAGAATTAATAAACTTTGTTCTGATGTGGGGGATTCTTTGTTGCAGTATTATGCATGGTAAATAATTGCATATTCAAGATTTTGTGAAATGGGTGAGAGGGAGAATGGAGGAAAGACATTTATAAAAAACATTATTTACAAAAATGATATCCACATATTCGTATCCTAATCTATAAGGCAAGTAACATTTAAAATATGTTGTCTCATGATTATCTTCAACAAGTCAATACAACACATTCATATTACCAGTGGTCAAATACAAAGCTTTGCTGCAGGAGTCCATGTGCAACAAACCTGTACGTCTTTACAGTTTTTCTCTGAGAACATTAGGTAAGCAGCAAAGTTTTTCATCACAGACTAAGCAGTACCTAGGCCATCGTAGACTAAAGGTATAATATATCTCATTGCACGTTTAGGCAAGAAAGGCCAGCCATTCATTAACTTATTTAACTTAAATCTTAAAAATAGACCTGTGTATCTTAATCCACAAATATTTATAAACATTTTATACACGAGGGGTTTCATAAAATGATATAGCTTATATAGGGTGATACCCCGGGGAACCCAATTTGCTGCTGGGGCTCCCTTTGAGCCCCGAGGGGCTGCAGCAGCGGGGGCGCAGCCCAGCCTCCCTTGTCCTGGGCAGAACCGGAGCTGTGAACCGAGACCTGACGCGATTCCTCTCTCAAACTGTGACTCAATTTTGGGTAAGATTTGTGCCACCAAAGCACCTGGCCGATTTCATCAGCCTTAGAGCATCCTGGATGGAGCTGGGAGAAAGGAGTGGGTTTCAAAGACACCATGCATGGATTACAGGGCCGAACCGCAGCGTGGCATTTCCCCCCAAAATTGCTGCTTGTCAAGAAGGAGAGAGAGATATAACAGAGAAATAAATATCCTAAGCACCTGTTAAACCCTGCCGTATCTTCTCGCATACTGCTCGGCCTGTAGTGAAGTCCTGCTTCTGTGCAAACCCTGGAGGAACATTGCCTCACCAACACCTGCGATTTTCAAGAAAATTGCCAGCAGCACTACCGGCAGTCCCTCCCGAAATGCAAGGGGAGATCGTACAGGAGGTGTGGGCTATTTCTGCAGGCCTTTTTCCTGCTCTGCAATGAAGTGAGAATTAAAATACATCATAAAAAAAAAATCATAAAACTTCCTAGCTCTACGAGAATTGCTTTCCTTGTAAATTTGTGAGAAAAAAGAGTAAGTATTCTGGCTATGAAATGAAGTCTTTGAGACAGTAATTCCTTACAGGGAAAGTACAACGTGATGAAATTACGTATTTCAGTCACGGTAAGCTTCAAAATTAAGATTTTTAACAAAGACATTTTCACATAAAGATGACGCCTTTGACAACAAAAGAATAGGGGAAAATCACTGCATATTCAGGGGATAGAACTGGCTTCCTCAAGCACGAGCTGAAATAGGTGCTGCGTGTTCAGGGGGGAGCACCATCAGCTCTACTAAGAAAAAAAGCCAAACGGAGACGGGTTTGTCTGAGACACAGAATTACAACATGCATCTGAGGGCATTTTCGGTAAAAGATGTTTGACCCTCTTAGGTCATTTAAAAATACAACACCTTCTCGTGGTAGTCTGGCTATTTGGAAATGTTTCTGCTGCAAAAAGGTGAAGCTGTGGCTCCTGATGTGACATTCGTGCTGCAGGAGCCTCGGGAAACACCTCTGGGATGCTCACCTTGAACTGCCCGGACCCCGGGAAAGGAGCACAAGGACAGCGTGTGGGGTCTCGCTGAGAAAATAACTGCCCCTGCAAGAGCAGGGCAATTTGTCACCTGGGCACTGAACGACTTCCCTAGGTCTCCCTGATCACGTTAAAAGGAAAGGCGGCTGGCTCTCACCTGCAGGTGTGCATGGCTTCAAAACGAAGGGTGGAAGCAGCATTTTCCTCCCGTGCAGCCCAAAAACCAGGCAAAAGGGACCCCGAGAGCACCCCATTGCAACGTGTCCCGGTGCCTACAGCCTGGGAAAATGCTGCCCTGGGAGCCAGAGCTCACCTTAATGTCACTAGGGCCATTGGCTTTTTTTTCTCACCTATGTTAAAAAACCCGCTATAATGGATAAATCCTGAAAGGGCACGCTGAAGACAAAAAAATAAATGTATTTTAAATATCACATAACTGCGCCGACATCCTAAGAGCAGCCTGCCCCGCGAGGAGCGTGCAGTTGTGCAACTTCCTCGCTGCACGATTGCGCTCGGGACAAGGTTTTGCAAGGGAAGCCACACGCACGCGGCAAGAGCCCAGCACAGAGCCTGGTGTTTGATGGCCAGCGGCCTTACAGCAAAAATAACCAGCAGCTTTACAGCAGGGGAGCAATATTTAAGAACAAAAGTAAACACGAAATTAAATGCTTTTGATTTGGGGATGTTTTCTAGTATCGAATATCTCCTAGTTATTAGATATTGTTCATGTAGAAAGTTGCTCAGGAACTCCTCCTGCAAGGAGCACCCTCGGCTGGCTGTGAAACCTCAATACTTGCAGCAAACAAGAGAAGAAAAGTTGCAAAAAAAAAAAAGGACTTTCTGTTCCTTACATCTAAAGAGCCACGTCTGCAGGTGTCTGTGGAGAAAAACAGCCCGGCCCCATCTGCAACAGGGCGAACCCGCGGGTGCCAGGACCCAGCACGAGGGAGCAGAGCCTGAAGGGACCGTGCTGAGACCTTTCTGTGCATGCACCCAGCCTAGTGACTGTCTGAATGCTTCCTTTTTTAATCAAAAAAGGAATCCCTGCTGCTGAGGGAGGAGGGCCAGGCACTGCTTTTGTTGCCCAAAGAGCTTTTTTGTGCGTGCTCCCAGCCCGAGAGGTGTGGGGCTGCAGGCACCCAGGTGATTTACACACCTCGGACCCTCACCGCCATCCATCTCCTGCCTGCCCTCTGCCTGCAGACACCCGAATTTTCCTGCCTAAACGCAGAGGTGAAGCCTGAGGAGCTCAAGTGCCCTGGATGCGATGGAGCTGGGGGCTCCTGCCACCGCTACAGAGACTGGACTGGGTGATAAATGTCCCTACGTACGCCCTCGCTTGCTGCTCTGAATTTACTGGGACACTGTTCAACGCTCCCAAAAAACACCAAGCGAACTGAAAAGCTACGCGAAACGTTGGCAAAAACAGCATGAAGGGAAACTGCCCCAAACTGCTGGGTTCGGTCCCAGCATCGCCCACGAGGGGCCCAGGCGTGCACAGGGAATGGGGCACGCGGCCAGGAGGGTGCTGACCCCAGCACCCACGCCTGGAAAAAGGGACCTGGTCTGGGGGACACGAGTGGGACAAGCTCGGGGTTTTGGGTTTTTTGGTTTGGTTTTCTTTTTTTTTTTGTTTTGTTTTGTTTAAAAAGCATCTAAAAACCCAATGCTAATGTAAACACCTTGTCTTGAAAACAAAATATAAAGGAAAATATCTATGTTCTGGCAATATTTACATTATAAAATCCTTCTTTTCAGGACTATGACATAGATCTCTTCTGGAAGCATGAGCTTATAACATTTGTACACAGCATGAACCAATTACGCGGAAACTGATTCTTAGATTTCGCCCTGTGTCTGAAGGGGGTGGGCTGCACAGTTTATACATATTTCCATTTCGGGGGGGGGGGAAATAACTAAATGGCCTGAGTGCTCCATCTGGGAATACCGGCGAGTTTGCTCTCAAAAACTTGTGCTTTACCTTCTGGGTTTGCACTTCTCCTGGGCACCCGTCCCACCACACACACCCCGACCTAGAGCCGCCCCAGGACGCAAACATCTCCAGGCCATGCGAATGCTGATCCCAGCGCCAGGTGCTTTTGGCTCGAGCTGCGTTAGTTTTTTTTCAATATTTGTATATTAATATGTATTTTTTGCCTGCCTAATTGGTGAAATGGAAGGGCACAGGGGCTGCACATCCCCAGATCCCTGACATGGGGCCTGCGGGGCCCGGGGGACGCGGGCTCGCTCCCGGAGCTGTCTGGCAAGGGAGGTTTGAAGGAAACGCTCTGTACAGAAGTGGCATTTTCCCTTCTTTTTTCTGGGAGGCTGCACGAGGAGCCTCCACCTTCACGGAAATGTGGTTCTGGAGTTGGACCAGCTAAACCCAAAGGTTGAGCTTTTAATTCATCTCCGTCGGCCATACAAGGGACTGAAGAAAAAGTAAACCAGCACGTGGGCTCTGCTTAGCTCTCTCTCTGTGAGGCACCCCCTTGATAACAGCTATCAGTATGGAATTTAAATCGTATATATTGACAAAATGTAATCTACCTCTGTAAGCATTGTGCCATTCGACAGTACTACTATTAAATTTATATACCACAGTTTAAATTACATCCATTTCATGAATGGTAAAATGCTAAAACTCAAGTGTCTAACTGCCAAAATACAGCCTTACTGGAATGAGTACAATTTACAAATACAATAATTACATTTTAAAACCATTAACAATGTTACATCTAGAAGTAAATACTGTAGGACTGGTCAAGACGGTGTTTTCCGAGGGGAAAAAAAAAACGCTGAAAGTTGTTGACACTTCCAACAGAAACGTCCCGAGTGCAGGATTTAGTTCATTTTCCTTAAACTGCAATTAAAACCCGTTCCACGCAGAGCAGTCCTTGGTTATTTTCTGTGTTATTTTCCACAGACTTGCATAAGCTTCCTTCAGTTATCGGCCAAGTATTTACCTGGAAATGGGACCAGAAGTCAGCCGCCCACCCCGGGGTGAACAGTGGGTGCTGCCCACGTGCAGCCAGAGACACCGCACCTCCACGGGGGATTTTTGGGGGGATTTTACCGGGGATTTCACCCCGGGGACCTCCTGCCACCGCGTGGGAGAGCCGCCGGCTGGCACCTACCTGCCGCGAACCTCTTCTTGATGAGGGAGAAGCGGTAGCCGGCGCCGACGAGCTCGATGTCGCAGCTGGAGAGCGTGCTGCCCTCGCTGGTGAACTGCACGGCCAGCGGGGCCGGGACGCTCGGCCCCTCCGACAGCTGGAAGCGGGCCAGCAGAGAGCCCACGCCTGCGGGTGGAAAGCCCCCCACGGGTCCCTTACGAGCCCGCAGGGGCACGCCGCCAGCCCCGCCGGCGGGTTGGCACGCACTGCCCGCTGCCGTGGGTGCACGGGGACCCCCAGGAGGGGGCAGGAGGCGAAGCTCCTCATTCTGCCGTCAGATTTGTGCTTTTTGGACACCCTGGCATGAAGCACATGTGAAAAGTGACCCATGGGTTGCTGCGGCCCCCAGTGGGGTGCAACACCAATGCAGGGAGGGCTGATGGAGCGAGGGGCTTGGAGAGCAGCCGAACCCGTGCCTCGAGTGCTAACACCCTCCGTGAGGCCAAGCTCTGGCTGGCAGAGCCATGCCAGGGCCATGACCTGGATTTTTAAGGCTTTTTGTGGGGTTCTCAACAGCATCATCCCCAGCCAGCCCTGGCAGGGGTCACTCTGGATGCAGACAAGAGAAAGAGGCCAAGGTCTGGGCGCAGCATTCATCGCTAACAACACGCACGTTCGGGGCATTACCTCCATTTTCTGACTTCTGAGAGATATCGGGGATCTTCCACAATATCCTCTGCTGCTCAGCGTTCCTGCAAGCAGAGGAAGAAGAGCGTTTCTGTAGGAACCGAGTCGCTGCCCAGGCTGCATCCAAAAGCTGCCAAAAGCTGCATGCACCGGGCCCCAGAGCTGCTCGGCAGAGCTGGAGCTTCGAGCCTGACCCGAGCAGAAAACACCGTGCCCCTTTGCAGAGCAGAGCTACAGCCTCCATCCTGCAGGACGGGGATGGGATTTGGTCCTGGCACCCCCCAAGCACCCACGGCACCCGTCGCAGAGGGCTCCTACCAGACAGCGGGTGGAAGCACGGCTTGCAGCTTGGTTACTCCTCCGTCGACGGGGACGAGGAACTGGACGTTGTTTAGAGCTACCGGTGTGGTCATTGCCTCTGTATTGTATTTGTAGTCGATGCGGAGGTCAGTGCTTGCAGGGTCACACCGCCAGCTCACTGCAAGGTTTAATGGAGTAGACTGAATACCCTGGGCAGATACCTTCCAAAATGACAGAAAAAACATTTAGTTTCCGTAGGGGTGAAGGGAGAAATCCCATTTTACAGACGCAGCGAATGCAAAGGTGTTTCAGAGGAGGCAGCGCCGTGCGTTCACACCGCAGGCGTGCTCGGGGCTCGAAACCTAGCGGCACACGGGGGGGGGGGGACCCCAGGCCAGCACTTCCCCACCTCCTGCTACCTCCACGCGGCACCCACAGGGCACGCACAGGTTTTGGGCAGAGCTGGGCGTGAGCAGAAGCCGTACCTGGTACTTGAGCATGTCCACGTTGTAGTAGGTGGCTTGTGGTTTCTGCTCCGAGACCTTCTTCAGGTGCGTCATCAGGTTTGGCATGTTGACCCAGAACTCCTTCGTGCTGGCGTCGCTCTGCGTACTGTCACTGCGAGCAATTAACGGGGTTAATTAGGGAGGGTTAACCCTTTCCGTGAGCACAGACACCCATCAGCTGTGACCAGGATTAATCCCGTCCTTACAGAAACACCGCGCCCCCCCCGAGTGTCTCTGTTCATGCTCAGGTGCCTTGCGAGAGGCACTGCAGGAGCATTTTGTGAGCAAAAAATGAGCAAACCCCAGGAAAAGGACTTGTTCCTCTGCTGCCTGGCAAGCAGCTTGCTCAGAGGGAATACCCCCGCCAATATTTAGGGGCTGAGAGTTTCCTCCCCAAAACCTGCCCAGGCCTTGGGGAGGACAGAGACTTCCAGCACGTGTTTTTGCGAGCGCCCTGCTCCTGCGGAAAGCCTCCTCGCCCTGGCTGGATGTGAAGGCTGGCGGCGTGGGGCTTACCAGCAGAGGAGCTGGGGGTTTGGCAGGACGTGCTCCAGCCGGTTGTAGTTCAGCACGCGGAAGGTGAGCACCGCCGGAGCGGGGTTGTTGGCAAAGTGTCGGGTGATGCCCGCTGGAAACGACAGCACCATCTCCCCCGTGATCTTCACGATGCACCTGCAGCGCCGGGCACAGAGACCCAGGGGAGGAAACGGGGGGGCTCGAAATGCAGCACGGGGAGGTGACAGCCCCCTTTTCTGAGCTGGGACCCCCCCTCCCAGACGCGCACCCGGACCCCCTGGTCGGCACCTACTTGCTGGGGTCGGCCCCTTTGAAGTACGCGTTGACGGTTTCGGTGAAGGCGGCGGCGACGGGCAGGGTGTCCTGAGCCCCCATGGTGAGCGGGCTGGGGCCCCGCGAGGAGCCTGCAACAGAGCAAAGCCTCCGCTCGCTGGGGCAGGGGGGGCACCCCGCTCAGAACCGAGCCCCACACGGGGCTTTGGGGGCAGATATTTAAAAAAAAAAAAGTCCCCCAGGCTTTGGATGAAGCGCTAACACCATTACGGGATTATCTCCACCCCCCATGAAATGAGCAAAGAAAACAGATGAGCAGGAGCACAGGGCACCAGCACGGTGGGCAGTGCAGGGTGGTTTGGGCATTTTGAGGGTCCTGGAGGGGTTGGGAAGTTTGGTTCCCATGCCCGAGGGAGCAGGATGCTCGCTGGCTTCTCCCTCCCTGCAGCAGGTGCTGCTTTCCAAAGGGCACTGCCCAAATCCTGCCAGCAGCACCCCCGTGCGTGCATCCACGTGGGATGCTGCTGCTCGCCCTGCACACCTGGAAACCCCACGCACGGCTCCGCAGGCTGCAAAACCATCGAGGCTGCACCGTGCCGTGGTGGGCTGCAGGAATGGCATCGGTGCGAGGGGCTCCCCAAAACCCTGGGGCGTGCTGGCCACCCACCGTCACCGAGGGCAGCGCAAATACGGGCTGCCAGCACGCAGGGTGCTGGTTTCTGCCCCAAAGCATCAGCCCCAGGGGAGCTTCTGGTCCCCTCCTCGTGGTCCGACATGCACCACCACACCCCGGGCTGAGCTTTTGGGACCGGAGCACGTCCCCAGGAGGTGGCAGGGAGCCAAGCGCAGCCCTGCCGGCTCCAACGTGCCCCCAGCGCATTTCTGCAACGCACCCTCCTGCAACCTTTTAAAAAAATACATCACTGCCTGTACATTAACTAAACACAGGGGGTTGTTTTGCCCCCAGAACACATCATAAGTCATGGCAGGGGGCGAAATGGGCTGTTTTGGGGTGGTTTCTCTCGCAGCATGCTCCCATGCAAGCTCCCAGCGCAGGCTGCGGGCAGGGCCGGCGGGCAGCGACCCTCGCCAAGACGCCAAGCGAGCGAGCGGCTGCCGCGAGCTCATGCTTTCCTGGGGGGGCTGTCCTCAGCACGAATCCCCTCTTCTCCACCTGCTGCTCCCCTGCTGTCGGTGTGGGTGTGTTTGCTGGCTCCTGGCCGCAGCGAGGCCCTGCCTTGTGTTTTGGCCCTGTGGCATCAGGCGAATCGGGCACGGGGTTTGGGCAGGGAAGCCAGGGTTCATGCAGTCCCCTGGGAGAAGCACCCCTGCCAGCTAAATTACGCTCTGGGCTTTGATAGATGAGTTTTGAAGGAATGCAGCACCGCAGCTGACGATCCCACACGCCCTACAACCACCCCAAAAGCACGATGCCAGCGCTGCTCCCTCCCCACAGCACGGGTCAGCCCTCCCCAGTGCTGGCACTGTCCTTCCAGAGGGCTAACGCAGCCTGGACGGGTGTTAAAAATTAATGTAGCCGCACATCTCCCTGGTCATACATCTTAAAAGACCCAGGAGAATGCATAATTTCAGCCCTGACCTGGAAGAAATGATGCTCAGCGAGTGCCAGCGCTCAGAAACCGCGTCCACCACGCACAGAAACCCCCTGACAAGCGCCGCTGGACGCGTTCACGTCTCGAGCACACCGTTTGCCTTCAGTTCAGCTTTTTTTCCTCTTGGAAAAAAGGTGATGAGCTGAGCGAGGACAGTTTACACCAGGGGAAGCCTCACCGACCCGCGAGGAAGCAAATCACCACATCCAGAGACCAACCGCACGCGTCCTAGCCCCGGCACAGAGCAAGGGGCTCTCCAAACCCATACAGAAACACTTGGGGGTCAAAACCACCCCGACCGCTGCAGGAACCAGGGTGAAGGCTTTGGGAGGTGCTGGAGGTGCTGCCCAGCAGCACATTTCGGCAGGGGAGGCAGGAGGAAGGTTTCGGGCAGGCAGCTTTGCCGTGTCATTGTGATTTTGGGGGAGAGAAAAAAAGAAATCCTCCCAAATACACACATGGCACCTGCGAAGCGATGGAGGCAGCAAAAAGAGGATTTGAGGAGTGAAAGGTCCGGCTGCTGTGGGTCAGGCACACATGTGTAGGGGCTCGGTGGGGTGAGCAGGGCGAAAGGAGGGGGCGACCCCAAGTCCATCCAGGCAGGAGGAACGGGAAAACCTCCCGAGAAATCCTGTGGCTGCTGGCATGCAGGGCTCTCAGTCCCCATCCGCCCTTCCCCAGGAAAACCCCTGTATTATTCTAACGAGCTCAGAGCCTAACCAGCTTTTTTTTTATTATTATTTTTTAAACACAAAGTTATCTATTGGGAAGGTGGCACCTGAACCCATGATTTTGGGTCTGCAAACAGCCAGACCCCTGAGCGCTGGGTGGCTTTTGCAGCAACGTGACATTTGCCTCACTTTTCCCTGCACAAAGATGGGGAACAGAGGTGGTTACCCCACGGTCCGCGAGTACTCTGATCATAGCAAAATAAAATAAAATAAAAATCCTACAGAAACACTGCCACGAGGAACTGCAGAAATCCAGAAATACCAGCCAAAAAAATATGTTTGGAAGCATTCATACCTAAACCCACACGCAAACCTGCCACGTGCTCGCGGGGCTGCGTGCCCGAGCGAGCGAGGAGGAGGAGGAGGGAGCGCCGTGGGGATGTGCAGGCTCGAAGGTGGCCACTGCGTGCCCTGTCCTGCCCCGTTCCATCCTCCCCTGAGCCCCAGCACGGCTCCCAGCACGCGGACGGACAGACGGACCCTGGGATGGGAGCCCAGGGAGGGCTTGGGCTGGAAAAGGCAAAACTCAACCGAGCACCAGATGGAAAGGGCCCAGCGGCGGAAGGGAAAGGCGAGGCAGAGGGGAAGGAGCTGAGCCCTCGCCAACGCTGCCTGCACGTGCCTGTGCTCAGCCCTTTTTGGCACGCTGCTCCCGTGCCACCACGTCCCCTCCGGGTGGCTACAGCAGCTCCTGCGCCCTGCTCCCGTGCGCTCGTTTCTCCGCGCTGTGTGCTGGGGAATGGGCAACGAACCACAGGGCTCTAAGGCAGCCGAATCGATGTGATGAGCCAAAAAAATAAAAATAAAAAAGAATTGCTGTCGGTTTTCTGAGCATTTCTAACCACCTGGCTTTGTCCTGGACTCGTCCTGAATTTACTGTCTGGTGAAGCCCTGCTGGCAAGGCAGGCAGCAAGCGATTCGGGATGGCTTCGCCCCGCCGGGTCTCCGCGGGCACAAGGCCATCCCGAGGGGCAGGCAGGGATCCCCGCTGCAGGGCCTGGGGGCTGCGGGGCCGGGCGGTGGTGGGATTCCCCTCGTCACAGCCCGACGGGGAGCCCAGCCCCGCAGCCCCCACACCCTGCAGCCGGCAGCGACGCCGAGCTCCCCGGGGGGCTCCGTGCCAGGGTCCCGGGCGGCTGGCGAGGGCGCTGGGGGCTTCATGGTGAGCACCTGGTGTTCAGCCCAGAATTTTATTTTATTTTTTCCCCAAATAAATAAGATGAACGGCACAAATCAAGCCCAAACGGTGGCAGCTGGCCGCAGCACCTCGCAGCCACCCGGGCTGGAGCCTTCGGAGGAGCCCGGGGGAGCGAGCGGGAGCGGGGGCGAGCGGCAGGCGGCGTGCTGTGCGCTACTTACCTTCGAAAGTCAAATAAAACTTTCCTCTGTCAAACCAAACGAGGGAAGGCTGTTCATTCTCTGTGTGGCCGGGAGTTGAAGCGGGATGGGGAAGGTTCAGGAGAGGGAGAGAGAAGGACACAGAGTGAGTCACGGAGCAGGACATTCGTCTCGCTACGGGGCGGGGAGCGGCGCCGCAAGCCGAGCGTGCAGGGCAGGGAGCGGGCGCTGGCACTCGGGGGTTTGCTCGGAGAACAGAAAGCAGGAAGCAAAGCAATGGAAGCCCAGATGGAAGGGAATTTTTGCCCGCTTAAAAACGATTTTTTAATATATTTTTTTTTGTTTTCTCTTTTCTGTCTATGGGTGGAGCGGACGAGGCGCCCTGGCCCACGGTCCCGGGGACGTCCCGGGGGGCTCGCTTCCAGCCTCAGCGCTGCAAGCAGCACGTGCAGCAAAACGCAGGTGTGTGCGCGTGAATTTTGGGACAGACAGCTCACAGAGAACCACGTGTACGCAGGGCAGGAGATGCCTAACTGGGGTTTTCCCAGTTCTCACCAGTTACCTGCGCTCACACCACCCAAAAAGGGGAAGGATCAGCACTTGGCACCGGGTGCTGCAGCAATAACCCTTCACCCCTGAGTTTGGGAGGCGGTGGCGTGGCACCTCTTGGTGCTGTCACCGAGAAGCCACTGGCATGCCCACTTTTAGGCCAGATTTCCCCAAAAGTGCACCCACAGGTGCCTTGCCGGGGTGGGCAGCGTGCCAGAGAGCACCCTCTTCTGATGACACGGGCAGAAGACACGCAACGAAGAGCAAAAAAAAAAGAATGCGAAAACGAGTCCCCGGTGAAATCAAGCAGCGCGTCTATCCACAGGGACACACAGAGAAGAATTTTAACGAGAGAAATAATTGCAGGCTCGCTGGCACAGACATAACAGCGCCTTTCTCTGCAGTCAGTGACCGCACATGCAGCCCCCACGGAAGCACACCAGCACAGCACGAGGGACACGGAAACGAGGCGACAGCTCCGAGCGCTCTGGGACGAACTCTGAGGGATTTTCCCCTACAAAAAACGAGGCCAGGAGCGTGGTGCTGGCCGTGGGCATCCCAGGGGAGCCGCAGGGCCACCAGGTCCCCGACCTGCTGCCACACGCCACCTGCCCTCGTGGCCTCCTGGTTTCCCCTTTTTATCTTTTTACATGAAAAAATCATAAATGGAAAACGCTGCCTGGAGCATGGGGAGCGTTGCATTGGTGCTCGCCTGGCACCGGTCACCCTGGGGACATGGGGGGGTGCTGGGGCACCCCAGGGTGGCTCGTGGGGCTTGGGGCTGGGGCACCCGCTCTGCACCGCCACCACTTTTCCCTGGCCGTGCTGCGGGTGCAGAATAAGCCGTTACGAAACACGGAGAGGCAGCTCTGCTCACAAAAACATACGTTAAAGGGAAAACACGTACATTTCAAAGCGAGCGCCCCAAGGGCTTATTTCATGCGCATCCTATGGGAAAACCCACCCAGGCCTCGGCAGGGCGGGGGCTGCCGGCCTCACGCACAGCCTGAATTTCACAGCCCTGGCTCCGGGACTCCTTAAGCCCCTTACCCTGTCCCCAAACAGGCTGTGCCCTCCACCACAGCCTCCATCCCCCCACCACAGCCCCCATCTCCGCATGCCCGCTGGCACCGCCAGCCCCATGCCCGCTGCCGGGTCCCCAGGGACCCCCAGCTGGCACCCCAGGCACACGGGCTCCTGGCAGCGTGCTATTTGGGCAGCGTGCTGGCACCAGGACCGACGGACAGAGGACGGAGAAACACCCACAGCACCTCCAGGGTGAAGCAGCAGCGGGATGGAGACGCAGGCGGGAGGCTCCAGGCCTCCCTCAGGGCTGCGGCGCCGCCGTCCCCAACAGCCTCGTACGGGGATGTCCCATGGGAACGCCTCACGCCGTGGCTCAGCACGTACAGACCCGAGCAAATCTGCTTTTTTTTTTTTGTTGCTTTTTGTTTTTCAAGAGTTTTGGGGCTCCAGCTTCCCTCCCTAGCAGCCAGGCTGCTTCTTCCGCCAGCGCCCCCGGCTGCTGCCAGCCTGCAGCAGGCGGCACGTGGGGATGGCCCCGCCGAGCGCACCAACATTTCAGGGCAATAAACAGGGAAATAAAATAAAATAATAGAAAATGGAGCTGCAGGAAGCGGGGTGCAGGCGGGAGGGCAGCGGGGATGGAGGCAGAGGCACGGGGGGAGCCGGCAGCACCCAGAGAGTGGGACCTCGGGGCTGCATCGACTGCCTCGCGCCGCACCAGGCACCCGAGGGATTTGGCAAAAAATCTGTTTGTATTTTTTTTTTTTTGAGGGTGTTTCCTCCAGAAGCAGCACCTCGTTATGATCTAAGATGTGCGAAGCTCAGGGTTTTGAAGGGCCTTTGCCAAGACCCCGTTTCCCACCCCTCCTTTAACGGGAAATGTGAATTTCAGGCACCCGGAGGGGTTGAGCAGCGATCGCTCCCCGGGTCCCACATCTGCCTTCCAGCCCCCTCCCCACCAGGGTGTGAGCAGCCCCCCAAAAAAGCGTGTTTTGACCAAATTTACAGACCACAAGCACGTTTTCTGCTGCATTCCGCTCGGTGATAACCCCTACCCTCACCACACGTATTTTGCACAACTTTTGGGGCTGGCAGGAGGAGAAAGCTTCCCTGACAGCATCGCCCTGGTGGGCCGCTGCGCCCACCCCCAGCCCCTTTTTGCCTTTCAAAACCTGATTAAAGTGAGCCGACGTGAAACCAAAGACCAATCGAGCAAGTCGAAAGGGCTCGGGACTCTTTCAGGGCTGTTGAGAGGTAGGAAAGGTGAAAGAAAAGCAGTGCTGGAGGTTGTTTTTACCAACTGTGGGAGTGGTGGCTGCACTCAGGGAATTGGTGGAGGATATGGAAGAAGTACTTTCAGCACGGGCTAAAGGTGCTATCGGAGGAGGACTGGATGAGTGAATAGGAGGGCTAAAAGGCCTGGACTGTAGAAAAACATAAAATAACACAAGGTTAAAGGAAATAAAGCACAGAACATCCACATCAAACAACCAGAAGCTTTTGCTGAAGACGGGACCCCTGCGCACCCCAAGGCAGGCTGCTCCCGGCTGGCCCCAGCCTCCCTGCGAGGTCGGTGTGAACCTGAGCGACTTCAATTATTTAATGTGAAGATATTTTCTTCTGGATCCAGGAAAACAGCAGATTAAATCCAATCACAGGAGAGCAGTGGGGCACCACAGCTCTGGCAGCCACTGGGTGCATTTAATGCAACCGCATTTGGGAAGAGAGCAGTGCCAGCTGTCCCCATGCACCTTCATTAGGTCTTTGTGGCTCCTTTTGGGATAGTTTTGTGCCATAACACCCATCCAAAATTCTCTGCTTGCCCTGGCCCCGAGCTGCAGGGAGGAGCCCAGCACCTTGATTGCAGCACGGCCACGGGGAGCCCACCCTGCTGGCCCCATCCCCGCTCTCCGTGCTGCTTCGTGTCCAAACCCACCCCTCCTTGCACAGGAGCAGCAACCCCGTGCCCATCCCAAACCCCCCAACCCCGTGTGGCCCCGACGCCTTCATCCCATGGGGATGCTGCTCCCTTTTCCCATTCCAGTCTCATTTCCTTAACCCCATAAAGCCCCAGACAGCCCCAACCCCAAGCCTACCAGGTCGGCGACGGCGGGCTTGCCGGGGGGCAGCTTGGGCCGGGAGGGGGGCCGCGGCGGTGGGGGCGGCGGGGTGCCACAGGCGGCCAGCGGCGTGCCGGGGCGAGCCGGGGACGAGGAACCTGCAACAGAAACAGGGGAATCAGCATCACGTCGGTGCCCAAATTCTGCTCCCCAGGAGCTGATGGGGGTGGCAGGGAGGGGACGGGGACCCCGGCGTCCCCACACGGCTGCTGCAGGGCTGCAGCTTGGTGCAGGAGAGCCCCTCACCCCCTATCCAGCCCCAATCCTTTCAGGAACCCTACAACGCTGCCCAAACAGGAGGAGACGATGTGCCAAGGACCATTTTGACCCCAGTAGCAGCTGATGCTGCTGTTCCAAGGACTGGGGAGGAGGGCCCTGCTTCTCCTCCATCCTAGCAGCTTGCAGCAGAAATTTGGGCTCTTCCTGCTGCGCCCTGAGGCTTTGTGAGCTGCGAAACCACCACGTGCCTCCATCCGTGCCTCCATCCACCCCAGCACGGCTCCCGCAGCTTATGGGACCACCATAGGGTCAGTCCCACCACACGAAGAAAGGAGGCCCGAGAGGGATGGGGCTTTACCCCAGGGATGAAGAGGAAGGGCAGGAGGTGCCGGAGAGCAACGTTATCAGCTCTGCTGGGAGCACAAAGCGCTCCCCAGCTCGCTGGAAGAGTTTCCACGAACACGATGGTGATGCCTTCATGGTTTGCGTGGTCATCACGGGCTGTGACCGTGCCACGAAGGCTGATGTGCCATCAACAAATTTTGGCTTTGTGGTTAGCTTTATTGCTGCTGCTTCCAAGAGAAACAGCTCAGAGCTTTGTGGATGTAGCTCTGATGAAACCATCGGAGCGAGACCTGCAGCAATTAGACCTCACAGCGGGCTGCTGAGATAAGAGGGACAAGTCCTGGCCATTGATGTGAGCACCTCCGAAAATTAAGTTTTTATTTAGAAGCCTAATTTGGGTGCCAAAGATTGACGTTTTTCCCTCCTTGTCCACTTGAAAGCCTAGGAAAATAGGAATTATTCAGGGCGAGTAACCTCACAGCACTGAATGGGTGCCACAAGGTGGCTTTTGAACCCTCATCACCCCCAGAATCAGCGACGTGCAAAGAGTCCAAAGCCCTGCAAGACGCCAGGTTCAGCAGGAGCCTCCAGAAGATGGAGCAGGAGTAGGAAATAGGAGTAGGAACCTGCCCGGCCCCACACACCCTGCCCCGCTGCCACACGCAGCCACCTCCACGTCCCCGTCCTGCCCCTCTCAGCTCATTCAGAGCCACTGGTGTCACCTGCAGAAGTCCCAGCACCCATGGGTGCCAGGCTGGGGCTGTGCAACCCCGGGTAGTTTCTGCTCTGTGGGGTGGCAGCAGCTGTAAGCTGACCCCCGCCACCCAGACATTTATAATTAATAATTAAGCAGGTGAAATGAAGCAGGACGCACATGTCAGACAGAGCTGGGGGGGCTGTTTTTTCTGAACCACATCCTCCAAAAGCCATTTCTCCAAATGGGGCTGGGGCTTTGCACCCCACAACCCACGGCCAGGTGGATGGGGACTGCATTCACCCCTGTGCCTACTGCTGTGCCGGGGGGGTCACTGGTGCCAGCCCGGGGGTGTTGAGGGGTGAGGAGGTGCCTGCACCACATTTTGTTCAAGCACCACGTTTCCAAGGCTCTCTTAGAAGTCGATCACCAGCTGGGAACACTTCTTCCTCCGTTCACTCTGAAGCCTACTGAGGACGCAGCCACGAGCACGCTCACGCCAAATGTTTCCGGGGGGGTTTTACGCACATAGCAGGGGTGGGGATGGACACCGACAGCCCCCCAGCTTTGGGGAAGGCACAGGGGGGGAGCACGAGACGGGGAGGGAGGGCTCGAGGGCAGCCAGGCACACAGCGGGTGGTGGGGGACGTACCGCTGGGGCTTCCCGCGCCGCTGCTGGCGCCCGGTCCGGGGGACGAGACCACCGTGCGGTAGGTGGGCGGTGGGGGGGGCGGCGGGGTCGCTCTCTGTCCCGGCCCAAAATCCTTGGGGGAGGCAGCGGCCGGCTCCGCGTTCTCCTCTTTTGGCTGCTCCAAAGCCTTCTTCTGGAGCTCCTCCAGGCGCAGCGGGGACGGGAGGGCGCGGGGGGGCTTCGGCCACCGGGCTGCCCGCTGCCCCCACCGGAGGGGACGATGCCACCGCCGCCTTCTCGCGGGGCCTCGGCGCCACCGTCACGTTTTCCGGGGAGGGATCGGAAAAATTGACCCACTTGTCCCCCGTGTGCACGGCCACGGACTTGGGGGACAGCACGGGGCCAAAAATGCTGTCCAAGTCATTGAGCGACGGCACTTTGTCACTTTTGGCCTCGGCGGCTGGCTGCTCGCTCCCTGCGGTCAAAGCAGTGGGGGTTTATTTAGGGTTAGGGGCTGCGCCCGCTGCTTGCTAGGAGAGGGTTTTCCTACCGGCCGCCAGGACCGCGATGCAGGCACGAGGATCCACAGCAGCACACGTGCAACGTGTAACAAGCCACACGGGACTGGTTCAAACTCAAACCACAGCTCTCTTGCACGCTCTGCCCATATATTTATATCCAGCTCCATATAAATATATTTACACTAAGACATGCTGGTGTGACAGCCACACTGCCGGGGCCATGCAGCGCAGGGAAGCAGACCACGGGATGGATTTTTTTTGGCTGCGACCAGCAGCAGGGAAAGGCGCGAGGCTCTGCTCGCTCGCGGAGCCACCGGGCGGTTGGTAACGAGGACACGTTAACGAGCACGTTACCAGCAGGACACAGCAGCTCGGGCACACGCCTGCGGCACAGCACAATGCTCCCCGGTCCCATCACTGCTCGGTTTGGTTGTTTTGGTCCCTGCTTGCAGCACGGGGACACGGAGGGGCTGCACAGCACAGCTCATGGCCTCGGGGACGTGCCCGGCACGTGCGTGCACCACAAGGGGCTGGCCAGCCTCGTGCAGCAAGGCTTGGAGGAGCAGGGGCTGCGATTCCCCCCCTGCAGGCACCCGGCAGGGTTTCGGGTGAGCTTTGGGGTCACTGCGAGGAGCCAAACACCACCAGCAGCAGCGCGGGGAGCAGAGAGCAGGAACCCAGCCGGGGGGGTGCCACCTGGGCTCAGCTCTTTGCAGCATCACCCCCAAACACAACAACACCAACGCCACGAGGAGGATGCGCAGGGGCAAATCCACGTCCGAAATGCAGCCGTCACACACGGGACACCCTGGGGATATAGGGGGGGGACCGACCCCGGCAGAGCAGCCCCCGGATGGGGGTCCGGATGGCGGGTGCTAGGAGCGGGGTGCCTGCCCTTTACCTGGGGCCACCGTCAGGGGCGAGCCGGTGCGGGGCGGCGTGGCCGGGACGTTCTTGGGCGGCAGCGGCGGCGGTGCTGCAAGGCAGAGGAGGGGGAGGTCAGGGGCTGAGCTGCCGGGGGGGGCACCCACTGCGGTCACCGTGTCCCCATCCCACCGGGGCACGGCTGGAATAAAGCCAAATGGCTGCGGGGGGACCTGCTCCGTGCCAAGCCGAAGGCAGAGCAGCCCTGGGATGTGGCAGAAAATCACAAAGAAAGGGTTTGCACGGCTTTTCTGTCACCCCCCCCTTGCACAGCTCTGAGCCAGCATGAAGTGCCCGAAGTGGCGGGCTGGGGCTGTGTGTTTGCACCCCTTCGTTTTTTGGAAGACTTACTTCCAGTTGGAAAAGGTCTCGGCAGCTTCGGGGAGTCGGCGCTGTTGGGGGGCTGGATGGAGCCCCAGATCTCGGGCTGGTCCAGAGGAGCTGGGAAAAGAAAAGGAATAAATGCACGTGCAGAGGTGGCAAACCAAATAAATGCACGTGCAGAGGTGGCGATCCAAATAAATGCACGTGCAGAGGTGGTGAGCAACGTGACTGTTTTCTTCCCGATACCAGAATCACGCAGATAAGGTGCGTGCAACGACAGGAAGCTAAATATTGACAGCACCCCCCCCTCTAATTAAAGACAGGGTTATTTCCGTAATGGTAGGTAATTACAAGCCTGCCTGATTTTGAAGCACGCCACGCGATTAGTTTGACAATCACGATGCTTGACAAACGAAACAATGCCGTTTGTGTGTTTGGAGGCTCATCGCGTTGAGCGAAGCAGTGAATTAATTGCAGAAATCCTCCGGAATTTTGGGATGCGCAGAAAAAAACAACACGCAGGTATTAAAACGAAGAGATCCAACTGTTTGCATAGATGGTGTGGGAAGCACCACGACTCTCGTTTGCTCATCACGTGCTGTTTTTCTTGGGCTACGTGCAAGGAACTGCACCAAGAGGTTGCTTTGAATTTAAGGTTTACCTGGAGCTGTTCCGAGGCCTGGCCCCAAGCCCCTGCTCTGCACACCCATCCCCGTGCCCTACACACCATCCCCGTGCCCTACACACTGTCCCCAACCCCTCCGTGCCCCACACACCACCCCCATGCCCCACACACCATCCAGCTTCTGCTCCTCGAACGCCGACTCCAGCGGGGGCCCGAAGAGCGGTGCCAGGGCAGCGGGGTCCTCAGGGGGCTTCCTGCTGCAGGGGGACAGAGGAGGGGACAACCTTCAGGCTGGGGGCACAGCACTGTGGCGGCCCCCCCAGCACAGCAGCTCTGTGTTTTTCTGGCTTGTAGGGGATTTAAATTAAGCAAAAAGCTTAGTAAGAAGTGATGGTGAGTACAGGTGTGTATATTTGTGGGGAGTTTGTGTCCTGGACCCGTGGGCAGCTTGCAGAGCATATGGGTTGGGGCATGGAGAATGGAAAGAAAAGGGGTAGCATCTAAAATCAGGGTGTCGAAACCATTTTGTACCTGAATTCTGTGCGTTTTTGTTAAAATGCACATGGGAACTACCAGCCCTGCTGCTCCGGGCAGGAGCCTGCTCATCCCACACCTCTGGCACACACGCAGGAAGGATGAGGACCAGGAGGAGAAGGCTGATATTGCCCCTTGGAGCAGTGCTGCAAACACATTTGTGCACCAAAATGTTTTAATTTATGTCTGGGTGATGCATCTGATGGCAGCTGTAGGGGAGAACAGCACTGGTGGACACTGAGATATGGGGACTTTGGTGTTCTGGGGGGTGCCAAGGCAAGGTTTTGCACATACCCAGGGGGTGTACAAATACAGACACACACACACAGCCCCCCCGGACTGACCTGCTGGGGTCCGGCGTGGGCGTGGAGCGCCGGGGCCGTGCGATCTCCTCACCTGCACGGGGTGGGACAGAGCAGGGTTAGAAACGGTGCCCCCATCCTGCACCACCCCCATGCCCCACACACACCCCAAGCGTGCTGCTGGCACCCCGCACCAAGCCTGCTACACTCTGGCTTTAATTAGGTCTTATTTCTACAGAGGACAGGGCTAGAAGGCGTTGCTTCTTCTATGGGGCCCCCCAAGGGTGTCCATGTCCCCCTCTTTAAGGGGATATTTGGGTGCCACCACTTCTGCCGCGACCACGTTAAAGCAAAGCCACCTCTCCTCCCACTCCCCTTTATAAAATTAATTTATTTTAACCCCCAGCACCAGGCTGCCGGCACTAATTCCTGCTCTGGAAGGCTGAAGGCCGTACTTACTGGATAAATTCCTCTTAATCGTCCCCTGGAATTAGAAACACAGGAGGTCAGTGGGGTGCGCGGGGACACGGGCACGTTGCCGCCGGCACCGAGCGAGACCCGTGGCAGCACCATAAAACACAAAATTTGTTTCATGTGGCTGAGGCACCCACCTGTAGGGATGCCCTGGGAAGCCAGACTCGCTCCCAGCACACCGGGGCAGACGACGCAGGAGGATTTGGAGCCCCTAAACCCATCACCTGGCAGCGCTGCGCCCGCAGCCGCCCTGGCTGCAAACGGCTTTACGCTCGTCGTCTAAACCCAAACCCTCACCTCCGATGGGCCACGGACGGATCCGAGGCAAATCATGCACGTTCAGCAACCCAAATCCTCTCTCTCAGCGCACAGCACGGCTGCCTGCATGCAGGAGGAGCCCCCCAAACCCCTCTTGGAGAGCAGGAGGGCACAACGCCCGCACCGAGGCGCTGCCAGGAGCAGAGGGAGGCAGGGGGGGAGCTTACCGGGCTGCGCCGCTGCGGTCAGCGAGAAGAGAGAGAGAACAGACACCTGGTGAGACACCGGGTCAGGGAGGGACGCCCGGGGCCACACCGAGCACCCCGGGGCCCTGAGCACCCCTGGGTGGCAGCGGAAGGAGGGGATGCGTTTCGTTTTCCCCTGGGTTTTCAAGCAGCCCCGCGCCACGGCACAGGCATCTCGCTCTGCCTACAAGAACCGCGGTGTCCACGCAGGCAGAGCTGACCCCAAAACATTTTGGGGCTCCCCCCATGCAGCACTGCTGGCGTACATGCACCCCAGGAAGCATCAAACCCATCAGACCCCATACCTGCCCTTCAACGCTCTCAGACATGGAATTTTTGGCAACAAAACCCTTTGGAGCCCAGGGCTGGGTGCACCAGGAGCAGCTCCTGCAGCAGGGAGGGACCCCTGACCCCAAACAGTTGGGATTGCCCCATTTCAGGGCAGTTTTGAGCCAAACCCTCGCAGACCCCACTGGGACAGCACTGCGCCCTGCACATCTCTTCCCAAACCAGCCCCATGCCTTCACAGCAAACACAGCCGAGCTCTTGTTTAAGCATGCCGAGCTCAACCCAAAAATGAAGGCCATGCGTCCCCAAACAACAGGATTTATTCCTCGCACCTCCCACCCCACTCCCCGAGACATGCAGAGCAGGCGGCATGCAGGCAGAGCACGAGTCAAGGCTGTGCTCAAAATGCAAGAAAAATAAATGCACATCTTACCGGGCTTTTCCTCTAAAAGAACAGAGAAAAAAAAAATAAAATGAGAAAAAGAATTTCTATAAGGGGCTGACAAAGACAGCTTTGAAAGCTCCCAAAAATATCACACGGGGGGAGCCCCAAGCGGTGTCCCCCAGTGGCAGCCAGCAGATCCTGCCCAGCCCCGCTGCCTTCCTGGGGAATAACCAACTCTCCCAGGAGCTTTCCGTGGGCTTGGCAACGCTGCCCTGGTTCGGGAGGTGAGACTGATTTTGTCTCACCTTTGCAATTCGTTCACGTTTCACATACAGGCAGGTTATAAACCCTCAACGGGTCCAGCTGGGAAGATGGAGAGACACCATAGCCCACGGAAAACAAACCCCACAAATCTTTCCCCAGCTGAACATATTGGGATGAGATGAGAAATCCCAGAGAACCTTAGGAAAATCAGCGGGTATCGGTGCTTGCAGCAGGGAGGAGAAAGGGGACAGGTAGCGGGCAGGGAGCGTCCTTTAGCATCTTACAGCAGCACTTGGAAAACCCCACAGATGTGCTCCCTGAGCTAGGGATCAGGGCGAGCATCAAATGATTTATGTCCTGAATGACAACCAAACTGGGGAAAAGAGGAAAAGCAGAGCACATGGTGCAGGACCTGGGGTGCCTGGAGGGCTGTGCCAGCCAGCGGCGCTCCTGGCACCACCCCAATAAACCCACGGTGCCGCTCTGCACCAAGCAGACCCCACTGAGCAGGGCACGAAGCCAACGTCCCCCACTCACACCCGAGGAAGAGGCTCCCCGGGCTGAAGCACACCAAGCAGCCCTGCTTCCACAGCCCAGGAAAAAAAAACAAAAAAAAAACAAAAAAACAGGCACGGGGCACTCACCACAGGGGATGGAGAAAGTGCGATGTTGCCTACGGACGCCTTCAGCTCGTCCACCGTCGCCGCGCTCTTCAGGATGTCTTTAGCCTGCAGCGGCTTGATCTTGATGTTGAATTTCTTGTGGGCCTCCTCCTCCTCCTCGGACTCGCTGGAGGAGTAGAAGTGCTTTCCTCTGGTGGGTGCAGGGCAGCTAAGGAAGCTCCGGGCTGCAGAGGCCGCGGCCGCACGCGGCAGCACCTTGGGGTGCCGCAGAAATCCCAAAGGCAAACCTTGGCTCGGGGGCAAGGCACGGGTTCAGGAGCACCCCTGCATCTCGGCAGCGATTCAAAAGCTCACATCTCACTGGAAAAATGGGGATTAGGCGTTCCTGAAGTGCTCACCCCTGCCTCCGATGGCAGGAGCAGCGGCAGGGACAATTCCTCCTGCCGTGCTGATTTCCTGCTGCACCACGTGTGGGCAGAAAGCACAAAAATTGGGGCTGGAAAGGCTGAAGTGGTGATGGAGCCTGGGCATCCCCCCCGAGCTGACGTCCTTCAGCAGCAGGAGAGGGAGAGTTCTGGTTTCCCACCCACCTCCTGCAGCTATGAGCAGGACATCGATTTCCTACATCTCCAAGCCCAGCACAGGGACTGTGAGCATGGGCTGCACCTGGAACCCCTTGTCCCTTAATGGGGACCTGTTATGGACCCGCAGCACCCAAAAAAAGCAGAGCACATGGGATCAGCCAGTGCCCACAGTGCTCCTTGTGCCACAGCAGGGGACAAAAGGCAGCCAGAAACTTTCTGCTCTTGGGCAGTGCTCTGAGGGAGCCGGATCTGGCTGCAGAAAAACAGCCCCAAGGAGAATAAAAGGGGAGAAATAAAAAAGTCAGTGGCCTGCCTGCGAACCCCAGCTCCTCTTAGGGTTTACGAGCCCACAAAGGATATAGCCTGGCTCCTCGGGCCGGATGCTGTACCCCTCCTCGTCCAGCTCCGGGGAGTTCTGCATGGGCACAACGCGCACAGGGTCAGGGACACGGCTGCAGGGAGCCCAGCTCTTTGCTCCTGCAGCACAGCACCCACTGGGGCGCTGAGCAACTGCTCTGCAGCCAAGCCCAGAGCTTTTTTTTCCCCTCCCAATGCTCATTTTTTTTGTAAGCCAGGTTTTCCTCTGGCAAGCCTTAACGTCCTCCAGGCAGCAGTGCTCTCCTCTGCGCGACTGGCACCGGAGCCACCTGGTTCCTGGACAGGCTCACACAGCCTAATTAACGTGCAAACGCAAACGATGCCTCGGTGCATGGGCAGGTTTCCCTGCACGACTCTAAAAACATCTCCAGAATCACTGTTTTCAGTGGGACTGAGACCCCAGGGCAGTAGGACACGGCCCCGCACACCCACAGCCCCCCAGGAGCCAAACCCATGGCGCACACACACAAACCCCATGGGACAAGGAGCCCTTGGGCACTTACATATCTGTCCCAGTCGATCTCCGCATAAAATCCATTGGGGGCTCCATTACTTTTCTTCTGCAACAGATGGGAAATCGAGATTTGCACATTTTAAAATTAAGGCCAACAAGATGACCGCGGCGTACCCGTGTTTGTGCATCCGATGCTGCGACCACGACCTGCCCAGCACCAGCTTGCTTGGGGTCACCCCTGGCTGAGCACGTGGCGTTTCTGGAGGGGCAAGAAGCTCAGGGAGGGCAGCTCTGAGCCCCTGCCCAAGCTGGGTTTGGGGCTCACCACGAAACCACAGCGAGCAGCTGCAGCCGACAGTGCCCAGCGAGCTGTTGCTGCTCCCAGCGCAGGGTGCAAGAGCTGTGGATGCTCTCTGCTGGCCCCAAGCTCCTGCAGAAGCCACGTGTGCTGGAGGCCAGCACCAAGATGGTGACCAAAATTCATGTTTTTCTATACAAGGGGCTGGCCTGTGGCTGGCGAGGCTCAGGGCGATGCCACCCTGCGCTCAGCACCCAAGGGGATGTGCCCAAGGACAGCGCTGCCCGCTCCAGAGGCCAAAAAGGCCAAAAATACAGACAAGTAAGACACCATCCCCAAATTACTCACTGCTCTCAACAACCCCTGCCTAGCTGTAGACCCAGCAGTGTTCTCCTTACCGAGTTTTTTCTTCCTCCTTCCCGCACGCTGTCGGGTTTGCTATGGCAAGGTGGCTCAGTGGGATGAGGGCTGAGAGGCTGGAAGGGATTTGGGTTGGGCAGAAAGAGGGTGGTTAACGCGTCGGGTGGCTGCTTTCCAACCGCAAAGCAAACGGCAAGGAGGTAGCAAAGGCTGTAGGGTCTGTAGGAGGGGAGGGTCCGGCTTGGCTCCCCCAAAAGCACAGGGTGCTCGGGGTGGGCGAGGGCCATATTCAGCAGTCAGGGTTTGCAGGAGTCAGGGCTGCCAGCCCTGTCATCGTGGCAAGAATGTGCTAGAGGAGGAAAATTCAAACATTTCCACCATCAATGCCCCTGTCTCCAACACATTCAGTGGCTTCATCATATTTAAAAAAAAATAAATTGCGCTTCTGCTTCCTCCGGCTTGCTGGAGCACTGGAGACCCACCTGCCCTACAGAGATAAAAAGCAACCCACCTGGAAAACCCCAAATACGAGCATTACGGAGAAGGCATCAGCTGCTGACAAGGGCTGGAAATGTCATTCCAGAGCTCCGGTCCTGTTCTCCTGGGGGCTCCATTTCCAGCTTGGAGATCGGGGCCACCCGAGGTCCCCCAGCCCCGTCTATACGCAACCCCGCTTCCAGCCATGCCCTAGCAAGCTGTCAGCTTCACTCTCCAAAATTAAACTTGGGTTTGCTAAACAGAGCGTTTTTATTCAGTGCACAGTTTGGTGACACTTGGAAAGGTGTTTGTTTTTTTTTTTTTTTTTTTAATTTTTTATTTTTCACTGCTGAATAGAGCCTTGGTCAAAGCACTACCTGAGCTGCAGACTTCTTTCATCACCAGTCCTTATCAGCCAGTAACAGAGGGCTTAGAGTGAGCCCAAAGCCAAGGATCTTGGGTCAGAGGTGGAAAGAGCAGCTCTCCCTCTAAAGGAGCAATTTGGGACCCCAATTTCCATGCGATGTCAGACCAGACACCCCAGGTACCCGCAGCGCCCTGCATGGTCTCTGGTGCCAGGCCAGCCAGGCACACAGCACCGCTCTCCCTGCTGAGCATCTCCCAGGGGTTATTTTAAGCCTGTGCTGTCCGAATTTGCACAGTCCCAGCCTGAGCCCAACAGACTTAACTGCAAGATTGAAGTCAAATGGCTGAACACGGCCCTTCCCCTGCCCAGCTCGAGCAGGGGCATTTCATCCAAAACCAGTAAAAGCAGAAGTAACAACTGAACACCTCTCCTCTTCTTTCCATTTTAATATAGAAAACAGATATCAGAAATAGGTGAGGAGGCTGTTTATCCTTTAACTCCTCGTACAGCAGATCTGCCCTGAGCCAACTGCGCTCAGGGGGAGCAGGAGCTAGGGTTTCCTGCACGAAATCCTGACTTTTTTAAAAAAACAGCTTGTTGCTGCAACGGACTTTGAAATTTTCTATATGAAAGAGGAGGAGAAGGTTCCCAAAACGCCCTTGGGGCTGGCGGAGGAGGAAGCCATCCCACAGAGCAGCGCCGTGCGGTACTTACGATGCCGTCCCTGTCCGGCGACCCCCTGCAACAGAGAGAGGCAGCGGGGTTAGCTCAACATGGCCCCAAATGCAATGCCAGAAGCATCACAGTCTGGTTTTGCTTAAAACCAGACGTGAAAGCTGATGGAGCTGTGAGGGTGACGATCCCCAAACGCTCACGGGCTTTGGACCTCGGGGTGAGCACCGCGGGTCCGGCAGCCACCCGCCTGGCCGAGGGTGCCGAGTTATTTAGCAAAGAGCCAGATGTATTTATCAGAGCCAGACTGGCTCCTCACCTCCCACACAGCCCCGTGTTTACGCCTTGCCAGAGATTTTCCGCAAATTAACGTCTGACTCACGGCAGCACGGAAAAATCTGAAGGGAGCTGCTGCCGGGCTGGGCCTGGTTTAAGGGAGATTAACGCCTCCCAGCACACTTCTCCAGCTCTCTCACCCTGCCTTTAATCTCTGGCTTCCCACCTGCATCTTATCAAACACAGCACTTTCCCTCTCTCTGCCACCCTTTTTGGGGACGAGCCCCTCGCCTCCCCGTGTTTCTGGGTCCCCCTTTGCAGCAGGCAGTGCGCACGGTGCTGGCACAGCCGGGCTCGCCGTACTGCAGCTTTCACACAGGAAAACCTCAGAAAACCTCAGCAGCTGCCTGAGGATGTGCAGAATTGCTCAGGAAAATCGATCCAGAATGAGAACACCATCGGGCTCCTGCAGCGCCAGGGAGGAAGCGCTCTGGGGAAGGCGCTGCCCAAAAAAATTTCTTGTCTCCCAAAAAATGCACCAGGGACAGCCAAATGCCTGGACGGGGCTCAGCACCCCAGCAGCAGTGCTGCAGCACCTCCTGCCCTGATGGGGCACAGTGACCCCATCCCTGACATCCCCCCGGGGAGCAAAAACCCCTCCGGCAGCACAGGGAGGGAGCGGCCACGTGCCCCCAGCGAGCACCGTGCCACCGCTGGCCATCAGGGCTCCTGTTCTGATGGGATCTGCATTTAAAAAAAAATGCAGCAGACAGGAAAATCAGGAGTTTTACAGAGATCAACCTGCTGCACCTCTCAGAGGAGCAATTTGCCTGTGATCTCTGCTAACTGCCAGCTTTCTGCCCCCACAGCATCCTTGCGTGCCGGCCCCTGGATGCGCAGGGGAAATGGCTTTGGTGCTCGTGTTGTTCTGAGACCTGACTGAAGGATGAGGGATGCTCCTGATGCTCGCCCTGCCCTGGCACACTTCTCCCCAGCAGCACTGTGCGATGTGCTTCGTATCCCCGGGACTTACGTGGAATCGGTGTCCTTTTCTTTCTTGCGTATACCAAAGGCCTTCCTTGTGCGTTTTTTCAATCCTGCGGATAGGAGGAGTACAAATAAGAAGACAAATTTATGTTATGCTTCAAATAAATCCCCCAAGAGGCTCCTTATCCGATTGCCCCCAGCACAGCCCCCAGGAGCTCCGACTCCTTCGGTGCTTTTCGGTGGATTTCTGTGTTTTTTGGTCCAGGGCAGGACCCGGGGAGGGTTCTCCGATGGATGGGGCTGTGCTAAGGGACCCGGAGGCGATGCAGCAGCCGGAGCCCCGCGCCTTGCTCCTGCCATCTCTCTCCTCCCAGCCTCCCCACAATTTCTCCAGCGAGTTATTAATAACCGGGGGGAGATTTCCTCTGATCTCACCCCCTAGAATAACTCCAGCCCCAAAGTAGAGCACAGGGAGGGACGAAAAAACCACAAAAATAAGTTGTTTGGCCTTATCCGGAGAAGAGCCCGATTTGGCTAAGTTCTGTAACCAAGCCTTCTGCTCAGTTACGTAACGGGCCCACCATCTGCTGGAGATGTAGCTGTGATTCGGGAGAGGAAAGGGATATTTAGGAAAAGGCAGGACAAAGATGAGGGCCCCCAGGCCCCCCGGTCTCATTCCCAGCTTTCTGCGGGTGCTGAAGTCCCCTTGCAGAGATACCTGGGGGGGGATGCGCCACGGGAACACTGCGGGTTTGGGAGAGACGTGGGAGGAGATGGATTTATTTAAAATAAATAAATCACCCAAATCCGGCACCCTCCCCACTGCACCCTCAGGGTGGGGGCAGCTTCTGGTCCCCAGCATCTTCTTGGAAGGAAAAGCCTCGTGGAAGCAAGGCACACCTCGGAGAAGACATCAATGGCACCGTCACCGCCTTACACACTCCTTTTTGATGACAAAAAGCATTAAAACAAAGCCAATGAAATGTATCGATTCACCGTGCACGGGCTGAGCAGCACTAAAAATAAACCTGCGGAGCCTCGAGACCCAAAATACCGCTGGAGGAAGAGAAAAAGCAGCAGGGGGGTGGGGAAGAAGAGGGGAAATTCCCTTTAGGGTGCTGTTTGTGTGCACGCTCCTGCTCTGCAGCCGGGGATGGGGACAAGGCAAAGCACCAAGGCCAGCCCCAGAGGCTGCGTGTGCCAGCCCTGCAGGGACAAATGGGCAAGAAAAAGGCAGATTTGGGCCCTTGGATGGGGGAAGATGGAAAGCAGGAGGCAGCACCCCCTGCTGCGGGCAGCCCGGGCACTGCTGAAGGCAGAGGTGCGGAAGAAAATGGTAAAAGAGGGAAAATGGAAAGATGGAAAATGGAAAAAGAGGAAAATGGTTCGTCTTGGGGCTGGTTTGTTGGTGTTTGCTTGGAGCTGGATTTGAGCCGTTCCCTGCTGCACACACACCTGCCCCTGCTCAATTACCTTGCTGGGTCCAAAAACGGGGAAATTGTCACTGCTTTGAAGCCAGCAAACTTGGGCTTGCTTTGCTGAAGAACTAACCCTCAGTTTGCTCAGCAAAATGAGAGGGAGGACAAAAAAGCCAAAATCCCTCACGTCACACCCAGAGGACAAAGTCAAAAGGCAAATTAAACTCCAAGCAGGGAGTGCGTAACCACTTCTAACCCCTAACCCCAAATGGGTGATCCTAACAGCAGCACCTCGGCCCAGAGCCTGGCTTGAGGCTGGTTTCACAGCAGGAGCAAGGCTCTCCGGACAGACACGCACCTGCCCTGGGCTTCCAGCAAGAAGGATTGCCTAGACCTGAAGATATTTGGTGGGGATAACCTTGGAGATCTCACTGCTGGGGGCCCAGCAGCGTCCCAGGGCAAGGATAAGACCCAGCACCCTCCCCACATGGGCCAAGTCTGCGTTTGGCCCCCCCAGAAAAGTTCAGTTTCCTGAAAAATTATTGGAAAACCCTTCAAAAAGCTGCAGGAGGCACCTGTGCAAGCTTCCTTGGACACCAAAATGTGGCAAAGTTAGGTTTAAGTGATTTATGTCACTATTTCGGCTGCTGGATGCACAGGGGGAATAAGGCAGCTCCTGCGGCCAGGTGGTCACCCCGGGGCTTGCACTAGCCCTGCAGCAGCATCCCCGGCACGGCCAGCAGCCCTACACACACACACAGGCTTCTTTAAGCCCATCTGGAGATAAAACCCACAACTGTGCCTTACGCTGGCCCTTTGCCCTAAAGCCCCGATTGAAGCCCCATCCGTGCCCGCAGCACGTGGCAGCACACCCCGCACATCTGCAGGCCCTCAGGAAACCTCTGCAACGGGATTCAGCCAGCATCACCTATAGGGCACGGTGCAAGGACCTCTAGATGGGCACACAAAACCCACCAGAGGCTAAAAACAGCTTTTGGCTCCCCGCAGAGGGGTCCCAAGGGCTGCACGGCCAGGGCTCCGCACCCATACCTGGCTCGGTGCGGCCAGCTGCCCACGGGCACTCTGTTTGGGGGAATATTTAAGGTCAGGAGGATGTAAATAATTGCTCAGACGTTATGCTCTAACCTCAGCAAGGCAGCCACAGGAATTGCTCGCTGCCCGCTTGCCCCAGAAATCAGCTCTGTGATATCAGCTCGCAGGGAACCGCAGGACACAGGCGTCCCCGCCAGCGCTGCCGGCACCTCGGGCGCACAGTTGTGGCTTTCATTCGGGGCTGGCACAAGCACAGGAACGCCAGATGCACTTGCAAAGGTTGCTGTGCTCTGCGAGAGGTTCTCCAGGACAGGCTCTCCCTCCCAGGGATGCTCAGATTCCTATTTTTAGGGTTTGTTTTTTTGGGGTTGGTGGGGATCAGGCACCGAGCAGCCACGGCAGGGCACCCAGCAGCTCAGGACCCCAACAGTTGGGGTCCAAAAAGATGACCAAAAGCCTTGAGAATTAAAGCAGTTAAAGTTTAAGAGATTGTAGAATTACAGACTGCTTTGGGCTGGAAGGGACCTCTAAGTCCCTGGCCTCCTTTGGAGCTGCTCCAGCAGCTCCACGTCCTTGTGCTGGGGGCCCAGGGCCGAGCACAGGCTCCAGGTGGGGTCCCACAAGGGCAGAGCAGAGGGGAGCGATCCCCTCCTCACCCTGCAGCTATACACACACACACGTTATCTACGATTATGTGAATATATCATATTAATGTTATATAGCACATAAATGATATATAACCATTAAGGTGCATATGTAAAAGATGAGGATTTACACCCAAAACCCAGCACAGCGCGGCACTCCCCTTAACCGCCTCATCCCTCCCGTGCTCTGCCATCAAACACTCAGCTTTTAAGGAGCGATTAACTAAAAATAAGCAGAGACCTGACCCGAAAGAGAGGCTGCATTGCCAGGCACCTCACACAACCACCAAGCCTCTTCCCAGCAGCTGCTGCCCCGCGGAGGAGCGGTGCTACGGGAGGGAGCTCGAGGTCCCAGGGGGAAGGAGCTGTGCAAACAGAGCACCAGTGACCTTATTATTAGTCACACCGGCGTCTTCATCCTCTGTGCTAGAGCTAAAGCCAGGCCAACACCCCACTAAACTCAGGAAGCCATAATACATCCCTGAAATCACCCCCTTACGGATTTGGGAAGGCGCCCTCGGGGAGCTCGAAGTGCCCCAGATGAGCCCGTTTCAGGCGTATTTACCAACATCACCGGCTCCCAGAAAACCTCAGTGACAAAGCCATGAAAAAAAGCCACCATAAAAAAAAAAAAACAACTCCCAGATAAGCTTGTTGATGAGGCTTACAGCATCTGAGGTAGGGGCAGGATTTAGGATGAAGCCCACCCATCTGAAGTGGCCGTGCGATGCTCGGTGTGATGCTGGAGGTGCTTTAAGGCACGCACAGAACAAATGCCCACTGACACGCACACGCTTGAAAGCCTGGCACCCATCTATTATTAATTAGCTCTAATAACAGGGGGCATCCTTGATGGTTTCTCCTTCAGGCCCTGCAGATCTGGCTCTGGAGAGGAGCACGGCACACAGCGGGATGCGCCCCACTGCTGCACAGCCCCCTGGCACCGTGCCCCCTGCACTCCCACCCCATCCCATGCTCCTGATGCCCACCCTGAGCACATCTGCTCAATTCCCTGTGGCCTGGAGGTGGGAGGCTTTAGGAAATACCCCACCCTCCATTCCTTCAAAAACTCTCAAAAAAAAACATAGGAAAGCATGCACAAAAAACAGACAAAATCCCCCCAAAATGACCAAGAAGTGCCAGGGGGCACAAAAGCGCTCGGAAAGGTGAGAGCCCAGCCAGCAGCTTGCCATTGGGGAGTTTGAAAAATCATAATTATTGCCCTAAGAAAGATGTGCCAAAATCAGGGGGCTTCTCTGAGGCTGGCATGGATAAGGAACGGATCCGGGATAACATATATAATAATAATAACACCCAGAGGGATTTCCTTCCTTTGTGCATGATTAGCAGCTGTGAAACCCAAAACCCCTAAAACCAACCTCAAAGTTAAAATGGGCCGTTCTGTGGGGCTGACCATGGGGGAGCAGCACCTGTGGGCATTCTGCAGGCCTTCCTCCTCTGCCGGGGCACCAATAAACCAAAAAAAATAAAACCCAAAGCCCCCAGGAGCCTCAGCCCTTAACTGAGCTCCCACACTGCCCACAGCTTGGGCACAGGCACCCGAGGAGGTGCCTCTTGCTCACCCTGAGCTGCTTAAAACCCTGGGGTGAGGACATTTTAAAGCAGGACCCACCAAATGGACGCTTTGCAAACCTTCATCACATGTACTTATTGAATTTGGCTTTACTTTCTACTTTTTCCACCCAAAAAGCCCCATCTGTGGAAATCCTGGTATCCCTCATGGCCAATACTGGGAAGTATTTCCAGGCTTAACCCAAAGCTTTTCCCCAACTCCCAGGGTTTGGGTAGGGTTTTGTTGCATTTTGGATCCAGATCCTTTTATCTCCTCCTTCCTTTACTAAGACCTATTGAGAAACACACTGCCAGAGGTGGGAAACCCAAACCAGGCTGGCCAGCAAGGTTTGTATGGCCAGAGCTTGGCTGGCTTGTACAGCCAGGCCAGCAGCACCCCGGCCACCCCATACACCCCAAAATGCTCCACGTGCATCCCGCAAGCACAGCAACAACCCCTGGGAGCACCACGAGGCCTTTCTGAGGACCCTGGGGCCCAGAAGGGTCTTGTAAGGGGGAGACCCCAACACATCGACACAGCTTGGCCCCACGGGGCAGGGCCAGCCCTGCAGAAGGCATTGCCCCCCCGTGGCCCTTCCATCTCCCCCCCGTTGGAGCTTTCCGAGCGCCGCGCGGTGTCTGCGTGAGTGCCGTGTTGCAGCAGTGGTTTCAAAACTTAATTAAGCCATGTAAAATACCTTCAGTGCGTTTGAGATGCAGCAGATTAATTAAAAAAAGGGAGATCAATACACCCCTTTGTTCTCACGCACGGATGTTTGCCTCAACATCACCACCGGCTGCATTCCTGACACCGGAGGGGAGGTCCAGAGCCCACGGAGGGCTCCCCGGCACCTCTCCAGCACCAGCTCCTGCCCGAGGCCAGGTGCCGGCACCCCACATCATTTTGCCATGGGTTATTTCCATTTTGGTGTTTCAAAGGCGGGGATTTCAGCCCCTGCTGCTGGTGGTGGCCTCATCCCACCTGGCCAAGTGGTGCCCCAGCACGCACAGCCCCAGCGTGAAGCACTCCACAGGTCATTTCACAGAACCATTAAGATTGGAAAAAGACCTCCAAGATCTGTCCCAACCATCCCCTTCCACCAGCATCACCCTCCAAACCGTGTCCCTAAGCACCACCATTAAATATCACCCCTGAAATCCCCCCAGCCCGTTTGGCACAGGGACCTCTCGCGGGTTTCCAAGTTTCAGACCAGTTCGAAGCTGGGGGTGTTAGAAACCATTCCCGTAAAACACAGCATCTCTGCAAGGTGTCAGCGCTTCAACAGGGCATCGGTCACCCAAGTTTCGCTATTCCACAAATAGAGCTAGCTTCCAACTCTTTAAAAATTAACCAGAAGCATTAATTATTTCTTCTCACTCCATTTTCTCACTCCCATCCCAGGTTCCCATGCACAGCAGACACACCAAGCAGGTAACGGGGCACTTCTCCTGGCCAGCCCCCTTTCCCCAAAGGGGAGACCTTTCCACGAGGCGTGATTCTGCCGCCAGCAGAGCCACCAAAAAAAAAAAAAAAACACCAAAAAAAGCAGAAAACCAGACCCAAGCCTTGCAGCGAGCACACAGCACGCACTGCAGCAGGCCAGCTTTCATTTCCCTGCATTCATCCCTCCTGACACGTCGGCGCCTTCCAGAGGGGCCCCGTTAACGGCACCTTCCCCACAGCCACAAACACCTCACGTGCCACGGCTCAAGATTAAAATCTCCAAATATTGATGATCGTTAAGGCATGAATAAGGCACCGAAGGACAGCAGTGCCCGTTGCCCTCGCACCAAGGAGTCAGGAAGCACAAGCAGCCATCCTGTGCTCACACACGGTGCTGGGTTCCCAAGGTGAGCCGAGCATCACCCACCGGCACCGAGCTCCCTTTTCGGCTGGCCTGGGCATGGCCACATGTCCCCGGGTCCCCATCAGCACCCAAAAACACGTCCCCAGCCCCCACGGCCACCCGTGCCTGCAGGGGCTGGATGCTGCTGTCTGGGCACATCGCACCAGGCAGGCCTCCGGCTCGGCCAAGGGGCTGTACATCAAATAAATCACCTGCATTTTGAGCTTTTTTTTTTGGCCCTGGAGGCCAAGAGCTCCCCTGCTTGAAGCAAATTATAAAAAAAATAATAATAATCTCCCTTCCGTGGCATCTTGCTCGAGAAGGCATAAAGGAGAGGTTTGCATACGGCCGAGACGGATGACACAGGTTAAAATCTGTGTAAGAAATGCCCGGGGGGCTTTTCCCACGCACGACCAGACGCGCATTCTCCCAGCGCTCCCCGGAGCATCTGATGCCCGGAGCCCATATTTCCTCCTCGTTTCCTTTTCCATTCCAATAAGCCTCAAAGCAGTGTCCCCCCCCCGCCTCCCCCCTCCTTTCCCAGAGCCCGCAGCTCCAAGCCAGCAGCACTGCATGGCAGGAATCGCCTTCAGCCCAGCATCCTCGCTCCCCATCGGGGCGATTCACATCCACACCGCTGTGCCACGGAGACACCGAGTCCCATCTATCGCCAACAGGCCCCTGGGCTGTGCGGGCAGACAGCATTTAAAATCCTCCTCTGCATCACACCGGGGGGAACAAGCAGGTTTCCAAGCAGGGGATGAATTCCTGCTCGCCGGAGCGGCCAGCGCCAGCCCCAAGCTCCCTGCCCGGCTGCTGCCCCCCAGCACGGGCACGGTGCTGCGAATAATCCCTCGGGCTCGGCATTACAGCACCCACCAGCTTGCTGACAGCAGGCAGGGAGCTTCAGCTTAGGGGGAGGGGAGTTTTTTTTTTTTTTTTTTTTTTTGTTGTTTTTTTTTTAAATCATCCTTATTTCGATTTTCTGAAAGGAAAAGGCGAAGGATGCACGCTCCCGGGTTCAACGCCTTCTCCTTCCCCCACCATTGCCTCCAAAAACTCCGGCGATCCCGAAAGACATGCTCAGATCATCACCTACCTTCCATCATGGTGGCAGAATTGCATTCCTCAATTTCCAAGGAGCCTGAAAAAAAAAAATACAGGAGAATACAATCCCGGTTACCAGCTGCTTCACATAAGCCCTTAAATCAAACTGCCTCCGATCCGCGGCTTGTTTAGCTGCCAGAACAAGGGAAAAAAAAAGGAAAAAAAAAGGAAAAGCCGGTGCTAATGCCGAGGGCAGGCCATGGATGCTGCTGTGGCTGTATCACCTCCAGGATCACCGGAGGATGCTGAGAGAAAGGCAGGATGAGCCAGGCTGAGCTCCGGCGCTGCCCCCGTCCCTCCCGCCCCACATCTCGTCACATGCGCGCTGGCTCCCGAGCCCTGCCACAATGCCCCCCGGGAGCGCACCAACCTATTTCCCATTTTTTCCCCCCACTTTCACCCAAAAAGCAGAACCCCTTTTCGTACCTCGTGACGCACTTCCCCTCCCCGTAATCCTATTGCAGCAGCTGGGGGAGCGAGATTAATTACCCGGCGCTGTCAGATTAGGAGAGCGCTCCAGCAGCGGGCGGTGGGGCTGGGCAGGGGGGGAAAAAAAGCAAAATCCCCCCCAAGGCCGAGGGCACACGCACCAGGGCCGCACACCCACGGCTGCTCAGCCCTCGCCTCTCCCGCAGCCACCCGAGGCAGAAATCGATGGGGTTGACGTCACGGCACCGCTCGCCCCAGCAGGGTGACGGGCAGGGATCGCTCCCCGCCGCCTGCCGGAGCATCGGGGACCTCGTCTCCCGTGGGGAGCAGCCAAAGCAGGGATAAGAGGTGCCGTGGAGGGCAGGAGACCACGCTGCACCCTGACCCCAAACCCCCCAGGGCCACCCAGAGCAACCACGGGGCACTGGGCACTGCTGGGATTACCCCACAAAAATATAAATTTGGGATTTGCATGCAAACACCACCTCCACAAGTTTTTTTTTTTTTTTTTTTTTTTTTTTTTCCCTTCCTAGTAAAAATTATGCCTTAAAAATCCTTGCACCTTGCCCTGAAGCAGACCCAGCCCCACATGCTCCCCGCTCCTATGAGGGGCTGGGGGGCGCAGCCCCATCCCCAGGCTGGTACCAGCACCCTGCCACACCTGGGAGGGGGACACTGCCCCGTGTCACCCCCCCAGGGACACCCCCACTGGGAAACATGATTATAGATGCCAGCAAGGGCTGCAGATGCAAAGCCACTGGGATTTGGGGCTTGGGTTCAACCCTATGGAAGGGTCCCTGGGCAGCTCCAGAGATGTTATTTAAAAATTTAAAAAAAAATAAAATAAAGGGGGGGCAAATAGCTTTAAGGAAATCCACAAATTTGCTGTATGTGAATGGCAGATGTGAGGGGATGTGATGAGAATAAAAGATTGCAGTATCCGTGGGGTTGGATCATTACCCCCTGCCTGCAGCGGGAGCTGACCCCAGCCCCTCACCCCACAGCACCACCCTCAGGCTCCGTCCTAGCCTGAGGGTGCTCTGGGATTGCCCCTTTGAGAAGCTGGGACACCGATGGGTGCAGCATTTTTGCTGTTGCATCCATGGGGACGCACCCTTGGGGACACCCTCACCCACCCCAGGCAGGTCCCCACAGGTACCACCTGCCACAGGGGGCATTTATCACCCCCCATCCACCCCAGCAGCACTGGGGGTGGAAGGACGGGTGCCCAGCAGCTTTGGGAGATCTGGCTGTAACCCCATAAGGGGTACAGCCCATGTAGCACCACTCCGCTGCTCCCCAGGCCACCTCACACGGTTCCTCTGTCACCACGAGGCTCCCCGCTGCCGGTCCCCAGTCCCAGCACTCCTCCAGCACCACCCCAGTGCAGCTGGGGCAGGATTTACCCCACACCTCACTGCTCCTCCTATTTTATCAGCTCACACCACGGGCTCACCCACAGCCCTGGGGCTCCCCAGAAGGCCAAACAGCCCCAGTTTATCTACAGAAAAGGGCAGAAGCGTTTTAAATAAGCAAGGGATCACAGTGGGATGGCTGGCAGACTCTCCAAGATAACATTTCTCCCAAAATTCATACAGCTCCTCTAAAGTAGAGGAACCACAGCCACCCAGCACCCCAGGGTTGTCCCTGCAGGACAGTTCCTGTGGATATCCCTGTTGCAAACTTGCAGCAGACCCATCAGAGCCGAGTAACCCGTAACCGAGTTATCTTTGCTCATTCCTCACTCGGGCACTGAGCTATGGCAGCCTCCACACAGCGCTGGCATACAGGAGTGCCAGAAAGAAACCCATGGCTTATTGTGCAGCGTAATGTGGCACCTGTGGGGTCCCGTGGGACACCTGGCCCAGAGGCACGGAGCTGATAAAGCGTCCCTGTGTCTCCCATCCATGTCTCCCATCCCTGCATCATCCTGCGGGCAAAGGCAGCCGCAGGGCAGGGCCCCACAGAGGACACCACAACCCTGCCCTCCCACAGCCCCCTTCCCATCAGGGCAGGAGGAGGGAGCCAGACCCCGCTGGGTGCGCGATGGGCTGCCATGTGTAAACATAAACAGGGGAAGTCAGCCTCAAAGGAGAGAATAAGGAGGCAGAAAATGAGTCACAGCAGCGCATTACTCATACTGGAGCAGTCATGCTCACGCCGCATGTGACGGGCGATCCCGGCGCGTCCCCGCCACAGGGCAAGGTGCCCCCACGCCCCTGGGTGAAGGGATTTGCTAAATAAAGCTCAAATCCAGCAGCCTCATCCCTCTCAGGGCACAGCCCCGTAAATCCCGCAGCATTAACAGCGCTAACGGGCAGCCGTGAGTCGGTGACAGGTCCGCGCACCTGCCACAACGACCCGCCATGAAGCCTAATGGGGCATTTCACTGAAAACAAGCCTGTGGGCTTCTCTGTGCCAGGTGGGGACACAGCTGAAGAGGCCAAACATCCTGGGAAGCACTAATTAGGCTTTGGGATCTCTCATTAATGAGGGTTTTGGGCTCTGACACCAGGCCCTGTGCCTCCTGTGCCCATTGCGCAGTGTAGGCCTCACGCGGGGCCATGGTCGGGAGCCATCACACGCAGGCCGCCTCATCAGGATTTAGAGACTGTGAACATTTGTGCCTCGCTGCGAGACAGCTGAAAAATACCAGAGCCTTTTATAGGCTGCCATTTGGGCTTTGATACGGTGACATTTTCAGGCTGCTTGCTCCAAATGCCTCCTCCCAGCGTGACAAAGGGGGAGGCTGAAACACGGCCTCACTGGGAGAGCCTCAAGAGGCACAGGGGCAGGTTTGGTGGTGGCTGGGTGCTTCCAAAAAGATGGGGCACCCGGGCACATCATGTGGGGCTGCAAAAGGCCACAACACCGAGCTGTTACTGGGCTCGACCTCACACATTGCATTCTCTGCAGCCAGCACTCCACATCTTCAGCAGGATTATGGTGGTGTTCCTCGTGCTGAGCAGCTCCATGCTCAACAAGGAGGACTGTTACCATCTGATCTGCTGGTTTTTGCCCCATTTATCCCATTCTGCCCTCACAAAAAGAGCTGCTGGGCCCTTCCCAGCCCAGTGAGCAAGGAGAGGAGCTCAGGAGCAAGCCCTCACTGTGCCCTAGCACCAACTACAGCCCTTTGGGGGATACAGGCCAGTGTGGTGCTGCTCCCCCACAGCAGCAGAGAAGCTCTGCTTGCCGTACACTTCAACAGAGCTTCACTGCTTGAGGCTCTGAAACCACAACCCAACACGCAAGGCCCCAGCCCCCCGGCCCCGCCAGCCCCCGCACCCTCTGCTCGCTGCCTCCTGCCCCGGCTGGCACCCAGCCCCACTGCACACGTGGGGAACCAGCCCCACGGGTTGCACAGCCGCACCCTGCCCATGCCGGGGCCCTGCAAGCACTCTGTGTGCTGCTGAGGAGCCCCCAAAACACCCTGAGCACCGCAAAGCATCCCCCTCACCCCCAGCACAGGCTGGGGATGGTGGCAGCTGCACCCCACGGGGCTCCGATGGGCTCCCCGCTCCAGCACCACCCACCACAAGCATGGCACAACCAAGATCAGCTTACAACCAGCACGACATGCCAGGGCACCCACCGAGCAGACGGCCATGTCCATCCCCAGTCACCAGCAGCACCCACGGTGCCCATTTGGCCAGCAGCTCCGTGCCGGGCAGCAGCAGTACCGGGGTGCAGAGCTCCAGGAGCAATTGAATGCTGCCAGAGCAGCCTCTGCCTTATTTAATGGCTCTCATGCACACGGAGGTAATTAGGCTGTGCCCTGGGGCGCTGGAGCACCACGGGAGCCCCATGCACACCCTGCCAGCAGCTCCCACGGCCACAGATCGAGCACGCATTTACCAGCAGCACCAAGCTCCCGGCCAGCACTCACCTGCCTTGTGCCCCCACTCAGTTTTGCCCCCACTCGTGAGGAGGCCAAACCCTGCAGGTGGGCTCCCCAGCTTAAATCCTGCCTGGGCCCGATGGGATGAGGTGCAGCTGCGGCCCCACAGCCGTGGGGACTGCTCCTGCCCTGCCCCAGCCCTGCCCATAGCACTGAGCGGGGCTGGAGCCAGAGCCACAGCCCCACAGCCCCCGGCTGCTCCGATGGGGTGGCACAGGGGACGCTAACTGGCCTGGCAGCGAGGCTGTTTTGCCTTTTTTTTTTTGGTTAGAAAGAAGGTATTCAGGAACATGGAAAAAAAAATCCCCATGCGAACGATGGGTGTGTGTTTTCGCAGACGGCAGCGCTGCCCCACAGCACACGTGTGTGTGCTCCTGAGCGTTGCCCAGCCTGTTTCGGGGCGGTATCGCCGCCAGCATCAACCCGGGTGTGATTTGGGATGGAAAGTGCCCTCCCCGTGTGCCCCACGTTGTGCTGAGCAGCCCCGGCAGCAGGGGGAGCGGGGATGAGCCCAGGCAGTGCCCAGCCCCCGGGAATCCAACAGTCCTATTTTGTGCATTTTTGCCCCAAGAAACACCACATTTGAAATGCTGCACGCCAAGGTGAGAAGCAGAAGCTCAGCAGCACGCAAGGGGTTGGGTTTTAAATCCAATGTAAAACCTACAGGAACAGAATTTTGAAGGGAATTTGAAGAAACTTCATGTATTTGGGTGCTGCTCCCTGGCCCCATGAGAGGCTGGAAGTGCTGCCCCGTGCCCTGGCCACAGCTGCGCCCATGCCCACGGGCAGGCACCGCTGCCAGCACCAACAGCCTGTGCTAAAAGCTTCTGACAGTTGCCTGCCTCGGGCTGTTTTCTTTTTTCTTTTTCTTTTTCTCTCTCTTTTTTTTTTTTTTTTTTTTTTTTTTCAGGAAGGTTTCCACCGAAACAGCTCAGCTGAGCCTAAAGAATGAGGTTATGGAAAAAATACATATCTGAGCAGCGTTGAAAATATTCCTGCTGCAAAAGCCTCCTGCCTCTGCTCCTGGGGGTGCTGGGGGGATGTCGGGGCTGCCCCGTGTTTCGCTGTGGACGGGTCCCCGTGGGTGACAGCGAGGGAGGTGACAGCCCTGGCCCCGTGTCTCCTGCACCCGGCATCAGCTGGGAGGAGCACAGGTGCCCGCGGATGTGCTCCAGGTGATTGCACCCCCAGCCACCAGTAACATGGCCTGAATTTCCAGGGAAGAAACCTTTACCCCTCCCTCGTAAAAACAAGATTTTTCTGCAAGATCTGCCTATTAAGACCGTATAAAAAAGTGTCAGAGCTGAAGGTGGTGCCTGTTGGTGGGGAGGAAGAGGAGGCTGGAGAAAAATAAGCAGGGCTGTGCTTGTGCAATGGGGTGAAAGGGTTCTGTTGGGTGCGACTGGCTGCGCTTGCACGTGGCTGAATGAAGCCCAAAGCAAGCGGGAGCGGTGCTGGGAGCAGGAGAGAGCAGGGAACAGGAGGGGCTGTGCGGGGAAACGGCTGTGCAAAGGGGCAAAAAAAGTGACGGGTCCCAAAATGAACTCCCTGGGGATGGAAGCAGCCGCCAGCTGGGTGCAGGATCCAGCTGTGGGCATTGGATCCAGCTGTGGGCATTGGATCCAGCTGTGTTTGGGATCCAGCTGTGTTTGGGATCCAGCTGTGCTCGAGCTGCAGCCACACAGGATCCAGCTGTGCAGAGCCCCAGCTGTGCACCCCTCCTGTGGCACAGTCCCCAGCTGCGCGCTCCTCCACCTGCGCATGGCCCCGGCCTTGCGGGACCTCATCAGGGCACGGCTCCAGCTGCTTGGGGCCCCCTCCAGCACCATCTGTGCCGACCCCACTGTACACATCCCAGCCATCCGTCCCCACCGCGGGTGTCCCCGCTGCATGTGTGCTGGCTGGGGCTCGGCAGATGGAGCTGTGCAGCTGCGCACGGCCACGCGGGCAGGCCGGGGCTGGCTGCGGGGCTGCAGCGAGCTGAGCCCTGGCTGCCTCGGCTGCTGCGTGGGTGCAGGAGCAGGGTGCGGGAGCGCCGGGGGCGGCTCTGCCCACGCTTGGCACAAAAGCGGGGCTGCAGCGCGGCGGGGCCCCCGCCTCTGTCCCGCGGGGCTGCGGTGGGACGCAGGCGGAGCTGCGTGGGGGGCACCCAAGCCGTGGCACGTTGCGCCCCGAGGGGCGGCGAGGGCGTTCAGGCTCCAGCAGTGGGGTGGGGGGAGTTTGGGACACCGTGGGGTTGTGTCCTGCTGCCTGGGCTGATGGCGACGGTCCTGGTGTGAAGGGAGCAAGGGGAAGGCGGCCCCAGTGCCCATGGGGAGCCCCGTGCTGTGCCCACGGGTCCTGTTCCTGGGTGCAGGGAATGTCCTGAGGCTGGTCCTGGGGCTCAGCCCCCCACCAGCACCGCTGCAGAGCCCTAAAATGGGGCCAAACTGTGGCTGGGGGGAGCAGCACGGCCCGGCACACCCTGCCTGAACAAGGGCTGCATTTGGTCCCTCGTGCACCACGGCCAGCTGGGCACAGCACGAGTCCTGGTGCTGCCACTGATAAGTTTTGGGATGGGAAACTCACCAACATGGGTGGCTTCCTGGCCAAATCTGCTCTGGGCAGGCAGATTGGGATGTCCCGTGTGGGCTGGGGGGGTGCCGGCATCTCAGCAGGTGCCAAAACGGCATCAGAGGGACCCAAAATAGGGACTTGTGTGGGTGACAGCAGGGCCAGGATGACCTCGGGACGGGGAGCCCTTGGGGACAGGCTCCTTGGTCACTGTGTGGTCGCAGCCCTGTGCTCAGCCCCGTGCCAGCACCACCTCCCTGGCACCGAGGCTCGTTGCTGCTGGGCTTGGTTCCAGCGCCGCGGGCACGATAAAATCTGGGCTTTGTGCACCAGCCCCGAGCATCTTCCTGTTTGTGAGTGCGAGACCGTCAGCGCTTGGGATTTTCATTTCTTTTTTTTTTTTTTAATCTGTAGGATTTTTAGCTGAACACTAAACCAGTGGCACCTCAATCACCTAAATCTTTGTGGCCAGCAAAGCGCCTCCAGCTCTCGGCGTCGTTTGCAGGTCCCCGGGGCTGAGTCCTGCCCTGCCAGCTGCTCCTGTCCCGCCGGGGAGGACACGGCGCCACGGAGCTCAGGGCCCTAAGGGCAACCTGCTGGCCCCAAGGGAACCTGAGCATGGCCCAAACACAACCAGAAGAGGATGGAGGCCGAGCAGCCATTGCAAGGGAAGCACACTCCTGGAGGTGTTCCTGCTGCTTGTTCATGGTGGGGGCACAGTCCTGCAGCTGCCCTTACCCAGACAAGAGAACCACGGCCTCTGAGCATCTCCTTCAGAAGAAATCCAAGGTTTCTTTGACACTTTCCAGGGGGTGCGCACCGTGTGTGGCTCGGGGTGATGGGTGCCGGGTGCTGAAGGAAGCTGCAGGAACTGCACTGGTGCAGCAGGAGTTGGGGCAGGGGGACGGCAAAGCACAGCCAACACGCAGCCTCGTCCTCCGAGGAAAGGAGGCTGAGTGAGCTACCAAGCAAGCCCGCACCGAAACTGGGATTTCCCACCCCCAAAATGGGAGGATTTGGGTTATTCAGCAGCAGAGCCGCCGGCTGGGCGCTTGCTGCTGCTGAGGAGGAGAGAAAGGAGGCTGCTATCTCAGCGCACAGCACCGCCACGCCGCATGCGTTCACGGGAAAGCTGCTGCCTGGCAGAAATGGGTCACTGGAAAGGAAAAAAAAATGAAAGCTGGAGGGGCGCAGAGCCGGGTGGGAGGGTGCCACGCAGAGCGGCCGCACCCCGTTCTTCCCGGCCCCCTCGGCAGATTGTTTTTCCCTTCATCCGCCCACCGTGCCTGCGGTTTTGGGGGATCACCTGCACTCGCAGCTCCTTGCTTTCTGCCCTGGGATGCTTTCCCGGCCCCACAACCCGCTCCCCACCTCCGCACGTCCCGGCAGCAGGCACGCAGCTCCCGGTGCTGCAGGGCAGAGCCGTGCGCGTGGCTGGCCGAGCGCGCCCGCAGCGGGGTAGGTGCAAACCGTGCGCATGGGCACATCCAGCGGAACAGGGAAATTTGTGCCAGCCCTGCCAAGAAGGCGTTCATTAGTGGTTGGGATCCTGGAGAGCCGCGGCACAAAGCACCCCGGACGCTGCGGGGCAAGGATGCGGCCCCGAGCTCGGCGGCGTACGTGCGCGCTCGGCTTTCGCGCCTCTCGCCAAGCTGGAGGTCAGCTGCCATTGAAGCCCACTTGCAGCTGGGCCCGGGAGGCTTTGATGGAGGCTGGTTGTTAATTGCTGCTGCCATTAAGTGCTGTGTGGGAAGGAAGACGCGGCATCGGGGATCTGCGCTTTCAAGTGGCTTCGTTTCGGAGCCAGGAAGTCTGGGGAGAGCCCGGGGGAGCCCACGCCGCGCCGGCAGCCGGAGCACCTTGCCACAGCGACGCAGGAACGGCCCCGAGCGCCGCGGGCACCTCGTGCAGCGCCCGCAGCGAGGGCGGCCCCGGGGCCCTGCCCGGCCGTGCGTCACGGACGGAGCGCGGCGCTGCCCGGGCTGTCCCTCCCGCACGCTGGCAGGATGTGTTTTTACTGGAAAGTCGGTTGTTTTGGGTTAGGCCAGGACATGAAAGCAGCCCACGGGCTCTGGTGCGCCGCCGGCCTCGGCCATCGCCTTCCTGTCTGCAGCGCCTTCCTGTCGCCAGCGCCGCGGCCCTGCTGAGGCTCAGGAGCAGCGCCTGGAGAGCCGCCCGCGGGGCTGCGGTGCCGCCGGGTGCTGCAGAGCCGCGCCGTGCCCCCGGGGCTGTGTCCCCATTCATAAGCCAAGCGCAGGAAGCGCCTGTGCGTGGCTGCTGGATTTCGGCCACAGGAGGGGTCGTTTTTCCCTTACTCCCTGAGCTGCTCGCTAACCACGTGCCAGCCGGGTTCCTGGCGTGCCCAAAGCCACCGTAGGTACCGTGGCTGCCGGTGGGTGCTCCCCAAAGTGACCTGCTCACGCAGCAAAACACAACGCCGAGGAGAGCCGAAGGCAGGGTCATGCTTTCATTTATTCACTTCATATAAAAATCTCTTAAGAATGCATCTGAACACAATATATAATACTATAACATACATTGTGTGAAACTTTTGAAAACAATAAAATAACCACCTGGAACAATGCAGTGTTCAACAGACATACAAACCCATTGATCATGCACAACTGTGCTATTTTCATTAACTAGTTAGTCACAAGTTGGACCAAAAGCTTGAAACATATTTTACAAACTGAGATTGACACCGCTCACGATGCCTAACAAGCTTTGTCAGAAGAAGTTTCACAGCACAATTATTACATCAGTTCACATTTTTGTCATAGAAATTCACATTGGGTTGTTCAGAAATTGGAACGTGACATTGAAAAGCCGGCCCACAGGCGGGGGGTTCCTTTTCCTCTTCCCCTTCCAGCCTCTCGGCGCCCACAGCCCCCCAAATCCCCTCCCCTGGGGCCCCGCTCGCCGCGAGGACGAAGCCCGCGGGCGGCTGCCACCCGAATGCCCTTCCTGGGTTGCGTATGTCTCTTCAGCTATGTTCAGGTTCTTGTATTTTATGCAATACAAAAGGTTACAAGAAAAAAAGGCAACTCTTATTCCGAGTTTTCTACACAATTAACATCGCCGCCGACAGGCAATGTTAATTCATATAAATTAATAACTTACAAAACATTACAGTATATACATTACGTAATAAATACACTGTTATAAACAGTAATGGAGGTGTTAGAGCTCAAGGCAGTGCGGGAGGAGGACGGTGGACCTAAACCTAGGAAACGTGAACAACAGGCGAGAGAAACACAAACATCTGAGCGTGCAACTTCCACTGAGCCAAGGAGCTGCCGAGGGGAGCGCGTCACACACTGCCTTAGTACGCTTACTGATATAGGTACTGCACGGTGCCATGAAAACAAACTACCCTTTGTCCTGTGCACAAGGAAAGTAAAACCCAGTCGAGGAAAAAACACTGTTATTCCTAGCAAGCCAACGGAGAGGGTGCACGATGGCATGAAGTGGCTCTAAATGGGTCGTCTGGAGTAGTAAGGAGGCTACTAAAGGTGCAGCAATGCAAACCAGAGGGTGTCCTTTCTATTTAGTCTGTAAAAGTGATTAACTGCAATAAAGTGACAGGTATTGCCCATGAAAAAAGGAAGACTGCTTCTTGTAACAGGAAGAATCAAAAAAGTATCCATCAATTTTGAAACACTTTGTGTTGCTCTTTATACTAAACTCCGTGTATTTAATAGACTCTTGAAAAGACATGAAAGTGTTTACAAAGAAGGCACACAGGTCTGCAGACAGGTGGTCAGGTGGACAGGTTTGATACGTAGAGTTATTAATCAGTAGTTTCTATCAGTCTAACTGGTATAAATTCCAAAACTAACAGTATAAAATCTCTCAGTTGTGTGTCATTTACTGTTCAGTTACGATTCAAGCCAGCTCCAGGACAACACGATGCTTTTAGCTGACAAGGCTTAAACCACAATGTAAATCATCTGGCAATTTCCTGAGCAATCATTCACTACACGATCTCCAACCCTGACTCCAATCTCAAGTAGCTGGGGAGAACTTTGAGCCAATGTTAGACACAGGCCTAAGACCCAGGCTGCAGGCGAGTCCCTTGAGACTGCTCGCATGCTCATTAAGTGTTTAAAATCCACTTACACAGGTACAGGACATTATGTGTCAACAGGAGACGTGTCTTCTGTCACAATTTCTATGTTCGCCTCCCTCTGTGACTCTTTTTCCCCCGGCTCGTCCATGCAGAGTGTCTTTGTATTGCTGAAGTAGCCGATGCCCTCTCCTTCCTTCTCCGGTCCGTCCGAATCCTCCTCCTCGAGGGTCAGTTCAAACTGGAACTTCTCCATCAGGCCCTGGCAGTCCCTGCTCCGCTCCTCCAGCGGAGGAGAGGGGCTCTGAGGTATCATGCTCTGGTACCAGTTCCTGTTGTCCTCCAGTGTGTCCAGGATGTCCTGGGCGTCGGGCTGCACCAGGTCAGCCCACGTCTCCCAAAGCGGATGGACAATGTAGTCGATGAACCCAACCTGAGGAACACAAGAACACGCACAGTTAAGGGCAGGGAGGTAAATGAGTGTCAAAAGAGTTAAGATGACCATAATACATGATTTTTACAAGCAAAATAGCTGCCTGGGAGCAAGCTCCCCGTCCCAGAACAGTTTGATTACCTCCTACCAAAGCCGCACCCCCAAGTTTGAGGCCAGGTTGACCTCTTGTCCCAAACCAAGCCTTGTATGGAAGGTTGAGGAAAAGCAGGAGCCACTTGGACACTCAGTGATAAGCTGCCTCTCTCATCCCTGGCTGCATGAATGATTTTGAATGTCCTTGTAGGTGTCTTTTCCTGACCACTGAATCAACCGCTGCCGTGCAGGAGGCAGGGCGAGTTACTGCTCTGAAGGCAGAACGTCACTGAGATCCTGCAGAAACAACACCTACCAACTGCCAGTGCACGGAGACATTTTAGACAGTTGTTGTCCCTGGGAAATTGGGAATTGGGAAAAAGTGCTGTTATCTCCCACAGGCCCCGTGCTGACTGCGGACGGGGTCGGTGTATTTATGGCAACGTGCAGTCACACCCCAGGGGCTGCGTTTGGCTGGCAGTTGTGAAAATGGCAGAGTTCTCAGGGTGAGCACCGGCCCCGCTGCTGAATGTCACTGCTTTTACGGACTCCAGTTTGACCTTTAGATGTATTTTACCACAGCGTGCAGTTCGTATCTGTCCTGAACATTGTTGTGGTGCTGCATCTTTAAACACTTCAGCGTGTTTCCTCTGCGCTGCCAACGCAGCCACCTCTATGGACCTTGTAGAGATTTCCCTTCCTGCCGCTTCATTTTGGAAAGAGTGCGGAAAGCAGGGTAACTAACCCTGACAAGAAGTCCTCCTGCACTGCCGTGGACAAACCACCTGCTGCTTGGGGTGCCGTGCCAGCGCTGGAAAGAGTGAGGCTTGCGGCCGGGTCCGTCAGTCCATCCGCCCGCTGGCGCGTAAGTTCTGAGCTAAATCATTTTTCAATTGTCTGACTAAGAGGACGTACGTCCAGGATGGAGAAAACTGAATGGCCATAAAGAGGATTGAAATTCTTCCGTCTTGGCAGCGTGTGTCACTTCTCTCCTCGCTCTGCTGGACAACATTTCTGTGCAGCAGGAAAATGGCTCTCAAAGGGGCCAGACTCAACGTGCAGATGTTTGCTTTGGAAATCACACATGCCTCCTTCAGACACAACAGGATGTCAATAGAACCATTAACATTCAATTGTAACGTACTGTTGAGGCAGCTTAAACAAAAAGGTGATGAAAATTTCCTGCAGCACATGTTCCGGAGCACTTTTAAAGTGAAAAAAAAAAAAAAATAATTCTGTACGGTTAGCCGATGGCTTCGCCGCCACCCAAAACGCTCAAGGGCTGCAGGACCCACGGCTACAAACCGGGCGCTTTGCAGCAAAGCCATTGTTCCTTTAAACAAACATCCCATATCACAGAATAGCTGGCCAGATGGCCGAAGGCTGATCTTAAAATATTTTGATGTAAAGAGGGAACATCCAGAGCTCTGCAATACTTGCTCGCTGTCTGCCCGTCGGTTCTTTGTTTCGCTCCAGGATGGAAATGCCACTTCCCTCCCCCCCCCGCCATCAGTTGGTATTTTGATGGCAGCCATTTCGTGCAATCCCTGCTCTTTTTGCATAGCAAAAATGCCATTTTGAAACCTCTATGAAGTGCATATGTGAAACGAAAAAAATAATTGGAGCTTACATGTGGAGCACATGGGCATTTTCTGGCCAAGCCTGGCCAAAGGATTCACTTCTTGTTAGGTTAACAAATAAGACAGATTTTTCCAACAAAATCACCATGCGGTTGAGTGAATAATTTTGAAACCACTTGGCTTAGCCCAAGAGGACATTTGGAAATAATTATCGTCAATTTTGTTACTTATTCAAGCTGAAAAACCTCGATGATGGCTTGCTCAAGTCATTTAAAAACAACAACCAAGACACCATTATATGAAGACAGGAATACGTTTAGGCAAACATAAATTACCGGCTTCATTAGAGACCAGCCAGGTGAAATTTTATGGCCTGGGCTACAGGTCAGAAGAAATTTGACCTTTATATCATTTAATCTATGAATCAGAACTAGGAATGTGCCAGGTAATCTCAAAAAAAAAAAAAAAAAGAAAGAAACATCCAAATTCTTTTTAAGATTTGTAGTGATTTAAACACCTATTCTTTGACTTCACAACACAGAGACTCCATCAGGCCTCTAACGTCACTGGCCTCATCAAGAAGTGCAAAACTGTTCTATACAAGGCTGAAAACCAACCAACATTCAGACTTTTTCCATGTCCTGAAATGGAGCTCAGCTTGGGGACGCTCCTCTCGCTGCCATTCAGTGGGACTGGCATTGCTATAAATTTCTAATGTGGGGTACAATATCGGTAGGTTTAGGAGGAGGTGCTAATTAAGAGCTAAGAAGGAGGCTGTAGGGTGTGAAGACAGAAGAGACCTGGGGAGATCAGAATCACACTCTTCCAGCCCGGGGAACAAAAGGAAACCAGCTCACTCTGGAAACTGGGACACAAACAAGGCAAGATAAGCATGCACTTAGAAATGAGGAGACGCCAAGGAGTACATAAAGGAGGCTGAACAGCCTGGTGAGTCTATATGAGCTTCAGGCACAGCTGCGTGTCAGGGTCAATCAGAAGCAACCCTCTGAACAGCTGGCTGTTTGCCTAATTGTATTAGAGAAAGCAGATGAATTTTTGTCTCTGCTTTAAAAATACAAGCTTAGGCAATACAAAAATGCAGCTCAAGGCCAATTACCTGTGATTTTTCCACTGACGCTGTATGTTTGTCACACATTGGACTGATTTCCATTCCTCTTTCTCGTTCTTTGTCTCCCTGCTGGAAGAACTCCTCCATGATTCTGTCTGTCCACTGCCGGTACAACTCCAGAGACTTTGTGGGATTACTCAAGTCTGCACAATGTACCATATTTCGGAGAACCTGCAATTATATTAATCAGAAAACTCGTAAAATCAAATGGAAAAAGAGGACGGCTTCAAGCTGTATCTGCTTGCTTAATTCAGAACATTTAACCACAAGACTCTTTGATTATGCAACATTCCATAAAAATATTAACATCGTAATATCTCCGTATATGCGACCAGCTGCTGTGGTCTGCTCCAAAAGCAAACTCTGCTATATGTTTTTTAGACAACCCAGTACTTACAGAGGGTGCAGTGCCGGCGATGTTAATTACATCATATAGGTTTGTTTTTGAATGCAGGTGCTTCCCACCATTCAAACTTTATTTTCATGCTCTCAGATGGTTAAACGCTCCTTCTTTATTAAATGAGTAATATCCCCTCCACACACACAAAAATGTGCCTGACTAACTGTGGCTACAAGGATTTAGAAAGCAATGGAGTGACCTGTTTTAACAGCAGCAGTCTTAAACAAAATATAAGGGCAGTTTTCCTATGAGACTGTCCTTAAGAAGCCGGCCATCAAAGCAGAGAGAGGATCAGGACGTACCTCGTCCTACATGTTAACCACGTAACCCCCCACCAGTACTGCTTTGTCATTTCTGTAAATCAAGGATTAGACTATACAGAGTGTACATCATCGATTTTAACCCAGTTTAAAAGTTGCTTTAGGTATGGAGTTACAAATTAAATTCTTGCAATCTTGCAATGCTATGACCATCCAGCTATACTTCTTTGTTACGATAAAGAAATGGAGGAAAGTGGGAAAGAAATTCCAAGAGCCCTCAAAAACTGAGCCTCTGAGATTAACCTCAGAGGAACACGCATGCTCGCAGTTGCATGCTCTAAGCATTAAAAACATAAACCCTTCTACCTAAAAGACAGGAGACCACCTTGTACCACCTTGTTGGTCTCTGTGGTGCAGAACAGAAGAAAATATATCTACAGTGCTTGCGTGATTGCTGAAAATCTAGGTCAGCAACTTTACTATATATAGCCTAGTGAGAAGCCACAGCAAAACCAGGAACATGGTTTCTTCAGTACTGAACAAAATACACGAAATCCCTAGGGAACCTCCTCTGACCTACCTGTATTCTATCTGTGTAGTTATCCAGAAGGAGGACTCCTGAACTGGTCACTTTCTTGGTTTCCACCATGGTCTTCAGATCAGCCAACAGACTCATATGCTTGGACATATCTGTTGCCAATACCTTTATGGAAGAGAAAACGATCTCAGCAAGGGCAGCCATACAAAGAAGCCAATATTTTATTTAAGAGTAGCAGTGTGAGCACAGGTCATACCATGTCAATCACCATCTTCCTCAGAGTCTGACGCTGTTTCTTGGTCAGGTTCTGGAAGATGTCACAGTGCTCTTCTTGAAGCAGTTTGAAACCCACAGCAAGATGGTGGTTCTCCAAGACGGATTCGTCGTTGTACATCAGGGCTAGTTCAGAATCTAGCAGAGCAACATAAATATGTGACTCCAGGATGAGAAGTGCGTGACTTCAAACAGCAAACACTTACGCTGGGCACTGAAATGTTTATCCAAATGCAATAAATCGGGAAAGTTTTGTTTTTTTTTTTGTTTCACATGTGCCAAGAGTACGCAGTTTTCTAATCTAAGCACATATGTAAATACCATAAACAGCCCTTTGCTCGGGTCTGATGAACAAAATAGTATTTGGTTGACTTAGTTACAGGCTTCAGAACCACTGACAACAGAAAGCATGAATCCTGCAAACACACTTTCCAAAAAAGAACAATACACATATTTTGGAATCAAAATACATGCTTAGCCTGTTGCAGAATACAATATGAACCACAATATTTAGGCTTTATTGTTGTCAATAGCAACAGCATTATTAACCTTATATTAACGATTAAATTTGCACTCAGGATGGGAAGATTTATTATGCCTTATCAAGCAATAATCACAATATTCAAGGCCACTTTGCAAATTGCATTACAATAGCTTCCCTTGTTTTGATAGGAATTTAATTTTAATTACTGCTCATTTCAAAATGTAGGACTAGTTTACTGCACAATACGTTGAGAAAGCAACACGGTCTGAAAGTCATAATTTGTGACATCGCTGTAACGGAAAATGCACTCCAAGTTCGCAGATGAAGTTATAATTGTACTTGAAATAAAACTCACTTGTATTAATAAGAAACTGATTGGAGACACCAGGGTGATCCACATCATGAATTGCAGCTGCAAAAATTGCAGCAAGGATTTCCAAATCAGTGAAGACAGCCTAGGAAGGAAAAAAGAAATTTGTCAGAAAAGTCCCTATGTTTTCTTGCTCAACAGTTTGGGATGCTGATGTGGAGAAACAAATTGTTTGTGCTTTCTGAATTACTTTTCATAGGATAAGGCATTTACTCAGAAGAAAGGTATACATGCAGCATGTGCCCTTTAAGATGAAACAGAGATTATAAATAAAGCTGCTGCTGAAATTTCTTTATGTTTTCTTCCCTGGTAGGAAACTGAGCACTCAAAAGAACAGGCAGCCCACTGCAATTTTTTTTTTCAAGTCTGAGTGCTATCAGTGATTGACTCAGTTTAAGGTTCTTCTGTGTTCATATAAGCAGTGTGCTGCTTTTAATTCACCATTCAAAACATCCCACATTAAAACATGACCATCGCCCGACACAGACCACTTAGCTCAAACTAGGTCACTCACATCCAGAGCAGGGGTGGAGAGAAGAACATGGGTGGACTGGGCAACATCAGCAGCATGTAGGCTGTTGTGGTAAGCTACATCCGAATGGTAGTGGTCTTCTAGAGTCATCATGTACGTTACAAAAGTGTCCGACGAGATCTTGAATGTTTTTAGTAGGTCTCGCTCCTGTAAAATAAATAAGTACAGATGTATGTATCAAATAAGGATGCCATATCGTGGAAGGCAACATAGCAGAAAGCACTTAGAAACTAAAATAGAGTTGTGAAAGAATAGCAAATGCGATCAGAAAACCACGAACCTGGAATATAGCATACATAATGCAGGTGAGCGGCCTGTTGTGGGAGTACCTGGCAACATTAAATATGTTGAGACCCCATTTATTCAGATCTTCCAGTTCCTTTTGAAAAGACAAAAAGAGAACAATTAAAATATTTCTCAAGACATTTCTGCATTTATCACTTTCACTGAGGCTTTTGCATGTTCCAAAAGTTTAAGCAGAGAATTCAACCCTAATTGTGGTAATCAAATAAGTGCATGAGCACACGTAATTATTAAAGTACACGAACAGAGAGTAACTGTGAAGTGCTGATGTCAAAGCACTTGTACAAGGAGACCACATTTCTCTGCACCAGGGGAATTATCTGTGATGTTTGTTCCCAGGTAGCAAGAAGCAAGGCACCTGATGGAGACAAAGGCCTCGTAGCCAGTTTGTTGCACATAGCGTTGTTTTATGTTCCTGTGTTTGATAATTACTCAGACTTCATCACAGTTTCTGATTATTTTAGTGACATTTTCAAAGAATTTGTCAACCTGGGAAAATGCCATTAGGGTCTGGTCCCATAAATTACAATATCTGCAGTGGCCATATCACTTAGGGGATACTGATTCCAATTTTACCTAGGGGCAGTCAATCCAGCCCATCCATCCCCTGCTTTGAGATCACACTGACTCTCCCAGAACCGTAAGGATCTGTCATACCTTGGCCAGATGGTCTTCCTTTTCTGTTTTCACACCAAATCGTGAAATGCTGGTATTATTTAAGCTTGAACTATGCATTAATTTTTTCACACCACTGATCTGTGTCATGAGCTGCTGTTTTTTCTTCTTCTCTCTGTCTTTCTGTGTGGGAGAAGGAATCTCCACATCATTCTGCTTGTCTGTAACAAATAAAGGTGAAATGAATCAACATCATTTGCAGAAACAGAGTGTGAGCACCCATCACACCCCTTAAAGTCAACCCTTACCCTCGATCATTAAATATGACTAAGTATTACCCAAGTGATGCATATTAGGGTCCATACCCCCTGCTCCTAAAATAACAGCCCAAAAATAAATCGGTGGCACTTATTTATTAAAGGTTTGCCCTCTACAATTTTTAATTTTTTTACTAAAATGCGTAGAATAACATAAGAAGTGTAGGGTACATCCCTACTGTCAAGCATGCTTAGAGATAATAGCAATATTATCTCTAAGATAATAGCAATATTATCTCTAAGGTTCGTAGTGGGGCACAAACTTGGCTGTGGAGATGTGTTTGATAGATAAATCTATCCACATATGCGAGTTGCTGCCTTCACAACTGCTCCATTTGCTGCACTAAAATGGAGACACAGTGGCTTGGGACTTTGATACCAGCCATTTTTTCATGAACTTTTAAAATAGCCTGCTGTAATCTCTTTGCACCTTTGCAGAACTGAGGTCCTCCGGAGGGACTAGGCATCCAAGCATTAGTTACTGTTGCCTTAGCTTAATTAAAAATCTCCGAAATAAGAACTACCAGTGTGTCTGCAACGCTGCAATTAAGAAGGAAGCCATTATTCACTGCAACAGTCAAGCTGACATCAATGGGTGTTTCCCTTGTGTGCCTTTGCTGAACAACAGAAGGACTTTCCTATATATAATCTCCTTAGCAATGACTAATGCTAAGGCAGTGTAAAATGGAGATTCTTGAACAGAAATCTCTAATTCATGAAACCGTGAGCTTCACAAACTTGGTGAATTCTGGGAAAAGATCCTTTCAGGGTATCTAACAGCCTGAGGAGCAGTGCAGTGGAGAAGCTGAGGACCACAAAATAGGCAAAATCCTCAGAGAAAGACAATATAGCTACACAGTGCATATTGCTATTCAACGTGCAGCACGAAGTAGCACTTACGAAAATATGGTAATTAATCTTAAACCTTTAATTGGTGTTTTCATAATGCCTCCGAGTTGGCTAACAGATCACGTTCATTGCTTTCAGTGCCTATCAGAGGGCACATGTGGATTCCTGTGCCTTAAGCATTATTCTCCAGAGGCTCCTGCCCACTCTGACTCGTCCTTTCACTGAGACGTTACTGCCTCTGCAGATCTCATTTGTGATCCCCATCGCACTGCTCGGGGCAGCGTCCCCATCCATGATTCGGGGACAGCAGGCACACGAGACCTTTCCACAACGCCCGCAGTCGTTGGAAGTCAAAATGCTGAACGTGGGGGCTGAGAGCACCAGGACTGCTGCTGCTGGCAGGGCACTGCTTGGTTAACGCTGCTGCCTGCAGGCTTGCAGGGGGCTGGGGACTGCTTCGAGCTTCCGAGCAAGCCGCGTGGCCAAGGGGATGTCCCTGCAGCAGTGCTGGGAACCACGGCACCTCAATACCCCTTGCTGTTGTAGAAAAGGGCAGTTGATAAAAGGCTACTGTGCTCGTTCCCATTTACATTATGGGGCCAAGGATAAACTCACCATTTTTAATCTTTGGCCTCGATTCAGACCTAAGGTTGCTGTCCTTACTCTTACTGACCAAATGGCGACAGCAGGACTGGCCCCATGGGCAGAGGACATTGCTTTACTGGGGTCTTCCTCAGCTCATTTAATAAAGGCAATAGACCAAATGAAGTTACTCAATCTGTTTTTTGTTATTTATAAGCTATCCCCATCTTACAAACACTGTTTGGAGATAAATGATGTGTCTGCTCTGTTCTACCCACATATTCCTTCTTTTTGGTTCAATTTCCTCGGTTTTAGACTCTTGTTATTTTGTGCATTCATTAAAATTTTAAGCCAAGTTTCATGAAAAAAGCAAATTCATAAAAAAAGCTACAGCATGACTTCCCAGAGGAGCTCTAAGGTCCTTTTAAAAGCTTTATTCATTCCTTTCTAACACAAGCAATCGAGGTGGGAGCTGGCCCAATGTGGAGAGCCTGCACCACTCGGCGTTAACACAGCCCCGAGTGGCCCTTACACTGTGAATACGTCACCACCATGGAGTATGTGAGAATAAGCAGGACAGGAATAAACAAGACTTGAAGGGAAATGCGGTTCCCCGACCTAGCCTGAGCACAGGGAATAATACAGCCACAGCAGCAGCAGCTCCAGCTCCTCAGCCCCTGCGGAGATGCAGGCTACCCTACCTTGGGTGTACGTGGGGTTTCCTGGCACTGCATTCAGTGCACGCTGTCACGAGTGCTGTGTGTTACTTGCACGCCCAGCACCAAGAATACACCGAGGCAGCCTTGCTTTTATTCCCGGTATTAATTCATGTTCTGGATGTCATGATTAAGCTGAGTGATAAGAGAAGACCAGTGGATTCCCACAAAGCAACTCCAGACTTTTACATGGATTATTAATGATGTGATGTGTCCTAAATGCACGCGGTAGTTCCAGTTGCAACTGGCTATTGAAATCACTTTAAAATCCCTTAATGGAAATAATTGTGTGTCATACAGTGAATGCATTCTGGGCCATCTCAGCCGCAGGGCATGAGTCCCCCGTGAGCTCCAGCACACCACACACACTCAGCGTCTCAAGCTATTGGGCTCAGACAGATATGGATGAGGGCTCTTTTTATAAGCAAACAATCACAAATTCTAGAGCTGTTTGAAATCACAGCAAACTGTATTTTTTTGTAAAAGATGTATTTTGTAAGCACAGAGGATCCAATCCCCAAACCACTTAAATTCCTGTCGGTAGTCATGAGCTCCAACAGAACTAATGACATGCAAACCGATTTTTTTTTTACAAATATTTTTGACTTCCCGTGCAAAATGAGCAAATAAACACAGAGTAATAATAAAAATATCTGGGCTGGACTTGCTTGTCTGAACCCCTGACTCTGCAGGGGGAAAATGCAGTTTTATGAGGCAGAAGGAGCAAAGAGGAGAGTATGCAGTTGGGCTTGTGTGACTTTGTCCTTTACATAAGGTCAACACAAAAATCAAATATTGCACAATGCAGCTGACAATAGCTTAATTCAACCCGAACAGAAAAATCTTTCGATTTGGAAAGGGAATTCCTCCGTGGATAACATTATTCAAACATTATACTGCTTTCCTCCCCATATCCATCTTGAAAGTGAAAAATCAAAACGTTTTAATAACGCTCTGCCTCAAAGCACCACTCAGAAATTGGGCACAAGTAGAGACTGGTGGGTATTAGGCTGCCATTAATTGTTATCTTTGAGTCATCTGAAAGCTCGGGATGCAACGCCTTACCCAGGAAAGTGTTGGAAATGTACTCAGACACCTGGTTGCCGGAGCGGCTCATCTCGGAGAGGTGTGTCAGCTCGCGGTTCAGCATTCTCTTGAACTGGCAGGGGAGAAGCACACACACAAAGATGGCATTTTTCAGAGCACTGGTCTGAATTAATACAGCTTTAACTCTATTACAAGCAACGCACAAACAAGACGTTAAAAACAAAATTGTGGAGATATTTGGAACAGAATCAGTGACATATGGTTCAGTTTAGGTCCTTCTCAGAACAACCATGACTAGATATTTCTTTTCAGCATACTACACTGCAAAATGCATTTCCAGCAAAGGCAGATATTAATTTTCACTGCCGTAAATGAGAAGATGTTTCAGGTAATCTCCCTGAAAGATCGAAGTCCTGTATCGGTTTTTATCTCCACATCCTGCAACCTCCTTTTGTTCTCAGTTTCATTATATAAGTTTGCTCCATTTTGCAATATGCAAGCAAAATACAGCTGCATATGCTCAAAACACAACAGAGGAGCAAATATGCCACAAATCTGAAGATCTGCTTGGATCATTGCAGTAAAACACAGGATTTAAGCATTTGTTCACCCAGATATACAAGACACGATCCTCTTAATTTTCTAATCACACATTTTCATTGCAGTATCATTTTATCCCACGAAAGTGAATTCCCAAAGGGAAGAAATAATTCACATACATGTATGCTGCATGCACCGTGCACACGTTTATCTCATGCCATACAGTACACAAAAATAACCAGCTAACGTGCATGTTCTCCTGCCAGGGGTTCTAGCCTAGAAATACAGCACAAAAAACAGGCATTTGTGATCCTTCCGGATTGAACCCACCTTAATATAACCCCAAGATACAGATAACAAATAGTTTGCTTCAGGCATTTTGGAAAACTCCACACCACAGTCCACAGATCCTTATGCAGAAATCGCCGGCAAGAGAGGAGAGCTCCACAAGCGCAAGGACACCCCGGTTTCCCAGGCAGTAAAAAAAAAAATCAGCATTCACCAAGCCCAGAGATCCCCAAAAGCCCGGCAGTCGCTAATCCCAGACAAAGCCAGCCTTGGCACAGCATCTTTGCAGAGGGCTGAACGTGGGTGTATTTGCTAGCAGGAGAGAATAATGAAATCAGGGATTGCACGAAGAAACAAGAACTAATCCAAATGTATTCAGCGCGATGGCTTCGAGCACTTATGAATTATGAATCGTCCTGGTTGCTTAGTTGGCTGAAGGGGGTCCCCACTCCACATTAGCCTTGCTCAGCTGAACCGGCTGACAAAAAAATGATGCTGGTTTCTGAGGGGCTGCCAGCTTTAGTAACACAGCCATCTTTTTATAAGGAAGATTAAAATGGAGGAAGCTCTGTGCATATTTAAATAAGTCGAAGTAGGCAGCCCTCTCTTCTCCGGTTATGCTTTTTTAAAAAATCCTCTTCATGACAGAGGCTGAGGATTTTCGAGGCGAGTATTCGGATGGATTGTCGAGACCACGATTTTTCACATTTTCACTGCGATCGCTGTTTTTTTTTTCCCCACGCAGTAGAGGGCAAAACGCAGCAATGTAGGAAAACGCACCTTTACAGCAGGGAATCTTTCAGCGAAGGAGTCTAAACCAGCAATAACCTTACATCTGTGATGTCAGCCCGCAGTCTCAAGGCAGGATTTTAATAAATTCTTTCTTTCTCGTTAGGGTATAGGCAAAACCCGAATTCTGAGATTTGCTCGTTACTTTCATTATGTGAAGCCAAAATACAAGCACTTTATAGCAAGCTGCAGCTGCCCTTTTAGCCTCAGACCAGCAGCACAGCGCGTTTTGGTGTGCGTGGCAGCGATCGCGGGGAGGAATCACCCCTTGGGGAAGCGCCCGCGCTGCCTTCGGGCGACCTCGGCGCCTGCCACACGGCCAGGGCTCCCGAAACAGAAGGGCAATCCTTCGTCTCCAATTATTTCCCTGCTCGGGCTGCTTTGATTAAATATTATCAGTGGTGCTTGGAGCGACGTCACGAGGCTCCCTGGTGTGCTGCGGGGCAGCCCTGGCCGCAGGGCTCTGGGTGCAGCGCCCACAGCTCCCTGGCACCCTGAGGAGCGTCACCCCATAAAAGCGGAGCCACAGCGCCTCGGGGCGATGCTGAGGAATGCCAGCACCTACAGGATTCCTCCTCGCCTCGCCCACTGCTCTCTGAAGGGGCTCCTTGGCTCTCAAGCCATGCTCCCCCGCTCTAAACTGGCCACCAGAGCGCCACGCTGGGCCCACAGCCCCCTGCCCAGGGGTGCTGCAGCCACTGCTCAGCACCAACCAGATGGGGTGCTTGGGTTTCGGCCACATGTTCACCTCAGTAATAATGATAAAGGGGTTTGAATCGTGCTGGAAGCACTGGGGGAAGGCGCCAGAGAGTCCTGCCCCAGGCCCCGCACTGGGGCTCTACGGCCGCAGCAGGCCGGGCTGCTGCGGGCAGCAGGAAGTCAAGCTGAGGGACAACACAGAGCCGTGGTGCTGTCCGTGCTCATCACACACTTCTTTAATCTCCTTTTAAACAGAAAAGCTCCTTTTAACGCCCGCTGCCTCCCCAGATCTCCCCCTCACACACAAGCCTGGCTCGGGCCTTGCAGCTGCCGTGACTAACCCGATCCCGGCCTCCATGCCTCGTGTACCAGCGCCAAGCACCTTCCCCGTGACAAGACCAGAGCAAAAGGAGCTGTGAAGCCACCTTCTTGTCCCCCTCGAGCTGACGAGGCTCAGAGGCAGACAGCTGAGAAACCTTAGTGATGAGAAACTCAGAAAACGAGTGGCAAAAGGAGTGCGAACGGAGCGGGAGGAAGCCTCTGGGATGAGGCGAGCTCTGCCCCGATCGTTCCTCGAAGTGACGTATTTTCGTGGGTCACAAGCAGCCGCCAGCAGCATGTGAACACCCCCACAGACCTACGGTGAAGCACGTGCCGAAATACTTCTCTGGATCGAGGCCTTTATCTTTACAAGAAAAACACCATCATCAGATGATCACACAAACAACTTTTAAGGCAAGTTACATCAGTTGGGTTTCTGCACAAACAATCGCCCCTTTCAGACAAATAATGCCAAGTGGTGGGCAAACATTTGACAAAAACGCCCTTACCTCACAAACTGGCTTAATAAAGTACAAAGGGTAGCTCTTGCCTTTCACGGAGGCACAAAGCAATTAAACGGCCTCCGCAAGGTCACACAAGCCATCCGCAGCAGAGATGAGGCCAGATAAAAGACCTTTGTACCCTCATATCTGATCTTTAACCAGAAATCTGTCCCCTTCATCTCTTCCAGCAGCCTTCATCTTGCTCACTTCTCCAGACTTTTAATCAGCAACCTTTTATAAACACAGACGGGCGGTATTACAGCACGGCTGGAAAGTCTGTCATTGCCAAACCCAGCCGAGACACCCACAGGGCCAGGTCTGTGCCCTGGGAGAACACCCCCGTGCTTCGTACCTTCTACCAGCATTTACCACCTGAATGATGTGGGCACCTAAGCGGGATTTCCTTAATAACACTTAAAAAAAACCAACCCCATCTCGGCATGGAAGGAGGCACGCTGATGGTTTTCATGGCAATGCCAACGTGCTCCCTGCTGGTGGGGGTCTGGGTTTTTTTTTCCTCAGCTTCCTTGCACGTCAGGATGCTCCGGAGCGGTGCTGCTTCCCCCGAGCTGCTTTGCCATTTGCCTGCAGCACCCGCGGGGAGGAGGCGTGCTGCTCCCTCTCCGCACAGATCAATGCGTGATGTCATGTGCAAACCCCGGTAACGATTCCTTCGTTAAATCGATTTGACAGCGAAGGGTAAAACAAACAGATTGCATGCTAGCACTGAGAAAATACCAACTGCTTTGCCATTAAGCAAACAGAAGTGTTGCTTCTTTGGGGAGGGCAGGCTGTGTGCTTCAGAGAGCTCGTGCGCGGCGGCACAACTCGGCTCGGCAATTCCAGCAGCGCGGATCAGCAACACGTGCACGTGCGCTGTGATTTTCATAATTAATAATTATCTCCGTGTCTTTTACAAAGGAAAGAGGCCCTGATAACCTCGCCCTACAGACGGGAGCTGGGGCGTGCCAAAGAGGCTGCGTGGAGGGGTGGATGCCCACCTGGCCCGTGCAAAAGAAGCAAGGGGCAGAAGTGGGAACTGTCCTGGGGCTCCCTTCCCTCTACCCCAACTGCGACCACTGCGATCAACACGTGGAGCTGATGAAAAGAGTGCAAATCCTGTGCGTGAAATGAAGCCCAAGCTGAAATTTGCAGTAACCAAGCACGCACGGCGGCACACCTGATCTTCTAATCAAGTAACAGAAGTCTAAAACCATCTGGACAATTGTGTGAGAAAAAGACATCACGGTGGGGGGAGCCTTCCTGTTTCGCATGCTCTGAAGTAACTGCAGAAGTCATCTGAACCAAATTAAGCCTCCCAGAAATTGAATCATTCTTTGATTAATTTTTCATGTATTCTCTGGTAGAGGGAGTCACAGTTTCTTTCCAGCTTTCCAACTCTGCGTGCGTGTGGGAATTTCCTTGATTACTGCTCAGGAACTCGGCTCACAGTTCCCCTCCTCGCTCCTGACGCGGCGCCCTCTCAGTCCACGTCCTCAGCAGGGGCATTTTCGGGATGGGGTTCGCCCCTCCGGCTGCAGGGACGGGCCGAGTGCTTGCCCCAGCACCTGGCTCTGCGGTGAGGACGTGCCCACCGAGCAGGAGCACGGTGACAAGGCGGTGGCATTGCCACCAAGCATGTGACAGCCTCCCACAACCTCATGGTGAGCCGGTAGAGCCCATCTCAGCCATCCTACCGAAAGCTCTGACACAGGAGATCGTCCTCGTGCGTCAGTGTGGTAAATCCTACCTTTCTGGCTCTTTAGGGAAGAAATAATTCTCTTCCTTTTCCAGGAAGGTTCATCAGAGAGCTACACATACAGCTCTTGGCCTTTCCAGCCCAAAGCCGGCTCCGGCAATAGTCCCGTTGTCATTCCTGTTCCTATTCCCCCTTGGAGCACAGCATCAGAGGTGTTCCTGGTGCCTTACAGACAGCATAAAGACAGGAGGATGTATCTGCTGCTGATGCAGATCCTTTGAAGTCAATGTGTACCAGCTGAGGTTCCCTGAGGCCAAGAGTCCTTATTCAAACAGGCTGCCTAAAAAAGTTTGAGTCATTTGCAGGAGCTGAGGGCAATTGCAAGATAAAAGAGCTGCTAAGATGCTGTGGGGCTCCAGCCTGGAATACCTACGGAGAGTGGGGTCCCACCCCGCACTTTGATGGGGGAATCTCGTTGCAGATCTCCAGCGTGTAAAAATGTTTATAAACTCTGTTCCCGGTGACCCACCCTTCTGACGCAAATATTACATCCCTCGCTCTTCCACTGCGCTTGGAAATCCTTAGAACAAAGGGATTTGTGGTACGAGGGCAACTTTCGCCTTTGATTTCTACGCAAATGCAGCCGGGCTTAATCCTCCTCGGTTTAATTGCCCTGGTAAATCACTTCAGTTCTGGAGGCACAATTAAATCTCGGGGTAGCTCCACTCGTGTTAGCAGCACCTCTTCTGGGAATGGTGGCGGGCCGGCGGCCCCGGGAGCTGGGGAGGAACAGCTGACACCTACCTGCCCCGGGACGGGCCGGCGATGGGAATCAAGGCGGAAATCATTTACACGCAGGAGGGAAATTACTCATGCATGCAAACGACTACCAGGTCCAGCGGCGAGTGCGTAATGCTTTTGTCCGGACCTCTGGTCGGGCTGAGCGAATGGCTGCGGCACAGATGTGCTACTGCAGATTTAAAGCAGTCAGAGTAATCGTGTCACCTGCGCTGGAGGAGCTGGGAGAAATGTTTTTAAATACCTCTCTTCCTGGTGTTGATGCGCCTTGTCCCGGACCGGTCCTCATTCAAACAGGCTGCCGAAATAAGGGCTCTGCAGCCCGGCACCTCGCTGCCACCGTTCTGCTTTTCACCAAAGCACGGTTGGGAAGCCTGTTGATTTTGTAGGGCCGGGGTATTTCTTTTGTTGTTTTCTTTATAAGTTTGCAAGCCAAAAGAGTGAAAGTATTTTAATTTATCAGAGGAGCAACCCAACCTTTTGGCTGTGCTTTCCTGATGTCACCTCCCTTACAAGAAGGATCGCCAAACCGGCCTGCAGCTGCTCCATAATTTCTATCAGTTTTCCTCTTCAAGCACTCGCACAGCAGACGTCGGGAAGGCGCATTTAAATACAATGTTGAAAGAAAAAAAGCAGCCTAATTTCACATTAAATCAATACTACGGGAGGAGGTTTTCAGACCTACTTCAGTGCCTGAAGAAAAGTGGAATGGTTGCAGTCAACAGCCAGTCATTAAAAAAATCAAATGCTTTTGCAACTCTTTCTAGTTCTTGTTTCCTAAAACAATATAGTTTTTAATGTGCTAGAAACTATTTTTAATGAGATACAAAGTACTATTTGGTTTTTGTTTTTTGTTTTCCCTTCAGCTTATTTTTTAAACCAAAAAGTAAACACACGGTTATGAAATCTCCAATTTCACATCAAAGGGGAGTTGATTTATATATGCGTTCAAAGGAAGACTTTAAAGGAAAAACATCATGACCAACTTGTTGGCTTTGTGTTATTAGAATAATTTAGAAATCCACAATGTAAATGTTGATAAATAAATAGCACGTTGCCATAAATCAGCATGTGGCTGCTCATGAAAGCAATAACATATATCTGATGTAGACGGCATAATATTCAGATTTTACCCGTAAAGTTTAGCATTTCATCCGAAACCTCCCCTGGGTGGTATGCATTTATGCAACGCAGCACTTAAAAAGTGATGAAATGGAACCTGAACCACCAGTGTTATCGCCGGTACGCTTCCAGCTCATTTCCAGATAAATGAGACTTGAAATATGCAAATTGAATTAAAATGCCGGAAAGGAGAAACTCCCCGCACGGTCCTGCACCAGGCAAAGGCTGAGCCCTGCGTGGCAGCGATTCCGAATTTCCTCATTTAAAAGCAGGCTCGGGGCACGTTACTCACTTGCTGGGAAACGGTGAGCCAGAAGAAGGAAAAAACCCCTCCGCCTGATACTGGGGGATCGGCAAGGTCAGAGAGAAACCACCCCGCTTATTTTCCTGAAAACGCATTCGTCATGTGTTTACGAGGTGTGCCCGCCCCGCTTCTTGTTGGCACGCCGAGAAATGCGCGCCGTGCCCTGCGGGGCCACATCTGCTGCCAGCCTCCTCCAGGCGGGCGGCCCGCGGGATCTCCTGCCCATGAATTCAGGTCCTGGGGTACCCAGGGCTCTCCGCACCCTGTTTGCACCCAAAAGCCCTCGTTTTGGGTTAGCATTTGGTGCACTGACCGAAGTATGGCTGCGTGGGGCAGACAGGCGGCGGTGGGGAGCTCTGACCCCAGCCGCAGCTCCAGCCGAGGCTGCGGTTTTCTGGGGAAGCTCAGGATGGTTTCTGCTTCACCAGAAGAGCTCTCGCTCTCAGCCATCAGGCTCGTTAAGCCAACCAAGCTACAGCGCAACTGTACCTTAAGCCCGAATGCCAGCTGATTGTATTTTGTATCAATGTCCTCACCGGCACCCCAAAAACGCCTGGCACCGAAGCCCTTTACCTGGAAAACAGCACACGATCCGCGGGACGGGGACAGGGCTGCTCCGGCACCAGGGCACAGGCAAGGTAAATCCAGCACCAGCCTGGTGAGCCCCAGCACCAGGCTGTCTGCCCTGCTCCGGTTTTGTTCTTCAGCCCAACAAGAGGCCCGTCAATAAAAGCAGGAAGAAGCGAAAACACTGGTTCTGCAAAATTGTTTTTACGGAGTTTTAACCAGCTGCAAAAATGTTTTGCTGCGCGTTAAGTGCGGGAGAAAATTGAGGAAGCAAGAGCCGAGGAGCAGCGGCCTGAGCTGAAGGCTAGGAAGCACCAGCAAAATTAAAAACTGCAGCAGTTTGTTTGTTGACATAAAAACTTGATTAAAGAAAGCCCTGATGCAGCTGACAACATCTGCGGCCGTGAGAGCAGATAACGCTCCAGCAGGCTGCAGATCTCAGACCAAAATCTTTTGTCAGTCCCACCCATGCAAACCACACTGACGAAGCCTCAAGTGCCAAAGGAAGCCAAACAACTTCGTAAAACGAGCCCACAAACCAGAGCACCTCCCCGGCTCCTCCGCCCGTGCCAGGCAGCAGCAGAGCCGGCAGCGCCTCCCTGGAACCCGAGGGGGCCCCGGCACCCAGGGGGGCACCCAAAATCCTGCCCACCGCCCGGGGACACGGGGCAGGAGGGTGCTGGGTGCCCGGATTGCCTCCCTGGCCTTCGACAGCACAGAGGGGGAAGTGTGCTTATCGTTTACCAAGAGAGCAATGCAATTAAAAGCGGGTTTTTGTTAATCGTATGAAGCAGCAATTTAAATTTCATTTAAATTTGAGTCAGGCTCCGCAGTCCTCGCTTAGGCAAATCCGGCAGGGGTTTTACCTGAGTAGGAGAACAGGCTTTGGGAAATTCAAATCGCCCGGTGCCCTGAAACGACTTCTCGAAGGTGCTTGCAGGGATGCGAAACTCCGGCAGCTTTTAAGCAGCAGCAGCCTGCTTCGGGAGGCACAGAGCTCGGCAGACCTGGCACGAGGCGCACGCCACCCCACAAGGCAGGATCCCCCCCCCAAAAAAAAAGCAGCAGTTGGTGCCAAAACGAAAACGAGCCCGGTGCAGGCACCGAGACCATCCGAAAGGCACTAATTAATGTAAATATATTCAAATGAAAAATCCTTCTCACACAGAGATAGGCAAATGATTCGCAGAGTAATTTTTATGTAGCGTTGGCCCAGCTGTGCTGAAATAGCAGCAAGGTGAGGCGCTTCTCGTTTGTTTGCTTTAAACACAGAGCAAAGGCTTTAATCAGAGGAATCTCTCCCTCTAAGAGCTCTGACAGATGAGCTTTCAA